TATATAATAATATTATATAGAAAAATAAAGTTAATTTAAGATAAATAAAGTTAAAGTTAAAAAAAGAAACTTATCCCTTATTATAAGAAAACAATATAATAAATAAGTTAATGGAAATTAAGCAGGGTTAATTGCTTTATTTATTTATTTTAAAGTTTTTATAAGCAATATTAATATTTATTATTTATAATATATAACTAAGTAATAACTTATTTTTATATTTTATTACCTATAGTTTATTATAACTTAATTAAGATATATAATATTTATTATTGCCTCTTTTAATGCTATATTGCTTAAATAAGCTAAGCTATTATTAAATAATATTATTACTTAAATATAGTTAAGTAGCTAAACTTTTTAAGGAAGTTTAAAAAAAATATAAGTATTATCTTAAGTAATAATATTAATAATATTTAATATATTTAAGATTTATAAAGATAGGCTAACTTTATAACATCTTTACTTAAAGCATTTTTAATATTAAGGCAAAATTATTATAATAAATATAATTATAATTACTTCTTTTATAAGTTATATATAAATAAGGATAGCTATAAAGATAAGAAAAAATATAAATAAAAGAATTAAAGTAAAGATAAAGGTAATAATGAAAATGAAATTTAAAATAAAGATAAGAATTAAATTATAATAATTATTAAATTATAATAAATAATTGCTACTTAAGTAATAATAATATTAGCTTTTAAGGCTTACTACCTTAATAATATAAAGATTAATAATAAAATACTTAAAAACTTAAAGAAAAGGAAAAAAAGAAGAAAAATAAGAATAATAATAAAAATAAGGATAATAATAAAGATAATAATATAAATAATAATAAGAATTATAAAGCATAAATAACTTTATTTATAAATTATCTTAATAAACTTATTACTTTTTATTATTATTACTATTACCTTAATTCTTTAAAAAGCTTTATTATCTTAACTTATTCTTTATAAAATATTATAATTAATTCTATATTTAAAAATGTAAAAAACTATTATATTTAATTATTTATAAATAGTAATTATTTTATTAAAAAGAAATATAACTAATATTGCAAACTCTTTATTTAATTTTAATAAGGAGTTTATTATTATAATTATAATTATTAAAATTTATAATAAGTTTTAAGTTACCTTAAACTTTTAATTAAAATAGGCATTTTTAATTTAAATAAGCATAATTTAATATATTAATTATTAATATAATATTATTAAGTACTTTATAGCTAAAACTTAAGCAATTAATTACTAAATAATATAATATTAAGGGTTTAACTTTTAATATAATTAATATATTTTCCCTTTTTATTATGGATATTACTTCTTATTTTTAAGCAACATAAGGTATTATAAAGAGATGTAATTATATAATAATAAGGAATGCTAAAATAACATAGCATAATAAGATTTATATAAATTATTAATATTAATATATTTTATTATATATTTTAAGGCATTATTAAAAGGTATATATATAATTTAATATAAAATTTAAAGATATACCTATAGCTTAAAAATTATAAAAGCTATAATAATTAAATAATTATAAAGTTTAAGAGTTATAATTACTTATTATTTATATTTAATATTAATAAAAATAAGAGCTATATGCATATTTATAAGCATTATAGTTTTGCAAACCCTATTTATAATTAATTTAATGCTTAGTAAATATAAAGCAAGATATATATTATAAAGTATTGCTTAAAACTAGTATAAGTTATGCAAAAGGTATATTTAAGGTATTAATTAATAGCAATATTAAGAATGGCTATATAAAGAAAGGTTGATTTAATATAGCAGCTAGTTAATATAGCTTAAAATATAATTAATTAATTTAACTTTAATTAAAATAATAAAATCTTTAAGATAAGTTTAGCTATAATATATATTATATATATTATATAACTTAAAGTATAATATATAATTAATTAATTTAACTTAAGCTAAAATAATAAAAAGTTTAAAGTAACTTTAATTAAAGCTGCATTATTATTTTTAAAATTAATATAATTATTAAGGGTAGTTAATTTTTAAAAGTTTTTATACTTTATAAGGCATATTATATATTTAAATATGCATTTTGCAAAGCATAAAGGCTTTTAAAACTTAGCTACCTTTTTATTAAATTTATTAATTATATTTATTATTATTATAATAATTATAAAATTTATTTATTAACTTTAATTATAATTAAAATAATTATAATATTAACTTATTTTAAGGATAATTTTAATAAGTTATAAGGATATTAAGCTCTTAAAAAAAGAAAATAATAAAGCTTATTATATACTTTAAAGCTATATTTATATCTTTAATATTTTTATTTATATAAAATTTAATTAGCTTAATAAGTATTAATATATATATTAAATAAAGCCTTTAAATCTTTAATTATAAGTATTAATTAATATATATTATATACCTTAATATTTATTTATTAAATAAGTATTTAGCTTATTATATTTAAAAGCTTTATATTTAGCTTTTTTATAAAAAAGTTTTGCTTAATAATATTATTATAAATATTTTTATATTTATTTTTAGCTATATTAATAAAAAGTATTATTTATAAGGATTATTAAGCTTATTTTTATATTTAATTTAAGGTTTATTATAAAGTTTATTATAAAAAAGCCCTTTTTATAAGGATTATTAAGCTTATCTTTATACTTAATTTAGGGTTTATTATAAAAAAGCTTTTTTTATAAGAATTATTATACTTATTTTTATGCTTAAATTAAACTTTATTATAAAAAAGCCTTGCTTAAAAAAATCGCTATACTTATCTTTATACTTAATTTTAACTTTATTATTAAAAAGCCTTCCTCTTAAGAATTGCTAAGCCTCTTTTTATGCTTAATTTAGGCTTTATTATAATAAAGCCCTTTTTATAAGAATTATTAAGCTTATCTTATTATTTCTTAAAAGTATCTTAGGCTAAAGAAAAACTTAAAAAAAAGCTTAAAAATTTAACTTAAGCGGGAAATGCATTTACAGCCTTTATAATGCAAAGTTTAAAAACTAAGGCCTTTTATTATAAAAAGGAGTGCCTTATATTAAGAAAAATAATCCTAAATTTTCTTTAAAAATGCTAGCACTTAAAAAAAATAGGTTTACCTTTAAAGAATCTTAAAATACCTTAAAATATATTATTTTAGGCATAAAAGAAACTAATATTTTAGTAAAGGAGCTTCTTGCGCTTATATAGTATATTTTAATTATTAAAACTATTGGCTAAACTATATAATATACTTGCGTCCCTTTTTAAATACGAAAAGGCGCCATTATTAAGCAACGTTATGTAACCTCCCCTCCGCAGCCTACCTAAATAAATAGCTCCCAGGGCCCTAATAGGGGCTTTCCACCTGGTTTAATATTATGACGGCTTAGGGCTAACTCAGGCTATCTACTTTTCGCTCTCTAATTGGGCAAATGCTTAAAGGCGAACGTGGAAATCTAACCACATGAGCCAGGCCCATATTTTCCAGCCCTATCACGCTGCTGCATCACTGCCATTACGCCCATCTTCAGGGAGATGACATCAATATCCAGAGACTAAACCTGCAATGGGAAACTGAACCAATCCTCACGCCAGTCCTCGCTGCCTGCCTGGCGGGGCCAGATACGGCCAAGTACTGATATTCCAGTGGAGAATGGTTTGTCTGAGTCCCAGCTCGAGCCCCATCCATACTCCTTCGTCATCCTTTCATCGCGCATCTCCCTTGCCCGCCGACCCAGTTCCCTGACGTCGACCACGTCTCCAACAACCCGCTCGATCAGCCACGAACGACTCAGATTGTCAGTAAACTCCTTGAGGTGGAACCAGGAGTCTCCAAATCGGCCGCCACCGGTGGTCCATAATTTGAGAGACCCCAACTGCGTGCCAACTTTGTGGTGGCAGATGGTGTCCCAGACCGACCGCGCCAGCGTCTCGTCCACTGCGCAGTTTATGAGATTTCCTCGCAGGTGACCTTGGGTCTCACAAGGACGCACCTGACCTAGCAGTGGATGTCTGGAATCATCTTCGTAATGCGGGAGTCAAGGCGGAACGAGTGGAGCGTGGAGTCGACCATGGGATTTGGGTTCCCTTCAAAGTGATGTTTCCACCTGACAAGCCGCTCGAGGTGCCTGTCGTCCAAGTTTCAGCATTCCATGGCTATGGTCTGGAAAGTCAGCTTCGCCTTGGAGAGGTGATAAAGTCTCTGCGGTACGTCACTGTGAGCCGATGGCCATTTGGTGAATCAGATGCTTGGGTTTCTGATGTAATGGAAGCTGATCTGATGCTTTGCAGTTCTGATGGGTACCTCATCCTGGGGTCTGGAATGGCTGCGCATTTCTTCGCATCAATCGGATAAATCTATCAAGCAGTGCCGGAGAAAAGAGAAGAGGTCCGAGAAAAGGTCTTGGCCGAGTCAAAGACGTTCGATACTGAGCTCAGGAACGCTGTGATAACGCCAAACGCCGTTGGGAGAAGACAGGCCTTGCTTAAACTGGAGTCGCTGCAAGATTTCAGGCGCTCGCATCCTACGGTCGAGGTATGTGTCACCACTGCAAGCAATTATATCGAAGCTCTCCGAACATACCGGCTGATATCCCAGTTAGCATTTCACGCCTCTCCTTGTGGCAGCTGGAGCGGCAGGGGATGCATCCGTCGAAGCTGTTGGGGAAGATGTTGTCGAGCCGGGCATGCCATACTTGAACATTCGGTTCAAATAATACAGACAGACTCATAGGGCCCAATGCCATCGAGGAGTGGACAAGATCCTTCATAGGTACAGAGCCGACTACAATCAGGCCTCTGAAACAACATAGCTCGAGTAAATGCTAGGCATCTGCCCCTCTGGCAGAAAGAAAGCACATCTGCCCTCGATCAAGCTGGTCCAACCATCCGAAAGGCCGACTTCTTGCACATGTGTAACAAATATTCGCTGGCCTTCGTCCACTCTCGAATGTCCGGAACCTCCCACAAATCAATCCAGAAGTGCCTCAACTCTCATTCTTGTCCTCGACCTGGCTCAAACCGAGTGCCGCCATCTGGGCCTCACTCATCTCCCCTCTGACTTGGCTCTGTGCTCCCCATGTCGAGCCTCCACCGATCGGTCTTCCCTGCTCACGTCTCGCCTTCCTCTTCCTGGGCGGCTCGAACGTATCATTGTCTAGCCCGTCATCATCCTCGTCGTCTAGCATGTCATCGTCCTCATCGGCGGAATGACCGCTGTACGGCGGCTCGTCATCGATCAGCTCGAGCGAGTCTCGATGTGGGAATGATCCAGGCATCGCCGGGGTGAGCTGGTTCGGGTACGGCTCAGGTATCGACTCGGCGGCGGAACCCCCTCCAAGGAGATTCGTAGATCCCGTTGGCCGCGCCGTACTTCCGCCGTGGAGCCGCTTCTGCCTCTCCCGCTCCTGGCGGATCTTCCGCTCGACCTTGTCGGCCTCGATGCGGCGCAGCGCCTTCTGCTTCTGCTCGTCTTTCGCCTTCTTCTCCTTTGCCACCTGGAGGGCATGCTTCTGCATGTCATTCAGCTCATCCTTGCCATCGATCCTCTTGCCCTTCATAACTGCTGGGTCCGGCCGCTCTTTTGGCGTCAGCGTCTCGTTGCTGCCTCGTCCCTGGTTGCTATCGGCGATCCGGTCGACTCCGAGGCTCGAGAGAAAGGCGGCGAAATCGTCAATACGCTTTCCATCCCACGTAGCTGTCTGCAGCTTGTAGCCTCCGTGGATGAACTTGTGGGGCGTGTTCTTGATGATGGTTGCGTTGATCCTCTGCTTTGTGGGGATGCCCTTGGACATCATTCCGAAGTTTTTGACGTCACGAGTGAGTTGACCATCTTGTGCGTGCATTCCGACGAATCCGGCAAGTTTCAAATCACCCAGAGCGGCCGAGGTCAGGGTGAAGTTCTCCCACATGAAAGCGGCCAACTCCTCCTCGTTGTCGTAAGCGCTGGCCTTGGCCTCGAGAAACGAGGACATCGCCTCGTGAGCTGCCTCAGCAGTCTCCCCTTGACCGCCGAGGATGATTCGATCCAGTCCTCCTGCGCGTTCCGCCTCCTGCAGGACGATCTGGGTGACATATGGCAGGCTGCCCAGAGTCATCCCGACGGCGAGTCTATCTTCCGCTGAGAGATTGTTCCAGGGTCTTGCATGTGCCTTGCAGAAGGGGAAAACCCAGCGCACAGTTTGGAACTGCTCGCGAAGCGTCTTGTGGTTCCTGGTCAGCTTCTCGGAGAGTACCTTGCTGTGAAGCTCTTGGTCGGTGGTCGACTCCGGGAAGCGGTGGAGGAAGACAACGGTATGTGAATGGTCCTCGGCGGGGTCAACCACCAGTGGCTTGGTGAGTCTCTGACGAAGGGCCATATTGAGGGGATGTCCTGACGCCGAATGCGATGAAGTTAGGGTGGAGATGTGTTGGTGTGAGAGACCAGACAGCGCGGTGTCCATCCGTCTTATAGTTGACGGTTTCACATTGTTGGTGGTTTGCAGGCAGTTGAACACAGCAATAGCCTGCCCAGTGAGGCCACTAACTTTGCAGACGTCCCGATGTGGTCCGTGCGCCAGTGGGCCTCCTGCAGATGTCTTGGGACGATACACGCAGTCCTTGGACTCGCAGACATAGTGAATGAAATACGTCCCTCGGGATTGAATGGCTAAGGAATATAGAAAGGAAGCTGAAATTGAATACGGGATCAGGCTCATGATCCCGCCGCAACGCCTCACGCCGAATATACCTCCATAATCGGTCTAGTCTTGCAATCATCCAGCCTAAGTCGTGGGGATCGAGAGAAGGCTCTGGCTATGTCACTGGTTTCCGACAATCACTGAAGTGCTGTGATGAGGAGCTTGCTCATCCTTCACTCACGATCTATCGTCTGTGCGAGTGAATACACCAGCCTTCCCGGCGCAAACTCTGACTTACAAATAGCCCTAGCGTCTCATACTCAAAAACAAATTACTTTCTCATTGTATTCCATAGTATCTGCAGCGATAAATTCGACGACGCACAGTAAGTCACCATAGTCTTCACCAAGATATCGAAGCCGGCAAATAACAATTCAATCCTTCAAGACATAATCATCAGCTTACAGTACAGATAAGATGGAGACCGCATCCCATATTATGGAGTCTGAGGATCAGGAGGCAAGGCAGGATATAACAACGGACCAGGAATATTCTGCCTCTCAGGACATGATGGCGCAGCCACAACCGTCCCAACCTGACGTTGAACAGCGGGGTGGATATGAGATGGAGGATCGTTGTGCGGATAGTTGCTATTGTATTGGTTTCATCTTCACCCCTGGCCTCATCACGTTATGTTGCCAACCAGATGATATGTATTAGCCGGCAGCATATAAAGTGCCGCAACTTATATCCAAAGTAGCTAAAGTAGCTGAATCGCCAAGTTAATAATCCTAAAGTCTTGCGCACCTAGGATTTGTTTGATTCTCTTGTCAGTTATCTTCGTTGTCCATTTTGTTCCATCTGAACACATCATGCTTATCCGCCATTTTTCCCGCTCATTGATTAGACATTGCCTTCCCTTTCATAGGCAAGCATCAAACTAATTTCGTCGAGCTAGGGTGCGACGTAGGCTCCGCACTAGATCAGCCGATTTCCATAAGATCTAGACGTTTGACCTTTGAGGAGCACCGCCTTCAACAACTGTTAGCCCATATAACATCGACTTAGGTCAGGACTACCTAGCATTAAACAGAACAGCAGAATGAATGAGCAAGGAATGAAATAATGTTGCCGTTCTTGGTCTTACGGCGGGTCTTCCACTGTGCTGCACCTGGGTATGGATGGCCGGGTTTCCCCACCGCAGACCTGGAAACTGGACAGTCTTTGGTGTAGAAATTTAGTCCAATCATTTGTTAATGTACTGGGTGTTAACGGGCAGGTTTCCCGAGGTGCCTGCCCGTTACTGCGCTATGATCCTTGAAATAATGCAGCTAATATAGGTTGCAAATACTTTCGCTCACTCACTTTTATCTCATGATAAAAAGTACCTATAACCCTGTCCACACCACATTATATATATACCCAGACCCCGTGGATGTCACCGTCATTACAAGGCAGGATCACTAATGGGTAGGACAGGGACCTATTTTTACAGGTGTTCATATAACAGGGCTCTAGGACGTGTCAGCAACACTTCACACCTACCCTTCCTTTCTTACTTACTCTGCAACAGAAGCTGAACGATTACATTTCAGGCCCCAAGGGGAATATCATGTGCCTCATGGTAATTGGCTCTACAACTGCAACTGCAGTTTTACTATACTACCCCAGCCACTGATTTTGCAGCTCACCTTCTGTCACTTTTGGCCCCCATAGACTCCTCATCTCATCCAGTCAATTCCAGGGCCACCTAGCTGTATCAGTCTGGATCAACTTTGCAGGAGTCTAATGGAGTGCAACACTGTGGGCAACACGAACTCTGATATCGCAGGACTCGGCGTCAGTTTGCCTACTCCCGACAAAGCATGAATACATACCAATAATGCATTACAGATCATCTATGCGTTTGTTGTACAAGGTGGTTTATCTGTCATCATATCCCTTGTTTCCGTAACAGCAGAGGCCTTTCAGGTCCTTGCACGCCGAATTCTGCCGCGTTTTGAGTCAGAAAAGTCTGTCAAGACGTTGATTTTGTGCACAAATGCTGTCCTTTCGAGCATCAGCCAGACCCAAATTGTGAACGGTACGCAATTTCATTTTGTTTGGAGCGTTCGCAGTCCTTTTCACCTACTCAGCATACGTACTCACCTCTTTGACACTGACTCAGGAATCTCCCTGTTGATCGCGGTAATTGTGCAGCACGACGAATTAAGCCTCTACCACTTGCACATTGTCTACGACGTTGTAAATCTTACCGGGTAAGGTTGAAAATACCTTAAATGATTTCTTATACGATCAGAAAAATTGTCTTATATTTCTACAGTGTCTCAGCATGTGCAGCCCTGGCCAACCTCATCCGCGCGCCCAATTTCAAGATGTCGATCGGACCACATACTTACCTATTGGTGTTCTCGTGTCTTTACCTGGCGTATTGCGTCATATTGGGAAGGCGGCTCAACAACTGGGACTATAGCATCCCCGGAGAGTGCTACAACACGAGCCACCTAGATACCGTGCACTTGACCCATCCCGTGTCTGACCAAACATACCTCTCATTCACTTGCTTTTACATGTTCGCCAGCATTCTCCTGTGTTGGTTATGCGGAGGGATACAGAAAGACTCGACTGTCGAATATCAAAAAAGCACAGGGGCTCATGGAGGAGGTGAGAGCAACAGCAAGTCGATTTTCCTTTCGGAGCTTGGCCAAGTGCTCAGAGTGAGCTGCCGCTCATTTTCTCCCTCGCAATTAACCAAACGGCTCCTGCGGCGCATATACGGGATTAAAAACCCCAATGAAGTATCTTCCCAAGCACTCCTGCAGCACTCGCCTATCTACAGGGTTGGAGGCCTGGGCAAGATGTCGATCAAAATTTTCCTTCTGCTCATCTCTCTCGGCCAGTTTCCCGTCCACACGTACGAGATCTTTGCCCTGAGACACTACAACGAACATCGTCTTTCGGGGGACTCGGAGGATTCCTGGGGTTTTGGGCAGATCGTGGCCCTGGTTTCGTTGGGGTCGACTCTCGTGCAGTCTATCGGAACCATCATAGGTACGTGTCACTTCTTCTGCATGGCATCAACCGGTTCGAATTGACGAGGATCAGATTATTTCCAGCATTCGAGCTTGGAGAACAGGGTCGAAGTCATTCAGCTGCGTGAGAGAGGGACGCCAATCGAAGACCATCAGACCCCTCCATTGGAGGTTCTGCAACGTGGCCATACCATGCCAACCATGCCGGTGGATCTTGAGTCGCTGGAGACACCCGGCGCAAGGAGAAGAGCCAACTCATCTTGATCTATGCGAATCGGATAAACACTGGGCGTTGTTGTAAAGCAGCAGGAAGGTTAAGCGATCTGTAATGAAATGGAACAAGCAGCAATCCCATTGCTGAACTGGACTACTATCCTGCGTCTAAGGAGCTTTTACGGGCTGAATTATTTAAGAGCAAGTCTGCACGTTTGGCTATACGAGATGCTTCTAGTGTCCCACCATTAACTTCGATGGGCAATTTGCAGTACATCATGTATCAAACCACAGAACTTACTGGCACGGGCTGGGTCTGCGTGTCGTTGTGGTCCCAGTATGGAGGAGCACCCTCCGCCATTCCGAGTCGTGCATGGGTTTCTCCGCTGCTCGTTGCCACACCATGCTCAGCCAGAGTAATTGCGGCACAATGCCTTTGTCCACGATAATGATATTGTCGAAAAATGAAGAGATGATAGTGGTAATTACAATGCCAGGAGAACAATGCGGCTATACATAGTACGATAGGCACAACAGAGTCAATGCCTGGTCAATCAGCAATGCCTCTAACTCCTGGAACAAGGAGAAGTCCCCTGGAGTATAAATATCTTCCATCCTCTTACAGCCCAGACACATTTTTTGCTTCACAAACAATCACCTGATTCACAGGCCGGCTAAATATCCAAACATTTCACCAGTCACTTGTTGTGAAGTGCAAAATGTCCATAACCGGCAACAATACAGTACCCACCGGGCACGACACGGCTCCCGCTAATCGACCGTTAAATCAGGCAGAGAAAAACGCGCGAGCTGACTACGCCCTCATTTGGGTAATGGTGCCAATCACGGCAATAATTCTCGGTGTCGGTGCTTATTTCTGGATCCGATGGCGCATCCATAAGTATCGCGCCCGGAGGGCCAACAATGCCAATAACGACATTGAGCTTCAGCAGCGTGCCATCCCGGAGCGTCCGAGTCCGGAGCCTGCGAGTCCCGAGCATGCTCCTGGACTGTTTTATCTAAATCAGGATCACGCGAGTGGTATCGAGACGCCACCTCCTACATACAGCGCCAGCTCAATTAGAGACTACGCCAAGGGAGTTTTGAAACCAGGTAAAGTCTAAGAAGTGACCATGGAGCTTCAGTATGTTTTTTTCTTTTTGGGCTGGGCTCATGGCAATCAAACCCCTAGGTAAGTGTTCGCGTCGTAGACTGGAGGGGGAAGGTTTCTACATATTTTATGATACAATTCTTTTCTGAACCACCATTTCACCTTACAGCACACATTGTGATAGCGACACATGTAACTGGATGTCAACGAAGTAAACACATCTAAAATAGACGCTTGATATTAAAATGTAAATACTATTTCAAATTACCCAAGTGGAACCTTGACCTGGAATTCTCAAGGTCTTACCGAAGTCTTTTGATGCAATTGTATGTACTTTTGAACTCTGCATGCAATCTTACATAACAAGTAGGACGTTGAAATGAAGACCTCAACAGCAAAAACATCATCAGTGCGAACAAAAGTTTGAAGATGTGGTTTGGATAACGTGATTCTGGCTGTCGGGGTCTAGTAGGCCGTTCCCGGGCCGACCCGTCTAGGAGCCCATTGGAGAATGGGTCCTCCTTGTCGTTGACGTCAAAGTGTCTAAGTGTCTAAGCCGCATCCGTAGTCGTGACGACACGGTCATTGCACGGCAAGATGACATCTTCCATGTGGATGTTCTGTCCCGCTCTTGAGCTGTAGCCTACTGTAACCTCTACAACGTCCCTATTTGACATGCAAGTTGGGACTGCTCTGTAAACAAGAACACTTGTGTCATGCCACCAAGACCATCCTCCCTACTCATTGCTCCCAAACGAGTCTCAAGCAGAGTTGCAGCCAAGTCAACTAACGTCCCATTCTCATTACGAACCATGTCTACCAGCAACCCGTCAGAAACCGCCCAGGCCCAGGCATCAGCAGATGCCAGTGCGCCTTCTTTCTCCTCCATCGGCATCAAGAGGACGAGCATCGAGACTGCCCCTGGCGTGAATCTCTCAGAACAGCAGAAAGTCCTTGTTGGCTCTGTGCTTGACGTCCGTTGCCATTCCCTTAACCTAATTTTCCATCGTATGAACACCATGCTAACATCAACAACAGCTGTTCGAGGGCAACCCAACTCTGAAGCACTTCAGCCTGTGGAACAAGGACGCCACATTCACGGACAACATCACCGTCGCAGTAGGCTATCCCAAATATACAGCGCAGTTCTACGGCCTCCCAGCGCTATTCAAGCCGATCCAGTTACAGTCACACAGCGTCAAGTCTGCAGGCAATCCCATCGAGCTTGACATGAGCAACAAGTACGTCGTCAAGGGCATCAACCAGGAGAAGGTCATGAACTCGGTCGTCAGGATCCACGTCGGGTCGGACGGCAAGATCGAGAAGGTCGAGGACCGGTGGAACGGCGAGCTGCCCTCCGGTGCTATCAGCGATGTGAGTAATCTTCGGAACTGGACCCTCAGCCCGTTCGCCGCCGCGCGCTGGGCTTTCAGGACAGGCAGCGATGTCGCCTGGTGGACTTTCTGCACGCTCAGCTGGTGGTCGCCTTTCCTGGTAGGCGCCGCTTTGCGTCCGCGATAGAGCTGCTGCTAATAGTTGTGCGCAGGCTTTCCGAAAGCTAAATGCCGTGACCGTGCCAGCATTTGTCAAGGTGCCTAAGAATGAGGAAGAGGATTTGAAGATGAAAGCTGAGAGGGAGAAGGAGTAGGGATTGTTTTGCTTGATATAATTCTGTTATAATTATATAGCTGGACAATATCAAATCTTTGTCCGACAAGGATGAAACTTCTAAATGTGACGAGTGCTCCTCTGACATAGATCAACCCGCGTTGTTCATGCCACAGTTGCTCCATATGTGATGATACACTTCTCGGCTTCAGCCTGCGGCTGATGAATAGCTGCAACAATTTCAACTCAAATTCTCCTGAAGTCGCGCTTCATTAGATCAGTACCTATACACGGCTTTTCGCCTTTCGAAAGTCCTAAATAATATCAACACGCTATGCGCACGGCTGAATCATACATTTCGCTGCTGTCAAGACCGTTTCTGGGCGCTCCCCAATCATCAATAAAAGTGAGCTAGTCATCCGGTGGCCCCAGCAAAGACCTTGTCGATGTCAATCTCGGAACTGCGGTATCAACAAGACTGCTCAACGCGACTTGAATACGACCGACCACAAGGTCCAGCGTGGGCGGCTGACAATCAACACTCGTGTCGGGAAATCAGTACCAGCCCTTCTCGAGTAGGGATACTCTGCCAGGCCCACAAGGCTGCATATTTATGTGGTACAAGCGTTATAACTCCACCGTGGCTTCAGTCCTTCAAGCCAACAACATCCATAGGCCAAACCATGGTCGTCAGCCATTGCCGCGGCAGAGCATTCTTGATAGCACGGATCTCCCTCTTTGAAGTAGTCTCTTCCCCCCTAAAGGGCTCATCGCCCAGCCACCACACATTATGTACCTGCGCGACAGTCGCAAAGAAGTGCGCCAGTATTACCAGCGCACGGGGCCGCCGGAAGGACAGAAGCTCGATGTACTTGGACGGTATCAGCAGCGGGAACGCCTGGACCCGCCTCGTGATGGCGTACACGGGCTCGCCGTGGCTGATGCCGCTCTGGATGCTGCCCACGTAACTCAGGGTCTTCTCGTAGGCGTCGCGCGTCTCGTCGTCGGCCCAGTCGTCGCCGGACGGCAGGTGCTGCGTCAGCACGCCCTGGAAGTTGACGCGGTGCTCCGGGCTGAAGTAGGTGTCGTCGCGGCCGAAGTACGGGTACGCGTTGGCGGCGTTCATGAGAGCCGGGTGGTCTGCTTCTTTGGAGAGGGTGAGGATGGTCTCGACGCTCTGCCGGATGACGATCCCGGCGCCGCGGCCGACTTGCAGCCAGTCCATTGGGGGCTGGTAGGGGGATAGGCTGCGTTCCTGTAGCATCGCGAATGCCGTGATGGAGATGAGCAGGGCGCCGAAACATACGACCTCCGCGGTCTCGACGGTCAGGGTTGCGACCTCCTCTCGCTGGGCGTGGAGGGCGGCGATGAAGTAGCTCTCGCGAGCGGTGTATATCTCTTTGTCGTCGGGATCCGAGCGAAGAATGTTGGTGGCGGAAAGAGCGCAGATACCGAAGAGCATGTTTTCGTGCTTGAGGGCCATCGCGGGCATTGTCTTGACCCATATATCTCGCCAGTAGGGAGCTGGGTTCAGCGGGAAGGGGTTGTGAACAGTAAGGTGCCAGTTCTGCATCAGGCGGTGCTCCATCAGTCGTCGAGCCTTGGATTCGGGCAGATTGAGGTCGTTGGGATCTTCTCGTGGGGAACTGGGCTGGGAGAACATGTTTTCATTGTTCGGCCAACGCGGCCAGCTCGTCAGAAGGCCGGTCTGCTCGGGTGAGTGCGCTGCAGGAGATCTTGCGCCGGTGCTGACGGCCGAAGGAGAAAGACCTGGTTGTTGGCTGGGAGAGGGCGTTGGCAATAGTTGTTGCTGACGGCCATGGTCCTGAGAGTGGTTGGGCCACGAGCAGTCCATCTGCAGACGACTGCAGTTGCCGCAAATTGGTCGTGTCTCGTCGCATTTCACCCGGCGCGATTTGCACTTGAGACATCCATTCCGGGACTTTCGGTGGCCAACCTTGGCCGGCCGGCTTCTACCGTCGTTTCCACGGGAAGCCATGGCTGGGAGCGCGGGTCAAAAAAGCTGTCAGAAAGCGCGCTCCAGACTGGTGCGGTGTGCTGACGTGGAACCCGCCCGGAGCCTGATTGTGGGTGTCACGACGCCATCTCATGAAGTGCCCAGGTCAGAGATTCTGTACGATAAGGGGCATAAGTCAAGACAACTGTTCAAGAAGTGCAGCTTGCCACCGGGCTGGGCAGATTTGGCACGGCGGCGGAGTATCAGTCGGTGTTGCTTTTCAGCTGCTCGTTCCACGGTCGGGACATGGAGTAATTGTTCGCCAACCCTTTTGACCACTCACAGCCCACCTTTTTGATGACATCATCAACTTACTCAGCTGACAACTCAAGAAGGGAAGAGGTGACACTAGGCGCAGGTTACTCAACATGCTTCTTTCCAAGGAGATATTTACCAACTAGCCTACTCGGTTAACCCATACAGCATGAAAATAGGTATGTAGTTGAACATGATCACTCAAAATTTGCTATTCTACCGGCCTTGTAAAGAACGTAGATTTACGAAATAATCATGCGCAAACTGGGGCATCCGAGTACTGCTAGATATAAACGGTTACCTGAAGGCTACGGAATTGGAAGGGACCAAAGCGTTGGTTAGGACTGGGTGTTGCACGATTTTCGGTCTCTTGCTCATCCAGGTGCTTTGTCACGTGCAAAGTCTATTCGTGCCCAATCTTGCTGCTCTGAAACGGGGCCTTTCCCCCCGCCTTTTGTGCCAAAACACTTCTTCCCATAGTCACCAAAAGCCTGACTTGTCAGCCTCTCCACTACAAAAAGTTGAAGATGACAGCAAGGACTTTTCGTCGTGATATATATGATCTCTCCTACCGACGAAGCGAGAAACAGTCCGTCGGGTTTGAAGATGAAGCCCCTTCGACAAAGCAACAAGTGGCGGACTTTCAAAACAGAAATCAATTACTCGATGGCCTGAGCAAAATGATTCGTGTTATCCTTGAGAAGAGAGACGCTCTGGTTTTCTGTCAGCATTTCCTGACCTGCATCCTTGAAACATGGCCGTTCTGCATGACAGACCTCCATAACCCTCCTTATACCACGACTCTACCACCGAGCCGGCCAGACAGAGACAACGAAGAAGAAGAACTCCGGGCACGCCTTGACTCAGCGGCAAGAGACCAGTTCCTTCAACATATGCAAGCCCTAACCTTGAAGCAATTGTGCGACACTGTACGCCGGAGAATTGGGGAAAACCCACCTGAGTGGGAAGGTCCGCGTCTATTGTACCGAGTTCACCGTCCCGACTCACATACCTTCTACACACACGATGTGGGATTTTGCTGTCCGAAGTGGCTTCGCGAGCGGAATTTCGAGAAACCCTCGAGGCAGGACTTCTGCCACCATACAGATGGCGCCATGGTATCATCCAAAGGCTCATTCGAGACGCCATATATTTCCGTGACCTCAAGCCCGTTACGTGCGCTGAAGCTCATGCAACATGAGGAAACATCGAATGTTGATGTATTCGTCATCGACGCTAACCGCCTCTTTGCGACACACATTCGATTTGAACGTACGACGGTCATGGCGAGAGAATACGGCATCGTATATAACAGGCCGAGTGGTTACGACAGGTCTCATTACATCACCGAGACCCATTGGCTGATCGAGCAGTGGATTCCCGCCGACTGCGTCGTGGAGAGGATGCCATTCAGCCAATTCCAGGGATTGTTCCTCAGGAAGGGAATCCTCAGAGGTATTGATTATCCAGCTTGTACCCTGGTCCCTGGCCATCACAGTCTGACGGCTGACATTATAGATCGGCTGACATTATAGATTACCCAAATGGCCCTTTCCACGAAGACTGCCTAGATTTCAATGACTTCATCGAGACGCCAACTCTGGAGAGTCCGAGATTGACGCGGTGCCTTTGACAAGTCTTCAGGTCATGCACCATATAATCTTGCGACCATGGCTGAACAGCTTTCAATGACCTGATTGCACGGTATTCGCCACCACCATCGGAGTCCGGTACCAAGGTGAAGTCTGGATGCCGTGACCGTGTGCGTCACACACTCAATGACGAGGCGTTTTCTTTTATTTTCTTTTTCCACTTTGGGGGACTTTGAATATCCTTTGTAACCGGCGGATGAGGGTCGGTGTCTTGGGAAACTCTAATAAGTAGTGAGATTTCCTGACAGCACTCCGATGAATTATTTCTCAACCTAAGACGTGTTGAGCATTGAAGCCCAACATAGGCGTTTCAAGCAGAATGCAAACATCATTTTTCATCCTCGGCTAACCAGAAATCCCCGCTCTGCAAAGGAGGGTGCGCAAAATTAACCAGTGTGTTGCACCGTCAATCGTTCATGGCTTTGGCGGGTCACTGCAGCCAAGGAGGTGGTCCGTAGTCACACGAGCTTCAACCGTGCCCGCGCTACAGACGATAGGTTAAGCGCCGCCTTTCCACCACCCAGGTCCGGCCGTGTCCAAGTGTTTTTAATGGAGATGCGAGGCGCAAATATAAACGAATTCCAAAAGACGCATGTCGAAAAAAACTCGACAAACCTTGTGGGCTCCATCTTTAATCATGGCGCAAGGCGAGTGATGCGTACCCTTTCGGACCGGCTGTTAATCACGAGGCACATATTCACCGTTCTCGTCAGGTCTCATGCCGCGCCTGGTGAATTCAAGTTCTCTTCTTTGAAAGTCATTTTGACGGAAGCCGACCGTCCGACAACCAACTATCGACTTCTCTCAACCATCCCAAAGGTCATCATATCGGCGCGCCAGAAGCCATGGACAGCTACCACAATCATAATGACCGTCCGCATCCTGCCAACAAGGGAGTCAGATCCCGTGCCTGGACTTGCATTATGAGCGTCTGTTCATTCCTGAAGGCAGAGTTCACCAGCAGTGGCGAGAAGATCACGGGGCGTCGGCTGCTCCTCGTGACTATCGCGCTGATGGTCGGCGCGTTCTTCGGGGAACTGGACAGGCAACTGCTGGTGACCGCAATCCCCAAGATCACAACCGAGTTCCGCAGCCTCGAGCAGGCGGCGTGGTACCAAGCCTCGCATGATCTCGCCAGGCTCGCATTCCTGCCCATCTTTGGGCGAGTGTACACGCTCTTCCCGCTGAAGATCACTTACTGCGCCAACATACTTGTGTTTATCATTGGTGCGTATCCGCTTCCCTGGCTTCAGCCAGGCCGCCAATGGGGTTTGGCTGACCGTCTGATTCAGGATCCATCGTGTGCGCGACGTCGTCGACTTCCCACGTCCTGATTGTCGGGCGCGCCGTCCAGGGCTTGTCGCATGCTGGCACGAGTCTGGGAGGCTTCATCATAATCTGCCATGTCGTCTCGAAGAAGAAAATGCCGCTGTTCCTGGCTAGTATCGTCTTGATGACCGGCGTCGCGTCAGCCGTGGGGCCTCCCCTCGGCGGGATTCTCGCCGAGAGCTACATGACTTGGCGCTTGGGCTTCTACCTGAGCATAGGTGAGTGAACTCAACAGGGTGTCCTGTATCTATCGTGCGACGTACTGATGAATAAATGACAGCGATGGCTCTCGTCGCGGGATGTCTCATAACCTTCACGTTCCCCGAACCTGTCAGGGTGACATCAAACTATTCTTTCCGAGAGAGATTGAAATCAACAGACCCGCTCAGTGTCATTCTGATCCTGACTTCTTTAACCGTATTATTCCTTGGCCTCGAATGGGGTGGCACCAAGTACCCGTGGAGTAATCCCTGGGTTTGGGGCTGTCTTGTCGCGTTTGCCGCCACGGCTGGATTATTCATGTTCATCCAGATAAAAGAGAAAGACAGGTATTTTGGGACCACACCTCGACATCTGTGAAGGCAGAAGTGCTGATCATATCATAGGGCTCTTATACCTATGCACATCCTCACACAACGTACTGTCGGCTTCGGATGCCTCTTCTGCATGTTTATCATCATGGCCTTCGGCGTCTTGATGTACTACATGCCTTTTTACTTCCAGGCCGCCAGGGGCTTCTCACCAAGCCAGTCCGGTGTCTACACCTTGGCCCTGTACATCCCCGACACGGTCGTTGCCGTAGCTGTCGGAGCAGCTGTCACCTATTTTGGCCATTACGTGCCATTCATGGTGGCCAGCGCTTCGATGACGGCTGTAGGTGCTGGGCTGTTTACCCAAATCCAGGTGAGCACAGATATGGGCTACGTAATAGGCCTTGAGCTTTTGGTGGCATTTGGACTTGGGCTTGGCGTCCAGTTGCCCCTTTCAGCTGTTCGGAACGTCCTCGATGAGCCGGACATACCAGCAGGGGAGGCCCTCGTCCTGTTCTGCCTATCTCTGGGCTTTACGCTGGTTTTCCCCATGGCACAGGCCATATTCATGAACACACTCAGGCGCGGCCTGGCGACAGGCTTGAGTCCAAGCACTGTCTCCATGATAATTGACATGGGCCCGTCGAAAGTGAACGCCGACCACTTGAAGGACGAGCATGTGTCATTTGTGGCTGAATCGTACGGGAAAGCTATTACCACTGCGTTTTACATGTCCATCGCGGCTTCTGGGTTAGCCCTGATCGCCGCAGCGTCGATGGAATGGAGGAAGCTTGAAAAGGAGGAAGACGTTGGCATCACCGAAGGTGTGCTGACTGGAAGTCTACCAAGTCACCTGGAGAGGGGCCATGAGAGGGACCATGACGCGTCACACCAGGCTGACCCAATCCCCCTCACCCCTGTGAAGACTTTGTCATCGTGTGCAGAATCAGCACAGAGGTTGTCACGATAGAGGGTATCTCTTTGGAGTCTGAGAATGTTATTTGTGTTAGGTGACCGACGTAGCATACATCACCCTTCAACCCTTCAAGGGCCTTAGCTGCTTCAGCAGCGTCGACAAGGGGCCACTTTAGCGATTAAATCGAGTCAGAACCCGCGGTACCGGAGTAATTTCGGTGGGGGAAGGTGGGATGTGAGGGTTTGACGGCACCACATATCAAAATTGTCACACGGGGAGAAGAATTGGCCCGTCTTTATGTTCTCAGTGAACGGGGTGCTCGTTGTATTATTTGAGACGCGCGTTATTTTACCGGAAGGTCGGCGATGGGCGGGTTTCGGTCTCGGAGATCCCGGTGTTTACCCACGCCCGGCACCGACGCAGCTTGATTATCTTGCATGATCTGATAAGCTGTGTCCTTTCCCAGTCGCCTGCAGGATGCAGTGTCCCCTGTTTAGTCTTACGACCGAAAGCTCACCCATGACCGCCGATTACGCTGTCAGGGCTGCGTGAAAACCCCGTGCCTAGCACCCATCCCCGGCTCATCCGTCCCCGAGGCCAACGGGCTCGGAGATACAGCCAGGCAGACGAGTTTGGGCCGGACAATTCACTTCAATGTAAAAACACATGCCACGTTCGCATTTAGCATTCGCATATATCTCCACATGAACCTCTAGATTGTTCAGCAATACGACAAGCCGGCCACAAGTCCAATTTCTGTAGAGATGGCAGTCCGCGACGTCCTCAAGTTCATCAAATTTTCATTTCCTTTCGTTCTCTCTTACGGCCTCAAACGCCTCGCCCATCGCATCAGCGCCTTCCTCCATGCTCTAGAGTACAAACCCGGGCCCTCACCCAAGAGCGTCGTCATCGTCGGTGGCTCTTTTGCTGGAATACTCCTCGCCAGACAGCTCTGCGAATCACTTCCGAGCGGGTATAGGGTCATCCTCGTCGAGAAGAATACCCATTTTCACTACCCCTTCGTCTTTCCTAGGTTCTCCGTAGTCAAGAGTCACGAGGCCAAGGCTTTCATTCCGTACGATGAGATGCTGTACAGCGGGCGCAAGGGTGTGCCACAGGGTATTTTCGAGAGACGGTGCGATGTTGTTACTGAAGTCACAAGAGATTCTGTCAAGCTTGCGTCCGGAGAGGTGATCCCTTTCGAGTTCCTGGCGATTGCGACCGGTACATCCTCCCCACGCCCGTCAAAGCTTGAGAGCCCTGACAAGCACGGCGCTTGTGAGGAGCTCAGGCACATCCAGGAGCAGATACGGGACGCGGAGAGCATCGCCGTGGTCGGAGGTGGTGCGGTGGGTGTCGAACTCGTAACCGATATCAAGGGTTGGTACCCGGACAAGAATGTGACGCTGGTCCATTCGAGGGACAGGCTTATGCATGCCTACGGCCCCAGACTGCATGAACGTGCTATGGAGGAGATGGAGAAATTGGGGATCACAGTGAGACTGGGGCAGAGACCGCAAATTCGGTTTGATGGCGACGAGAAGACCGGTGAAAATGGAACGTTGGTGTTTCCAAGTGGCCAGGTGGACAAATTCGGATTGGTCGTGAGCAGCCTACCTGTCGATGCTCAGAGCGCCTCATTTGCTGATGTGGTTACAGATACCGTGCACTGGACAGGCTCCAAATACTCAATTTCTGACGGGTGCCTTGTCCGAGTGCGTTTCCAAGGAGACAGGGAGGATCTTGGTGGCTCCGAGCCTCCAACTTCACTTACCTGGAGGCGCAGTTGACAACATTTTCGCACTCGGAGACGTTGCCGAAAGCGGTGGGCCCAAGATGGCGCGAGCTGCTGAGTGCCAGTCACACATCGTTGCAAGCAATATCGTTTCCTTGATCAAAAGATCCACGGCCCCCGGGATCTATCAACCAGTGATCGCAGTCGAGGGCGCGATCAAGCTGACGCTCGGGAAGGTGTGTTATTTGGACAGAACTCCTGCACGAGTCCCAACTAACGTATTCCAGTCTGCGGTGGCACTGTACTCAGAAGACGGCAGCGGAGATGACGCCTTGATTTCGGTGAATGCAGGACATGAGGACGGAGACATCAAACGCGGCTGGAAGCTTCTTGGAGCCAAATATGACGAGGCTGTCTCTGTGAAAGAGCAATGATGAGGAGCTGGTCGACAGACTTCACATGTTGATAGGCGCTTGACGAGGGTAGTCACACAGTTGGATGAAGGTGGTAGATCTAGTTGTTGTGACAATTGTATCAAAGTAAATAGAATCACAGCGCCTCTGGGGAAATATATAAACTCCATGCCTCCCAGACAAAGCCTGCACCCTTCTTCTTGAATCTCCATCGACGACAGAGACCAGCCTCGACTATTCAACACTAGCCAGACAGCCTGCCTCGGCGAGAAACCCACCCAAGCTCCTTGAGAAAGGAAAAACTAGACATTCGCAATTATGTATCTTATCCCGCTTATCCTATCCATCGCGTCAGCTCTCATGCTCGTCAACGCTTCATCCTCCTCCACGACCATCACAGACGCCACCCCACCATCCGGCACAATCTCGTCGTCTCTCAGCCCTACTGAAACCCCGGTCGTCATCTCGGAGTACGGATACTGCACGAACAAGACCTACATATACTGCTCTCACCGCGACCTCACGGGAGACTACAAGAACGACCTCCCCCACGCCGTGGACGGAATGGACCACTTCTGCCCGAGGCACATGATCGACCCCTACAAATATTACCGAACAATGATTGGCCGCACCCAGATCTACGTCTGCAATTACGGCGACAGCCTGATGCCTTGTTCGTCCGCCGAGTACTGGGCCGCGAATGCGCTTCTGGACGACAAGTGTGGGGAGGGAAAAGGAGGGTGGATGTATAGGAAGACCGAGGACCGCACCTGGTCTGTCGGAAGAGATCCGAGTCTGAACGAGCAGGACTTTTTATCCGAATGTGGGATGTGGTAGGATCCTCGTTGGTGGTGGAGGTATATGGGAGCCGAATCAGTGGTCGTGTCGAATCAGAGGCTGGGGTTCCGATCTCTCAAAGGCGCTACCATGGGATCATTGCCACTTATCCTGGATTCCGTCATCCGACACGAAACTCGTTCTCGGATGAAGCTGAGACGACTAGCAGAACAAAATCTGGATCATGCCTACACAATCAACCATCGCCATCCGGATTGCTTCGCCCGGCTCGGAGACACTCACGGGTTCTTCGACAGGTCATGGTCTTCGCCCCCACAAATCTCACCTCTATTCAGCTCGGGTTCAAGCTGGAATAGGCAAAGTCTGTCTAGAATCTTAAGATTGAAATTTTTGGAAGCAAGCTTGTGTGTATGAGACTCAGTGATGTGGATTTGATCGTCTTGTTCGCCTCGGCTACTTGTGTACAATGAGCTATGGTGGGCTACTGTAATGCTCTTCGAAAATTCCTCACATTAAAAAGTACGATCTAAATGCTTCGGTAACAGCATAAACAGGCAGAATTTAATTTGGCAGTGTAACCTAGTCTAAGCTACTAACTATAAAAGTGTGAACGTCTAATTGGAACTGGGCGTTGAATTAGAAGGACGCGGTGTATAAAATATTGACTGTCAATTCCATGCAGACCATTGCTGGTAAAACCTTGTCCAGCTCATCGAAGACCAAGCTGTGATTAAGGATAGCTAGGAGTGACCCGAGCCTCTTGACGAAGGCCTCCTTTGTTGTGATAGTATAGTCTGGCTCCACCCCGAGTCTGGAATCATCTAGGTGCGGGCCATGAGCTACCGCGTATAACGTATCCCTTGGATCTGTCCATTCGATCCCTCGAAGAAATTGTCGGAGACTTTCGTAAGTGTGGCACATACATGAGTGCTGATAAGAGGAAAGCGGTCGAGAGTGATGAGACCAATTATGGCAGTCACTGGAGGGTCAGTCACTTAGGGGGGGAGTCATATGAGAGCTCCGCATGTCTTTAAAAAGGGTCCCCTCTGCCCCCTGTGCACTCAGAATCTAGCCATACGCCCACTTTGAATACTAACAGTCGCATATTTTCGAGGCCCAGTCTTTCTTGCCACCATTGGAGACTTTTTTCCCTGCCTTAACGTTCTTTCGTGCCTGCATACCTACGGCCAAGCATCAAGAGACCAGAGTTCACAGCTTCCATAATGTCTTTAGAACGGACGGCCCCAGGCGGCCTTGGTTCCTCTCTGATCGACGATATCAATGGCCACACTTTCACGGACATCCAAAATTTCTATGGAAGATCCTTCGCAAATCGACCCTGGGCTTCAAAGGCAGCAGAATTCGTTCAACAAAGCTGGCCGCACGGGCATGAACAACTCGATTCTCAACTAACGGATAATGTAACCACCTGGCTCCAGTGTATCCCAGCAGACCTCGCGGGGCGGGCAGGACTTCATGGCTCATGGCACACGGGCCATGTCAAAGAATGGAAGAGCTCTGACAAGGTCCTAGTGCTTTCGACTTCGCGAAAGTTCGACTACTGGGCTGATGTCGCAGTCTTGGGACTTTTCCACCAAGGCATTCATCGGCAAGGCATACTGCAGCTTTGTCGCATCGCGAAATCAGTGTTCTAGAGCCAGCCAAGTCGATTGTTCCGTCATGGCTTCATCGTTCGCGGGCAGGAGGCCCAAATGTGGCTCTTTGATCGCTCCGGGATCTATGGGTCTCCTCAGCTCACAGTTACGGGTCCAAAGAGTCCATACCTCACAGCCATGGCTGGTTACATGTTGATGGACAGGGGCGAATGGGGTATGTCACCACTGGTTCGTATAGACGGAGAAGAGGGCTATGTGAGCTTGTCATCCAGGCGTGACACTGCGAATCCGACAGACAATTACATTCTGGGCGCCAAGATCTTCGAGCGGGTATCCGGAAACCTGGTTGGCGATGGTCTCACTGTCTACAGAGCCAGACGAGCTGATAGCTCGGACGGAGACTATGCGGTCAAGTTCAAATGGTCAGACGAATCCGAGAGCAATGAATTGAGAATACTCAATTTGCTTAAGGAGAGAAATGTGTGTGGAGTGATTCTCCTCGACGCACATTATGTTGGCGCCAGCACCGAGATGCTGCATGACGGTCTTTCATTGGGTAGCCCTTTGACTTGGCAACTGGGAAGTGATGGCTCCTGCGACGAGATTGATGGAGATATGGGGTCCTGCAGTCAGCACGTCAGGAATGAACCCAAAAGGCCCACTTGCACCGTTGTTACGCCCCAAGGCCGCTCACTTCACAATTATCAATCGATCCCGGAAGTCCTGTTCGCGCTACGCGACGCAGTTAGAGCCTATCGATCACTCTACCAGGACGGGCGGATCCTGCACCGAGACATCAATCCCTCTAACATCATCATCCCCTCCTACGGTCCGGATACGGATGCAGTTGACGCTGCCAGAGGCGTACTGATCGATTTCGACATGGCTAAAGAGAATTCCGAGCTATACCAACCTAATCAAGCCGTCGGAACTTACATTTTCCAGGCGATTGTGGTGTTACAAGCCTATCTCCCAGACAACCCACACACTTACCGCCACGATCTCGAGTCGTTCTTCTACACCTTTCTTTTTCTTGCACTCGCCCGCGCCCAGTTCCGGATGGGGAAAATCAACTGCAACTTCCCCCGTCGAGCGTGCTGCGGGAGTGGTACGAGGGCAGGCTGGTTGACAAAGCGAATCGCAAGATACAAGACATGGAGTCGGTTCAAGCGGCGGATCGTCGCAGAGTTCACCCCCGAGTTCCAGAGGCTTGGGGCGCTGGCAGAGAAGCTCAGGGCGATTTTGTTTCCCGTGGATGGAGACGGCGGAATCTTGACAGGGACGGACTTGACCGACCACGGGACAAATGCCCTTTACGATGCCGTCAATGGTGCGTTCGAAGATGCAGCTTTGGAACATGCGAGACTGTGATACAAAAAAGTTCTTTCAATCCAGGAATAGGAGCCTAGGGAAGGTAAATCTTGAAGTCACGGTCAGTAACGAAGCGCAAAAAGATGAGCTTGAAGGAACGAAAAAGGCATAAATGCAGACGATGGATGTTAGTATGAGTCCGCTTGTTGATTCTCAAGGTTACTCGGCCTTACGCGTTAGGGACATGCTTTAGCAGGCAGTAGCAGCGAGACCTTACATGGCAGGGACTTGACACGTACCAAGATCTAATATGGATGGCACCATCCATCCCCGATGCTCCAGGTGCTGTGGACTTATTGGCGCACCTTTTCTGAGTGGATTGGTATCACAAGGTTTACCTCCCTGAGACATCAAATTGAGATTTCTAAATATGATTGATTTGCTCCCATGATGCGTTGTGACCAGATATTGAACAGGGTTTGAAGGCAAGGCCGCCGCCGGATATGTAAGACTTTCTCGATGCCTAGCCGTCTGCGCGTACGGTCGGGTCTAAGGTCATGAATCCATCGTTGTTGCCTCCCGCCATACCTGTCCTCGAATCTTGACAGCCACCTATCTCTAGGTTTGTCACCCTGACACAGGATGAGGTATTCACATCCTGTCCAACGTTGATATAATTGCCGCTCCATCCGCCAACCGAACTCGGCTGACTGCTGTCTCGCTGGCGCCAAGGGGACTGTCTGCATCTCTTACCTCAGACTGCAACAAACACCACCGAGGAGATACGCAGCTCCGTCAGAGGGATTACCTGCGAGATTTGAAACCCAGAAGTTGGACGGACAATGAGTAAGGCATCCCTCGCCGGTGCAGTCAATGAGCCGTGTCCCTGGCTCGACATCGTGGTCCCATGAACGCTCGTCCCAGTCTTGGCGCACACGCAAGTACGACGGATGGAGTGAGGAAGCTCACCGTGGGAGTCATGTGGAAGCGGTCAGACGTTGCGTGATATTCCACAACATTCTGATCGAGGACATGAGGAATTATTAATGTACAGCGTCCATCAAGGTTCCAAGTATACTCAACTGTTAGTGATTGGGGCCTGGAAAGAGTGGAAACCATTAACATTGCATCCCCTGACTTGTGCTCGGCCATAGTGTCTGTAGGTTGTAAGCTCCGCAGTGCTAGGCTCCATTGATGATGCAACGCTCACTCAGGGCCGGACTTAGGCGTTAGAGGGCGGCGTTACCTAGGCGACAGCGAGCAGAGACGGGATCAACTGCCGGGCACCACAAATCAACAAATCAAACTGGACCAGAGTTTTCCCCTGCAAGGGAAACGAGCAGGATCAGAGTAGGCTACTTTCACTTGCTAGCGGTAGTAAATCCAGCTTTATTCAATATCTCAGTAGACGGTGTTGCTCGTGCTATAGGTGTGGCGAACCAACGTGTGCTACGTAAGGATGAGAGCACACTGTAGCGAAAGACGAGTGGCGCCCTCACAATGCGGCATTATGTGAGGTCTTGCAAGGTAACATCGGTGATGTGCTTGGTTCCATGACTTGATTCCCATCTTGGCCTCCACTGTGGAAGGGGCCAACATGACCAAAAATTGTTTTTAACATCGAGAGCAAAGAATGTCACATCTTAACGGAAATCAAGGCTGACCTGAAATCCAGACGCCTGCTATGTTGGTAGGCGGCTCTCGCTGTTCAAGAGGTATGAGACGTTGAGCATGCGGGCAGTTGCATGGGCTCAATCCTTGCAGCGCGGGGTTGTGAGCCGCGGCCTGGATGGAGCTTGTTTGCGTGGGGTTGCTCGTGAATCCCGCCACCAAATAGACTGACCTTGGAGTTTCGAAGCTACGGAGGTCGACTACCTAGGCACAGGGGACTTTGTTGCTCCGTGCTGAGGAACGGCGAGACGATCATCGCGCCAGGAGGCGGGGATGTCGGAATAATATGCAATTACGGTGGCAGGAAATATTCCACTAAGCATTGGTGTCGATTGAGAATTCTCTCGTCAGGACCCGTATGCTACTATATAGACCCGCCGTCACGCCTTCTGCAGGAGAGCTCCCCTTCTAGCGTTCCCCAGGTACCTTCCGTCCCGTTTGAATGGCCCTGCCCCGGTCAGTGCCCACTTGATTTGTAATGTCGTCATCGAGTTTGTCGCCATTGAAACACCTGTCGACACCTTCCCCTCTCTCCATAATTATAAAGAGCTGTTTGAGCTCCAAGGTAGCATCCAGCACGTCCCCGCCAGCTTCCCTCTTCTCAACCCACACCACAGCAGCAACTCATACCACAGCTGTTCACCATCCATTCGCCCACTCCAGATCTCGACTCTACTCAACCGCAACCATGGCGCAACCAACCGTCCGCTCCGCTTATGACCCCAAGAGCATGAAGTTCCGCTACCTGGGCCCCACCGGTCTCCAGGTCTCGGTCTTCTCCCTCGGTGGCTGGCTCACCTACGGAGGCACCCAGAAGGGCTCCATTGTCAAGGAGATCCTGCAGACGGCTTGGGACCATGGCATCGTGGGTGGCTCCAGCATCCCCAGCTTGCGCAATCCGTCCCAGCAACTGACTCGCGCCCCCTCCTAGCAAACATTCGACACCGCCGAGATCTACGCCAACGGTGCCTGCGAGGTCGAGATGGGCACCGCCCTCAAGGAGCTCGACTGGCCCCGCGACGAGTATGTCCTGATCACCAAGGTCTTCTTCGGCACCGGGCGCAAGGAGCCCAACACTCGCGGCCTCTCGCGAAAGCACGTCATCGAGGGCCTCAAGTCCAGCCTGCAGCGCCTGCAAACCCCCTACGTCGATGTCGTCTTCGCCCACCGCCCCGACGTCGGCACCCCCCTCCTGGAGATCGTCGAGGGCTTCACACAAGCCATCCGCAACCTCAACCTCGCCTACTACTGGGGCACGAGCGAGTGGAGCGCCCAGCAGATCGCCGAGGCCACCAGGCTCGCCGAGAAGCACAACCTTATCGCCCCCATCGCCGAGCAGCCCCAGTACAACGCCTTCCATCGCGAGCGCTTCGAGGTCGAGTTTAAGCCCCTGTTTGACCAGTTCAACTACGGTACAACCATCTGGAGCCCCCTCGCCAGCGGCCTGCTGACCGGCAAGTACAACGACGGCATCCCCGAGGGCTCGCGCTTCGCCACCAACAAGGACTTCTTCGAGAACACGGTCAAGAGCCTGCAGACGGACGAGGGCAAGGCCAAGATCGAGAAGGTCAAGAAGCTGACCAAGATCGCGGAGAAGCTGGGCGGCAACACGTCGCAGCTCGCCCTCGCCTGGGCCGCCAGCAACCCCAACGTCAGCACCGTCATCCTCGGCGCCACCAAGATCGAGCAGATCAACGACAACATCAAGGCGCTGGCCCTGCTGGACAAGCTGACGCCCGAGGTCAAGGAGGAGATCGAGGCGGTGCTGGACAACAAGCCCAAGCCCACGGCCACGTTCAACCGAGAGAGGTGAATCGAACCCTCTGCTGCTTGTTTGGGGAGCTAGCTGAGAGATTGCACACAACCCAGACTCACACAAATCTTTGACTTGTAGACAACCGAAACAGAGGAGGACGTCGAGGGCAAAACTCTAGATAAAAACGGAGGCAGACTTGGAGAATAATATTGTACCGGGATTTACCCAAGAAGATGAACGTTCGCTTGCACATGACACTGCGCACTGGGAGCGTCCATCTCAGTCCCCAAACATTCTTGCTAGGGCGTCTACCGGTGGCAGGTAACACAAGCCCGCATGCGATGGTGCCTCCCATATCCTCATGTCAGTGACATCCTGGACGACCAGATCGTGGTCGAAGTGCTCCAAGCGCGGCAATCGATCTCGCAGCCGCCTCAAGTCCTTGGTAGACGCTAAACATTTGTCTTGGAATTCCACAGCTTCCAGGTTGGGGAATATTTCCTGTGTGAAGAGATTGCGTCAGCAGCAAAGCGCCTACTAGCACGACCCGTTGGTTTTACAAGGACACTCACCGGGATTTGACTCAGTATCAGTTCCTGATCCAACACGTAAGTCTGTTCGTCCCGATCATCCGGGTCATCCCAGGTATACTGCATCCCCCAAGCCGCAGGGAGCAGGTCCAACCTCGTCACAGGGACCCCGTTAAACTTCGGGATACTCACCAGAGACCCCTGGAGGACCGTCACCCTCCTGAACCGGGGCAACTCCAGCCCGCACAGCAGCGCCTCGGCCCTCGGCCGGTCCTGGCCCCCAGCGGCACACGACCACGCCCTCCCCGACCAGGCGCGCGTGGTACCGCCGCCGCGGGCCCGGGGCGGCGCGTGCGAGGACCTCGCTCAGGTCGAGCCGGGTGGAGCACGGCCGTGACCAGAGGTGAGGTGATGCCTCCGGCGTGCCATGGCTTGCTGACCCTGCAGCACCGCGCGAGGGCGGCGAGGCCGCGGCGGTGCGCGGTTGGGTCCCATGCTGTCTGGTTTGTGATGGTGTCCCGGTTTGGGATGGCGCAGAGGAAGATGTGGGAGAGGATCTCGGGGGGGGGGGGGGATCAGGGCGCGGTTGGTGGGTGTTGGTGGTTGCGGCGTTTTGTCTCTCAGGAGAGGATCCATGACTGGTTGGTTAGAGAGCAGCGGCAAGATCTTGTGCCATGTAATTTTCTGTTCCGTGTCTTTCTGGCCTTTGACATCCTGCTCATGTTAATGTTCGTGAAGCTCAAGGCAACTCTTGTAGCGGTTTCATGGGATACGCGCCAGATGCGGCACAGAGCATATACCCGGCGCAAGGACTGACGCACCCGCTGGAGAAAGAAGAGTCACACGCCGACATCGAACACGAGACGAGTCGACCAATACGACGCGCGCACACACACACACACACACACACACATATACACACAACCCAATGCCGGACACGCCCTCGACATCACCCCCAGGGCAGCAGAACTCACCTCGCCCTCCACCGCACCCTCCCGACCCACGCCGCAAACCCGCGGACCTCCTCCCGCGCCAGCAGCCTCCCGACGGTGTGGTACTCCCTCGCGAGCTCCTCGTTGCCCGCGAGCCGGTGCACGAACGAGTGGCACGCGCGGCACAGCCACGCGGCCGCCTGGAGGTCTTCCTCGCGGTGCCAGCCGCGCCTCAGGGCCTTGGCGTGCACGGCGCGCGGGACCAGGTGGTGGTACGTCAGGGGCACCCAGTCGCGGCCGCAGATCTCGCAGTCGGTCGTGAGGGTCCTGGTCGCTGAGGGGGGTGGGGGTGGGGTGGTTGTGGCTGTGAGGTAGGCGGTCAGGATGGGCGCGAGGAAGGTGGTTATGTCCTCGGCTGGGGGCGTGAGGATGCCGTATGTGGTGAGGGATTCCGATACCTCTGGGTCGAGGGTCGGCGTGATCTTGTCCGAGATGTCGTTGCTTGTGAGTGGGAGGGCGTATTCCTCTTGCAGGCCAGGGCTCTCGGCCCAGACCCGGTGGGTGATAGTCTGCAGTTCCAGAGGCAGGTTCTCGAACACGATCGAGGCAATGTAGTCTGAGAACTCTGACAGCTCCTCTACATCTGCTTCAGAGGCTGCTTCTCCATTGCTAACGGCTGCAGTTCCGGTATTGGCCGCCCTGCCTCTTTTCCTTTGCTTGTTCCCACGGCCCTTCTGCGGTTTTTGTATCTTTTCGATGAGAGCGCTTGATAATATGTCCCTGAACTGGTCACTATTCTGGTCTCTGGGAGAGGTCTCATCCATTTCAGTAAAGATATTGACCTGGCTGACGTGATGCTCGAGGGATTTGTTGACTGGTGAGCAAGTCGGCCAGCGCTGATGACTCAAAGAACTGGTGGTGGCCACAGGAGCATTGGAGGCTACGACGATGAGGACTGATGGACGGACTTGGACGCGAACTGGTTTCCAGTCATTGCAGTGTTCAGACCGGAGACCCTCTTTGATTCGAAGTGCTTGGGGTCAGCTTGATGAAGTGTTGAAACCTCTTCCGGCAATGGCCGGTAATGTCTGGCTTATAATAATCCCAGGTTCCGCGATGACATCATCAATTTTTTTGAGCAACATGGAAAGTTTGTGACATTCCATAGGGAGTATCTGACTACCGACACGTGAGAAAGTGTCCGCTCCAGTAGTCCTTAAATTCGAAACGAATCTCTCGTATATTCTTTTAATAAAGGACTCTGGTTTTCCAGAAGCGGTTCTCGCCAGCTTTGTCTGTGCATGTTTTCTGGGCAACGTACCACCATTGTATTCCAAACCTACTGCTATCAGCTATTTTTTTTTTGAACCAAAAAAAGAGTGCTGGGTGTTGAAGCTTTTGCTACTTTATGGAGGGTCCGGATGCATACTGCTGATGAAGCATATATACACGGATCAAAAGCGAAACGACAATCAAACTGTTTGCATATTTGATCACTGTAGGTGGCAGGCGCAACTCATAGTGCCCGTCCAAATTTAGTGTTCTTATGTCATTGTTGGATAGAACATGCGCAGCCAAGTATGGATGTACTCTTCAAGTCTCAATCCACTAACCCTATTTCGCAGAATCTCACCACATCGCCTTGGCACGTTGGCTCCGTAAGGATGCCTAATGTGGGCAGGCTGCTGACATGGTAATGAGGCAGTGTTCGCGCTCTCTGCGCTACGCGACTTTTAACGTAGAACAGTGCATCACCTCCTTCAGGACATAGACCAAGGCCTCAAGCGGTTTCCTCCCTGCCCAAAACGCATCAAGTCGTATCAACGATTAAATCCTTTGCCGATTACAGAATAATCAAGAGCCTACGTCAGCATCAACAAGAGACGTGACCGAGCCGCACGCCACGACAAGAATGCAGCTTCGCCACCCAAGATACGAGTTTGTTGTCGACGCAAGCCCGTGGCCGCCAGCTAGTCACCCGCCTGACTGGGTCAACGAGCCCGACGACTACACGATACCGATCGTCGTGATCAGCAGCTTCTACGTAGTTGGGATCCTCGTGGGCTGCTTGATCCTCAGGGCCGTCAGCTACCCAGCCGGTCCAGGGGAAGCGCGATGGGTGCCGGCCTGGGCCCGCCGCGACGCCTGCCTCACCCCACTGTTCTTCGCCCTGCCCGCTTTCTCCTGGCCACTGCTGCCCGCAGTAGCGGTCCTCACCGTTATCGGCTTCTTCCTGAGAGCATTGGCGGGCGGGCTGTGGAACATCGTCGGCTCCTCGACCTCGTGCTGCGGCATACCACTCCCTCGGCGGCGGTCTGGGGGGGCTGCTGCTGCTGCTGACGCCGGCGCCTCATCGGACCCCGACTTGGAGATGGGACCCGTCGATGCGTGTGGCGAGCATCCTGTGGGAGGCGTCCAGCTTGATGGTGGAGCGGATGACTCTGATGCGTTGGCCGGTGTGCGCCGTGCTGGTTCCGAGGAGTCGGAGCGCCCGCCCTCGTATACTTCCGTGCCGCCCGACGAAGACGATGGCGGGGAGGCGGATGGTCTACTGGCCAAGAATGACAAATGAAGCGTGATTGGTCGGTCGGGAATTGCTCGTCACCATGCTCTATCCGAGTCTCGCGTGGGCGGGCTGAATGTTGTTGAGACGGCGTGATGAATGAAGATACTACGCTTGGCTAATGGGATTACTCGAGTGTGAGTAAGAGTGATTAGCATAGCTTTGGATAGGTCTGTAGTTACGAGCAATATGCTAGAAGGGACGGCCACAGAAACGTTCGTCGATGTTTATCTTGATACATTGAAGAGTCAGCACAGCAGAGGGCAGTTTTCAGGTGAAGCTTCATGAAGTATATCGGCGCGAAATGCGAGTGCAAAATGGCAAAGGACTAAAGCTCCATGGAGATACCACCATGGTCCCCCATTTATAGTACACCCATCAGATGGGTCTGATACAATGCATCGATTCCGCATTTCAGCCGCCCCGGACGCTCCAAGCTCGACCTCGTGCGGCAACTTGGGCACTGTCTTTCCATGGCTGCTCACATATTACTGTACACATATGATTAGCTGCTCATCAGACAACCATTCATGGTTTACTTTTTTTAACTTTCTTTCGGGAAGTATCTCGTCTGTTCCACATCTAGACTTTAGGACTCACTGAAGTACAGGTGAGTATTTGTTCTCCATACCACTTCTTTCTCTTGACGGGCCTGATTTAGTGTCGACGGAGCCCAAGTTCCGGGAAACGACAGAGTGATCGCCAGAAATCAACAGTGTTCCCTCTTCCATCACCGAGGTCAACCCATGAGGACATTATTCCCCACCCATATCCCGGCCCAGTCCTTTGAGAGCTTTCCATCAGTCTTTCAGTATGGAGAAAGAGGTTCCGATGCGGACGACGCGGGACGTCTCCTTGAGCTCCGCGGCAATCATCATCACCAGATCCACCAACCGTTCAAACGGGTAGGTCGCCCAGAATCGCTCAAGTCTGCCAAGGATAGTAAATTGGCGATCGCTGGTACGATTCTGCACGATGGCAGCCTTGAGCAAGGCAGTGACCACATCTCGATCGGTCCAGTCGGTGCTATCGCCGCCAAGTAGTTGTGTGAGCCGCCCAGGACGAGATCCAAACTGGAGGTAGACGCCGTTGGACAGGGCGAGTGAGAACTGCTCGTTGTGCTCTTGGAGCTTGTGTTGGGTCCGTGTCAGTGGTTCGGTCCAAGGGCGACTTGGAACATGGAACGCGGGGTGCCAAAGCTCCACTTCGAGGTTCTCGACGAGCGAGAGGTGAGAGATGCCGTTGATGCCGGTGGTGAGGGCGCCGAAGTGATTGAGGAACTTGTTCCAGACTTCTTCAGCCTCGCCGTGCGTCTTGGGGTGGATGCGGATGCCGAAGCTCTTCTTCTTGTAAATGAACATGGGGAGGACCTCGTGGCGGAGCTGCCGGTTGGCCCTGGCGAGCGCGGGCTGCTGGGACAGACTGTACTCGCCAACTGGACGCTGACAATGATGTTCGATTCTGTGGATGTCATCGATGACCATGGAGAAGATGCTGTTGCGAACCTCCGCCGGTAGAGTAAGGAGAGACAACTGCGAACTGTCAGCGATCGGATTGACCTCTATTACAGGTCGACAGATTCTGCCCAAGCGGGTTGGTTGAATTACCTTGTCTATGGTGATGGATTCCATGCTGGTGGAGGAAATCACAGAGTCGTTCTTGCAATCCTGCTGGGATCCCATCAGCTGTGAAGTCGTATACTTGAGAGGAAGCATAGGGTTTGGTGGTGGTGAGCATGGCATACCTCGACAGAGTCAACCTTGTTAACAATAGCGACCTCGTCGTTGTTCATGATTGATGACTCTGCTGTTGACTATATCCTCAAATGCGTTGGTCTCGTGATGATTGAAAATTTGAATGGGGTTGTGTGTTCAGGCCTTTAAGTATTTTTCCGGTAAGGAAGATTCTCTACCATGCGTTCTCTCGAGCATGGTCACTTTTGCAAGTGTCCATTCTCAGCAAGCTGTAGTAAAAACACTTGGAGAAGTGGCTTCAACACAGTGCTTGACGGCGTCAGACCAGCTCGACAGTTTCGCTTTTGACGGAAGCAACGGCACTGGTGTCAATAGGCTTAGCGCAACTACGACCCGTAGTGAAAAGTGCAGGCTTGTTAGGAACGCGGGAAGTCACTATCCAGAGCCTTACATCACAAGTTTCCTGCAATTATCCACAAAAGACCCGGTCCCTTGTCCTGATTAGCGACTTATTACGGCTCCGGCTAAGTTGAAAAGCTTCAGTTACACGAATTGTCTACAAATACTCAACAAAGGCACACCCCTTGATATTGGCCTCATTATTAGTGTCGTCGTTGCCAATCTTCATAGCACCTTGGCCTTGCAAGATACTATGAACGGGGTGACTGGACAGGTGGGAGTGGCAAGGGGATGTGCTATGCGGAAAAGGCACACCCAATGTGGTGTAGAGAGAGAAAAAACCATATGCAGTGATGAATGATGGGTTTTGAAAAAGAGTCTTGCTGTATCAGTGTCAGTGAAAGAATGCTACCTGACTTGATGGAGATGTTCTATGGAGCAGCCGGCGGCTGCCCTATGGCGGCAGGGACTGAAAGGCGATATTTACATATCTTTACAATATTGTATGCTATGCTCAGTAGCGGCGCAGAATCGCCACAGGTAGCAAACGAAGAATAGAACAGGCGGCATTTGATGTTTACAGGGCCCCCAATCACCACCAAAAGATAGATTCCTCACGAATCCAAGAGCCAACCGAACAACTCCCGGTGAAACTCCGCCGGCTCCTCTATCTGTGGCGCATGTCCCAAATCAGGGAATTGGACCAGCGTGCTATTCGGAATCATCGCCGCCGCCGCGGGGCCCAGCACACTATAATTCCCAATGACCGCCTGCACCGCCGGCGGCGACCAGGCCTTTCCAATGGCCGTGTTGTCCCTGTCCCCGATGACCAACAGCGTGCGCACCTGCTGCCCCAGCAGGCCGAACTCGTAGATGACGGGCTGCGTGTAGATCATGTCGGTGGTCTGCGCCTGGTTGTAGGTGAACTCGGCGCGGCGCGTTCCCGTGTAGACGTTGTAGAGCATGCCGACCCACACGTCGTACTGGGGCTGCCACCGGCCGACGTAGTAGGTCGTGTTCTCGTAGGCCTTGATGGAGGCGTACGTCGTCGCGTTCTCGGTGGCCCAGCTGCGGTCGACGCTCTGGTAGGGCACCCCTCTGGTCTTCCAGTCCTCCAGGCCGAGGGGGTTGACCATTGCCATGGCCGTTGTGTTGCTGGGATACATGCTGGAGGAGGAGGTCAGCGTGACTACTCTGAGGATTGATACCGGACTGTTCAGGCACCCAGGGCCGCAAGAAGACTTACAGGGCGTATCGAGCTGCCAGCATCCCGCCCGTGCTGTGCCCGATAATGGTGGCGTTGTAGATGCCCAGCTGCTTCAACAAACTATTTGTGTTCAACGCCAATTGCTGGAACGTGAACTGATACCCCACCGGCTTGGTCGACTTACACCACCCCACCTGGTCGGGCGCAATCACCCGGTACCCGACACCGGTCAACTGGATGATCGTCTCGTTCCACGTCGCCCCGCAAAAGTTCTTCCCGTGCAGCAAGACGGCCACCGGCGCCTCTGTTGATGTGTTTGCGGTGTTTGCGGGGGCCACGTCCATAAAGGCCATTTGCATGTTCAGGCGCTGCGAGGGGAAGTTGTAGACTTTGACCGGATAGGGATAGGTGAAGTTGGAGCCGTTCAGGTCATCTGGCTGTGGGCCGTCGTCGATGTAGCCGTTTCCCCCGCCAAGCGAGCCTTGGGCGGTGACTACTGACGTAGCGGCGAGGAAGAGGAGAGGCAATGTACGAAGTATGTTCTTCATTGTATTGCTTTTTTTTTAACTTGTTAAGACCGCATAAATGATATAATTATAGACGTTGTCTCAGGAATGAATACTATATTATATGTACGATGAGACGGAATTCATGCTATTATCATGGATTGCAGGCAGAATTAAGCTGTGGAAATGGATTTTCATTTAACTTCACTTGGGGAAGTGAGTTCTCATTAGATGCGCGAAGGAAGGTATATAATAGTAATTGAATGATAAGATAAGCCTATCGATTACAGCGTTACATTACAGTACCTTAGGCACGTCTAGCTTAACCATGGTTTTCCCTCCAACCACAATGCATCAATGGTTGTGCGGGGAGGAGGCTGCCTACGTCGTGCTGAAAGCGGATAGAAGTTATGGTCCTGTGGGTTACTGAAAACTTATCCTACTGTTCTGCAGTTTAGGTGATGGATAAAGTAGGTAATTTATATCTACAATAGTTTCTGTTTACATCGTGGATATGTTGACTTGCTTAATGGCTTTACTGCTCATTGGATTTCAATCTCCCAATCACAATGTAAGATCGTTACCTGCGATCAAATTCCACGCCATGGTGTGCAACTTCGCACTTTTCGTGACCAAACACTCCTAAATTGAAATAAACGTCATCTTTGCTCCCCACAAGTCACTCGTCGCATCTGCAAGACCACCGTTGCCTGCAATAGCCATAGAGACGAGAATATGGCTAACGTTTATACTCCCAACATAACACGTATTTACCCTTACATGAGCTTCCAGCACTTAGTGAGCCCTGCCCTTCTCAGCCCCGAAGATCTTTATGTGAATCACAAACTCACTCGACTATCACGCCGACGCCGTCCTAGTCACAAAACACAAGAGCATGTGTGAAAGGGTTCGGGTCTGCAGCACAATAAGTCTCTCTGCAGACGTCCCGTAGATTACCCGCCTTAGCCCATTCCCAGGACACCAACCAGCGGGTGAAGTATTGGACGAACGCTCTGAGAAGTAAAATTTCGCGTGGGGACTCGCAAGAATTGCAAAGTTGATGAGCTGGCGAAGGGCCTCCGACTCGCACCTGCAGAGCGGAGAAAAGCATATCCTATGTCATGGTCGTGCATCACGAAGTCGTAGCGCAAAAGTATCCGGATTCCCGGGTATAAATCACTTCCGTTTCTTATTTCTGTCTTATTCCGTCTTGGTTTCTCGCGGTGTCAAATGTTCTGGTTCCGATTTTACTTGTTTCCCCAGGAATCACTGTGTGAGGTGAGTTGAATGTGGGCATCGCGAGATCGCGAGGCTTGCCCTCGAGTAAACAAACTCCCAGCTGCTGGCTCTCATTTGACAAGTGAGTGTCGTGCAAAATTCAGGTCTGACTAATGAACCAGTTATGATGACTGCAAGCCTTCGCGGTTGTCTCCAATAGTCCTCAGGTCACGGCCGAAGATCAAACACGAAGAGGAACAAGGTCATCCAACGAGCTATCAAAGCGTTTCTGTCGACACCGACAGCACTGGTGTGCTGAAAAGTCATCTCTGGACGTCGGAAAGTAACAAAAACATCTGATGGTCGTCAGCTGACTCTCCGCGAGTCGAACAAAGACGGAATACTCCGAAACCATGCATCCAATCGCCTACATTCGGCGGCAAGACCCAGATTGCAGTTGTGACCTGGGGCTTTACGTCGACGACTCCACCAATTTCGACCTGACACAGCGATACATTGTTGTAACAATACTCGGTGTTTCCATATACAACTGCGTGGAGCTTATCCCGTTCATCTTCGCCACGTTCAAGAGGTACAAGGGCTTGTACTTCTGGAGCCTCCTGGTGTCCATTCTTGGCATCCTCATGTCCAATGTGTCGAACCTAGTTTCCAACTTCTACCCGAACCCCCCTCGCCTCCAGGTCGGGCTGATTGGCCTCGTTGGATGGGCACTCATGGTGACAGGTCAGTCCCTGGTTCTCTACTCCAGGCTTGACCTTCTTCCACTTCGCGACAGAACACGACGATGGGTTCTGCGCGTAATCATATTCAACGCGGTTGTGATGCAAGTTCCAATCATTATCTTGAACACGGGATCGAAGTCTGGCCGGCCGGAGAGGTTCCTCCCAGTGTTTTCAATATACGAGAGAATCCAAATCATCGTCTTCTTCCTGCAAGAAGTGGGACTCTCGTGTGTCTATTTGTGGGAGTGCTTCAAGTTTCTCATCGTCCCAGGTAAGGGCTTTCGTCTCTCGAGCATTTGATTACAGTTTGAGAACGATTCCTCCGAGCCTGAAACCCATTGCTTTCTCTCGATTGCTAACGATGCACAGACATACCGGTGGCGTGCAGGGTTGAATCCGGCGGCTTTGGCAATGGCCCCCAAAAGAATTCGAGAAAGGTTCTTCTTCATCTTCTCATTGTAAGCATAGCCGTGATTTTACTGGATATAACTGTCATCGTGCTGGAATTCTCGGGCTTCCATCTCATCCAGATCAGCTACAAAGAGCTGGCCTACAGCATAAAGCTGAAACTGGAGATATCCGTGCTAAGCCGTTTGGTAAAATTCGTCCAGTCAAGGCCTATGGGCAGCAGCGGGAGAATCACCACACAGGATGAGCTTGATGGAGGTCCAGCCATCCACCAAGCGTTCGATCCACCTCTTTGTGTATGTAGGATCGACTCAGGAGACGGAGAGTTGGACGCAAGCCGTACAGAGCACACGACTAAAGACGCTCGAAGCCACTCAGGGCATCATGGAGGTAACAGGAGTCTGACACATCCGACGCAAGACTTGACTGTTGAAAGCATTGCGTGAAAAAAAAAAAAAAAAAAAAAAAAAAAAAAAAAAAAAAAAAAAAAAAAAAAAACCTTTGAAAGAATGAATACAAAAGTGGACATGTCTTTCCGAGTTTCCATTAGCATTTAATCTCAGTGCCTTTCATACGTTACTTCATAATCATGGGAGCGACGACTCTTCGACAAAATTCCAGGTGCCAATGAAACGCCAAAGTCGCCTCTGTCTGGAAATACGCGATTCATATAACATCATGACCTCTTCGACGCCTTGCTGTGTCTAGGCAACTCCTGAGATGAATGAGCACTGCTGTTGCCCTCCCTCTTCCGCTTCCTTTCTTTCTGCAACTCCCCCGACCGGTTCAGGCCCTCATACAGGGCCCAGGCAGCGAGCGTCTTGGCGTCCCTAGCTCCATCTCTCCACAGTGCTTCGTATTCCTTGACGTGCAGGGTGATCATCTCGTTCTGCGTCCTGACTCCGGTGAGTCTTCCCCTGAGATCTTCGATCTCTTGCCGGTCCAGCTCCTTCTCCCACAGGAACAGCGCAATGTACTCATCGCATCCTCCGGGGCTAGGGTACATGGCGGACTGCAGGCTCGTCTCATCGTGACCCGAGTTGCCAAGAGCCAGTTTGGTCATGTCGATGAGCTCAGACTCGGGGATCTTGAAGCCTGTTTCTTCCTCGATTTCCTTGGCAGCGGCACCCCCGAAGTGATTAGAGTCATCCAGCATGCCGGCCGGGATTTCCAAGAACTTGAGTGACCCGGCTGGTATGCGCGGCTGCTCGGTCAAGATGACATATCGCTCATCTCTCGAGTCTTTGGGCCGGAGGATCATGAGCATCGCCACGCTCCCGCCCCTGAGAAAGGCAGTTCCAGGAAGCGACTTGGAGGCGTCGCGTGAGTTTTCATCCGAAAAGGGTTCACGCTCCACGGCAGCGTCAATTTTGATGAATCCCACTCTGCCACTGGGAAACCTCGTGACGGATGTGACCTCGATTGACCTAAGGCTGTAAGGGTGCTGGTGAAAAGCATGGTCCTTGGACTCTTGCAATTTGAGGTTGGCGTGCAGTGTTGCCTTCCAGTTTTTAAAGGCCGGCCAGGTTTCAAGCTCATGTTTATTGATGGTGTTTGGTAGGTAAACGGGGATAGTCGTGCCAAAGAAGTCAATTTTGTCTTCTTTCCATGCAACAGTAGGGACTTCTTTGGGCATCTTGAACAGCGTAGAGAACACGGTAGGGGACCAAGATTGCAGTCAAAGGATAAGTTTCTCCGGAAGTTGACCAAAGTGGTGGCAGTGTGCACTTTCGTGGAGCGCAGGGGATAGGAGTTAATACTAAAGACTTCTGGAAATTGCGTCCCGTGCCCAAAGTTGGGGATCATTCATACCTAGGAAGACATTGGGAGGTCGCCGTCTTTCAGCCTCAAAAACCGCCTGAGCGGCAGACTCTGCATGTGCTACGTTCTACAACAGTCTGCAGTAGCTGGGCGGGAGGAGCTAAGCCGCTAATGCGGTGAGATGGTCAAAAAAGCAGGCTATCTAATGCGCCTCTGGAGCTATCGGTCCTCAAGGACGGCTCTAAGTGGGTACTCGCAGGACTCGGTGAGATATTGTGACAGGGATTCTCATATGTTGTAACCAACCATGCCGGATCAGCGGCAAAGCCCGCCATGATATCAGCGCCAGACGCTGCCAGCATGCAACTCCCCCTCCAACACAGGCTTGGCCTGGCTGCCGTTATAATCCACCATTGAGCCACGAGTTGGCATGCGTGTACTTGAGGAGCTTTATCCCCACGCAAGGTATTATTCTACTTGCAACCTATATGCCAAGGCTGTGTCGTCTACTGTGGCCATTCTTTTGCTACGAAGAAGACCGAACGATCCTCCGTATTACTTCAACATGCTTTGCGAAATCTGCTGGCGGATGTTGCGAGGGCAGGTTGGGAGGCAGTGGAGAGGCACCTATGACCTGCATTTCGACCACCACCACTCCATTGAGACACTGAAAGCATCACACAACATGGGCTGCGGTATATGCCGGGTTCTTCACGAGGAACTCATTGCAAGTTCCAAGAAAGACATCGTCCAAAGCGACGAAGAACAAGTCTCCGATGAGGTGGGAAATGCTGGGGTTAAGACTGATTTGAGCGCTCACAGCACTGCACTGCTTGGTGTTATCAATGACATTGAGGATCGCGACGTGTTCCGCCTCGACTTCAAGCTAGAATGGGCACGGAGGGAGCACCATCAAGAGATTATAAAGCGAACTTTCGTTCTCAAACAAACCGGTACGTGAGGGTTGATATAAATTTTGGAGTACATTACTGACCTCGGGAGTGACTCGCAGACAGCTCAGTAGCAGCATTCAGAACTCCCATGTCTGAGGAAACGTCTTCAGGCGAGGTCTTCAAGCTCGCTTTGAGCTGGATCACGCAGTGCGATCAGAAATGCAATCCGCCCTGCTCAAAGTCAACACCTAATTGGTACCCAACTCGTCTGATTGACATAAGAGATCTCAAATCTAAAGAATACCTGGAGACAAGAAGAAAGCGATACACGGGCAATGCGCCTAGCCAGGAGCAGACTTTGCGAGACCTGAACAAGACCACCGTCAGACTCGTGGAAAGACCTCCCAACGATGTCCGTCATGGCCGGGATGTCTTTGGTGAGACCGTGGAAAACGACAAGCAGCCAAACAATCTCTATGTCACACTGAGCCATTGCTGGGGCCCAGATCCGACGCACTACACTCTTACACCAAAGACCGAGGGCGAGCTCAAGGCAGGTATCGAGATCCAGAAGCTTCCACAGACATTCAGAGACGCGGTTAACTTTGCATCGCAACTGCACAATGTTGGCTGGATATGGATTGATTCTTTGTGCATCTACCAACGCCGTCTGGGCGCCTCTGAAGAGGATAATAAAGTCGCAGAAAAGGACTGGCTTCATGAAGCAGCCCTGATGCAAAGGGTGTACCAGGAGTCATATCTCAATGTATCTGCCACTGCTGCTTCGAACAGTGACGAGGGTCTTTATTCGGAGCGGGACTATAGAAATCTCTGGGAAAACGAGGTCAGCCTCAAAGTCGACGGCATCCCTGGTCTAGCACTGCACGACGAGGAGCACAATCACAACGAAGAAGTCAGTACGGTAAGGCCCAAGAACGGCCATGTCGGCTCATCCTTCTGGAAATGGTTTACACGGCTCTTCCATGCCCCCACACCGGAGAGTCTCGAGGAGGCTGAACCCGTCGCGAAACCCGTCGCGAAGATCGACTGGGGTGGAGAAAAGCCGTTGACTATGGCCCTTCCGGAACCAGAGGGACTCCGCAGGTGCGTCATCATCGACACGTCACATTGGGAGGACCTGGTGAATAGGGCTCCTGTCAACGTCAGGGCCTGGGTTCTCCAAGAACGGTTGCTGGCCCCGAGGGTTCTGCATTTCTGCAAAGGCAGTATTGCTTGGGAATGCGGCCAATTCACGAGGGCAGAAGGTCACCCCACAGGTCTACCCAGGTTCCAATTGCAGCACGACAGAATCCTGCCTGAAGTTCCGCTCAAGGGATTGGACCCGTTCAAGCATGGTAAAGAATTGAGAAGAATCAGACTGGGAGACTCCAAAGAACCGGATCCTGAGATGCCGGAAAAAGACCTATACGGATTCGAGTTGTGGGCGCGCGTGGTTGAGATGTATTCGAGGATGAACCTGACAATTTCCAAGGACAAACTTATCGCTCTGTCTGGGATCGCCCAGCTCATGTCAACCAACATTCTTGGCTCCAAAGAGGTCCCGGCTCGGTATGTGGCTGGCCTGTGGTACAAGTACCTCGAGAGCCAACTGCTTTGGAGGGTTGAACCCATCTTCAAACGGCACAATCAAACTTTTCATCAGCCTTCCGGACGACCGGAAACTTTCAGGGCGCCGTCGTTCTCATGGGCCTCTGTCGATGCACAATACGGTATTGATGACCAGCCTGGCAACGGCATCACCTACGGCGAGGTTACTGACCAAGACTTACTCATTGATCTACAAAAGGGAGAGAACGACGTCGTGATCAAGACTCAGACTGAAAATGAGTTTGGTCTGGTAGATTGGGGTCACATCATGCTTTATGGAAAGCTAAGGAAGATCAGGCTGTCCAGAGGGGAAAGGGGCAGATTCTATTGGCAGATAGTCGACCGGAACCTCGTCTGTCCGAACATCGACAAGGAAAGACACCATAACGTATACCTCGACGCACCAGACGACGACGACAAACGCCAGAGAATATTCAAGTCCCACGACGTCTACTGCCTTCCGGCGGCGCGCGGCCCAAGGTCCGAGGACAAGGAATCAAAGTACATCATCTGCCTGATCTTGCAGCAAGCCGCCGACGATGACCAGGTCAAGGACCTGACCCCCCTAGAGAAGAAAGGCACCTTTCGCAGGGTCGGACTGACGAAGCTGTCAGGCTGGGGCGACAAACTCACATACGAACATATTCTGACACCCCATGCGGGAGACGTCTACCTGCCGCAATGGCCTCATGCGTTCGACACAACCACGAACCGGCACTTGGTTCGCATCATTTAGGTGGCGACTTAATTATTCATGGACCAGTGTTTTAAGAGACACGAGCGCCGTAATCATTCACGGTCATGGTGTCCTCTAGTTTCAGCTGTGGACAGCATGGGGAAAAGGTAGGTTGCACGCGGCTGACAATTTCAGGCGGAAGTCCGAGTTGTTTTTGGTAAGGGATATCAGTAGTACCCAACGGGATGAAGTCACTTTCAATAGTTTGCTTGGTAGTTGAGGTTAAACCATCACATTTAGCTGCACCGCTCTCGTCAAACAATCACCAGTGTGTATCCCCTTTGTATCCCGGCTTCAGTATTCCACTGAGACCCTACAACGCCGTTTGCTTGGGTAAAAACCCAGTGGGCGTCGCGCCACCAAGAATGGATATCTTTCCATCAGTGAAACCATACATGGCGATCTCAGGCAGCTTGACTTCGCCGCCTCCGAAGTGCTCTCGGAGACGTTCGTTCTCGGGAACCCCTTGCATGGAGAGCTTAACAGCCAGTTGCTGCTTCTCGGCATCAACCACCATTTCTTCCACGACGTAAGTGAGTCCTGCTGTCGCGGGCTGAAGGATATTCACGAATAAGGCCCTCATCTGTTCATAATCCAGTAGCCGGCCTGTTCCTGCGACCTCCTCGGCAAAGTGTTCGGGTACGTTGGTATGTATGCAGCGGGCGTTGACGTCGTGTATGTATCTCATATAAGCATGTCTGAGTTCAGTCGCCGACAATGGATTCTTCGAGGGCTTGGTGGTGAAGGCTGGCAAGTTCGATAATCGGAGGTTGCGGCTTATCTCCGACTGGATCTGATCGAAGCGAGAAATCTTGCCGTCTTCCACAGACAAGATTATCGCATCCCAAACCTCGAACGTAGTTCCTTGGCCATCTTTGGCCGTGGCAACCAGGCGGCCGGCCACAGACTTTGCGCCCTCCTCGATTGTCAACCCATCAACCCGGAGTTTAACTTCACCTCCCTTGGTATTCTCGGCAATGCGACGGATAAAGCGGTCCCTGGTTTCGCGCTCCCCATTGTAGATGACGAATGGCAGAACAAATCCATGGATCTCATCCCACTTTCTTTCGTTGGCGGCGTCCAAAAAGGCCTGGAGTGTGGCGATGGCCGTTTGACCCGACATTCTCTTGCAGTGCAAGAAGCAATAAGCCACCCGATTGGGGCAGGTCCGCGCCTCTGGTAATGGTATGTAAGGGTAGTAGTATGTTCTTTTCTGTCGTCCACCAACAATGCTTTACGCGCAACGTTGTTTGCGAAAGGTTGTCAATATTTGTGTGTCTGAATTGAGCAAATTGAACGTCCTCGATCAGGCATATGGCTAAAATTTGGCGAAGCGGAGGGTTGTATTTCTACATCGGGTTGTGAAGTCCACCGGGAATTAAAGTGCATGCTGGCAAGCAAACGGGGTGTTCGAGGAACCCTTACCCGACTGCGGTTTCCTCGGACTTTCTGCGGGGTCAGAATAGACTTTCGCAACATACATTTGAAATTTTGAAGTCTGTCGGAAATATGGGGGAAGCGGCTTTACGCAGGACTCGAGTCCGATCCCGACTATCTCGGACCCACTTATGTTTTCCGCATGTATTTCTCACCAAGTTCAATTACTCAATCAGCCAAACTTGGGGAACGTATCAAGTATGTCTTTGGAAAACAGCCTTTGACCTCTTGTTGCGTGGACTTGTTGAGGTAAGAGTGCACTTCTCGCACGGAATCGTGTACACACACGATGAGGACGAATACAAATGCAGTGTTATGATCAATTGAAGCTGCACTTTCGACTGATTCAAACATGGATCTTTCCCTCATGTCTCAAAACTCAAATTCTTCTATAATTGAATTCCCCAGCCCAGTCTTTCTCCGCAAAGCCGACATCGTATAGCACCTGCTTCTGATACAACCTTGAAATCGCCGGCGCCGTGTCGCTCCTGTTCACATTCGAAGCGTAGTATGGCCTCAACATCTGCTGAGTCGGCGCAGCGGGTCTTCAAGCTTCCTAAGATATGCCACCGGAATCGTGCAGTGGGCCAGAGTACAGACGTAACAACGCGGTCGGAAGTGTGGTTGCAACCCGTCATCCTAAGGACTTGGAAATGGTCCGGCGACGAGAAGTCCAACCCACGGCTTTTTGGCGATAGGCGAATGTAGTGCGCGTTTTTGTTGGCAAAGTCAATTTCCATGGTGTCTCCAGCTCGTTTGTTGAAATAAGCGAGGGATTCCGACACCAGCGAGAAATCGCGCCACCACCACCACCACAAAGACCCCGGCCTCATGTCGCCGGCATTTAGCAGCACTAATTCGTCAGTTGTAGTTAAACGACATCGAAATTGTATGGGTCTGTAGGACCGAAGCGCAATCGCTCGAGTTTCGGTGTCTACGGACAGCGCGGCTGGATTGCATTCAGACGATCTTACAACGTATCGAGAGGTTGCTGCATCGTGCGACTGAGGTGCGTAGTTTCGGATCCACTGTCCCCAAGTCCTGATGTGACGAGGCTCAAATACATGCTCCCATATCATGAGCTTCAGTTCGAAGGGAAGTTTCTGATAATGGGAAAAGCTCGTGAGGGGCGGTTTTGAATTTTCAACGCCTGGTATTTGTTGGCTGAACTCAGAGAACTTGTGCTCAGTTCTTGCACCTTTCGACAGTATTTGACCCATGTAGGCTGCGATTCGAGGATGATTCAACCCAAGGCCGTGGCCGTGTCGAGGTGCTGGGTTGGACGAGTCACTCAAGGAAGATGAGACTCTACATCATACTGGGATGGCTGTTGAAGCTATATAGCTCTGGTACCTGCAACGAAAATCTCATTCGACTTCACTTTGTTTGCCTTCGCTGAGCTTATCAAGATGATATCTTACTGGACACTGAAACGATTGCTTACAAGTGTTTCTCATCGATTGGGCAGGCAATCAAAGATATTGTGAAGATTCTTTGACTCAATGTTTCATGATGTGAGAGGACGAGACACTGATTCAATTACAAAACAGAAAGGACAAAGGCATATTAAAGTCTTCTATGACCAGTCTCCTTCAAAGTCCACCTTCTCCTCCCTATCAATCCGGTCATACAATTCATGAAGTGACCATGGCTTGTAGTTGTACCCCGGAGGGATGTTCGTATTCTGAAACGGCGTGCCGTCAACAAGACTCCTCAGAGCCTTCCCGTAATTGTCGTAGGCGTATCTCTCGGGGTTGTGAGCCCAGATCCACCGCCCATATTCCGGCTTGGGAGTAGCTGAGGCGCCGCCAGCCTTGTTTCGCAACGCGGGCTTCAGGAAACTGGTCTGATTGAGGAAGCCTACAATTTGACAGCACGAAACACGCTCAAACCTACGATGATTGTCAGTTGGGTCATCGCACTGGTAGCCAGTGTCGTGGCAGAAACAACTTGACTTGCCTCAGTTTGTTGTGCGTCTTTGACCAAAATCCATTCTTGACGCCCCCTATCTGCAAGCAGGTCGCGACTGAGATTGCGTCCTCGATGCCCTGGACTGCCCCGTTGCCCGATGACGGCAGGAAGGTGTGTGCACTGTCTCCAACTTGGACAACGCGACCGAGAGGCGAGGTCCAATTTGGCTGAGGGTCTCGCCACAACAATGACCAGTCGATGATGCCATCCTCAGGAGCGGTCCTGATGAGTCTACAGAGGTACTCGGGAACGTCGGGGAAGTTGTCTTTGAGAAAGTTCACCACGTACTCGGGGGAGGCCTTGTTTGCCCATGACTCCTGTGACGTTCCGTCGATGTCCTTTATATTCCGTTGTCAGTAATTAAATGCGCGTGAATGATTAAAATCAGCTTACATTGTGCACCACGTGCCATTCAACGACGTCCGGAGCGCGGAGCACCAGGACCTGGATGTCATCCCCAGTCCAGATCTGCAGCACCGCGCCTCCATTCTCGCGCAACGGGAACATCTCATTGAGTTCGGGATCAGAAGTGATGTGGTCGACGTGATAGGCGGTCCGGAAAATGGAGTGCTTGCTGCTCATGGCCCGGATGTCGTGCCCGTTGATCAGCCTGTGAGACTTGGTGCCAAGGCCGTCCGCAGCGACGACGACGTCTGCGTCGACCTTGGATCCGTCCTCCAGTGTGACGCCGGCTTTGGTCTCGTCTTCAAAGTACTCCACTGCTTTTTGGCCGTACGTGACGTCGATGCCAAGGGCCAAGACCTGCCCGAGCAGCGCAGCACTGAATCTTGGGCGCGAGACGCGATACACTCGGTCAGGGCCCGGCTCGCCATCTTCATTGACAGCTACCACCCCATCTTTCTTAAAGCTGAAAGGTTGTGGGCCAGTTACCTTCTCGCCAGTCACCTTGTGGAACGAGATCCATGGGTCAGGAGCTGTCTTGAGGGCTGCATCGTACACCGCGGGCCAGGTCTTCTCCACGTGTTGCTCTGCAGAAGGGCCGAACATGAAAGAGTCGCCTGAGTTGTACAATGTCAATAAGGCACACAGGCTTGGTGACGGCCACGGCATGTTTCTACTGACCTGCAGGGCTGGGTGCTGGAGCCCGGTCAATGACACGGGGGTTGTGGCCCTTGCGCCAGCATTCGAGTGCGGTGTACAAGCCGGCAGGACCGGCTCCGACGATCAAGACAGATATCCCCGTCAGAGGATGCCGAGCAATTTTGGAGATGTCCTCAGACTTGAGAGATGCTGTGACTTCCTTGAAGAAACTCATTGTTTGAAGACGAGTCGGAATTGAAGGTGCAAGGCTGGAAATATTGGTATGGTAACGATGCTTGATAATCCGGTTTGGAAGTCGGAATGCTTGTATTCTAGTGTGGGTTACCCATATGTCTGTTTTATTCTAACACATCTGTATATATATTGACCTGGGTTCGGCGTCGGATAAGACATTTCCATCCGAGACCCGCCAGCTGAGACATGTGGCCCACCCGTCGCTTATTCCTTCAGTTACACAGGCACGCACCGCCTCGTTCCTTCAGGCGCCAGAATGCAAGACGCGGACTAATCCACCCACTGCATGTCTTACGGCAGTTATGACACGAGTGTGAATTCGCGCCACATCCTGTGAGACGGACATTGGATGCCTTTCATTCGTCATACATCCCGAAAAATAATATCGGGGCGGGCATTCCGACAAGACTCGGCTGAGTGGCAGGTCACAGTCGTGTTCGTGCTTCTAGCTTCATGTTACGTTCCTCGCCGGAGGACGCGAAGGACTGAGTGGATGGTCACATTGAAGCCAGTCTTTCCACGCCAGGGATTGAGAGTCGGGCGCTTACAGCTTTCCCGTTTGCCCCGATGGACCAAGTTCGAGGGTTGAGTTTGTTGCTTTGAAGCAAACTAACCTCAAAATTTGTGTACGGCGCGCAGCATGTCACGTTATAGAATAGTCGGACCTTCGGTCACAGCGACCATTATGTCTATCCTTCCGGAAAATATATTGTCATTCCGTAGCGCTTGATCATCATGCATCTCGCACAGAAGTCTAAACTTCTTCGGTCTGTTCCCAACGTTCCAATCGACATGGCCAACTTCTTTCCCAGCCTCTTCGGTGACTTCGATTTATTATTCCTTTACCGGAAGCGGTTAGTCCGGGTAGTCATCCTGACATTATCACGGTACATTCTTTGTTCTAGGTTACTTTTCTCAAGCTGGCACTTCGGCCAATCCTCGCCTTTGATCGTCTCGGCCGGTATCTATTAGCATATCGCAATAGCTCACTCGTCTTCCTAATTTACTACGGGACTATCTTGTACTCTCTAGACAATCAGCCCAAGTAGCAGCACATATAACCCCACAAGATGGCTGCTGACAGTAGTACCGATAGCAGCAGTTCCGACTCCAGTAGTTCCGACAGCAGCAGTGCCGTCCGCCTGGGTGGATATGCCCCAGGGGATGGCGATTACGACTCGATCAAGTTTGCCCTCCAGGCTACCTATGACTACTTCGATTATTTCTGGAGGGGCGAAGGCCGCCGCTGGAACCTGGCCGCCCGGAGACCCAATTTCGTGGACTTGCCCGTGCCGAAAACAAGGACGCGTCCTCCACGAGGCTCGAGGCCCGGCCGAGATCAGCCTGTGCGGCGGTACACTCAATTTGGGAGGTTAGGGCTGCGGCAAGAACGCCCGGGGGCGGTAGCACAGGTCCAGCAGCAGATCCAGCAGGGGTATTTTCCGGTGAAGGCTGCGTTGGATCCTCTGGACATCAGTATCTCCAAAATCCTCGGCTGGGGAGGCCAGGCGGTTGCTGTGCTCTGCGAGCTGCTCGGGGACGGCGGACAGCGGGAGAAAGTGGTGGTCAAGTGCCAGAAGCCAGAGAGATCAGATCTGGCGTCAGAAATTGCGCACATGGACGTGAGTACTCACCTACAATGACCTGGCGTGATGTCGAAGACATTCTGGATCTGTCTGATTATCGATACAGCGATTGTCTGGGGCTCGGCATATTGTTGGGAAGAGAGAGTATGTACCTCGACGTTTCAGGAACCCACAAAATGATTCGGACCGGGCAATTGCAATCCAAGCGGGTGTCTTGTCTGCAGAGGGGGAACCACTGACCCGGAAAGACATATTTGCGATGGAACTCATGCCTAACAACTCGCTCGAAAACTTGCTCAAAAAGGCTTCCAAAGCCGGCATACATTTCAGGAATGGAGAGTTGTGGAAGATATTCCAATGTCGTAGGTTGGAATCACTCATGGTATATGGTGGGTTGGCCTTGGAAGCTCACGCGCGTATTGACAACAGTCCTGAAAGCATGTATTGCGCTTGCATACCCGGACAGCTGGGGGGGTGGTAACACGCACGATGAGACGATCCCAAGAGGAGATGATGGCAGTCTTCTGCCTATCCAGAATGCCATAATCCATTTCGACATCAGCACGGATAATGGTAAACAGAATCAGTCCAGGTAGCTCATGTGCGTTTGATCAAGCTAACGTCACCACAGTCTTTATTGGGGATTTTGATTCAACACCTGGGCCCCTCAGTCACGACACTGTGCCTGTTTTCAAGGTGACCGCACAAGCTCTCGTGTCTCATTGCATGACCTAATAACTTTGCCAGATCGGGGACTTGGGTCTCGCTGAGTCCTTTTCACAGGCTGATCGGGCAGACATGTAGGTAGAGGTCGTATTTCGGGTGTATCCCCGTTGACTCAACCCGGATACATGAAGGCTAATAGCTCCATGGAGGTTTACCATGGTAGGCCGGAGAAGGGTCGGAAAGTCTGTTTGCTTCACGCCGGTGAGTGACATCGACGTCTCATAATTTTGTTACTCGGACGACTGCACACACTAAACTTTGATCGTTCAGGAGCAATTCACCGATGACTGGAATCACTTGACCAATGCACCAATATCAGAAGGAGAGGAGACGGCTGGCAATTACGACTCGTGGACTAACATGTACGGCATCGGACTCGTAGGTGCCCCTGGACCTATTCTCTCATCCGGACTAGGCCAGATCTAATGTCGTCTCACTTGAGCAGATCATGTGGCAGCTGATTACCCAAACAATGACTGAGATGCCTCCGCAACCTACGCGTCTGAGGTTGCCCGAGACTGCCGGCGCTTCTGCGGAGGACTCCGAGACCTGGACTTATGGCGGGAGGGTGCAGAATCCAGAGTTCGACCATTATGACAGCCAACTCAAATACCTTGTCATGTGGTGTTTAGGTGAGATCTCCTCGCAAGACCGAATTCGATCCGAGACCCACCGCCGGGGGGCCGTCGGGTGCGTTGGAGTTGACAGACGGCTGATCATCATCCACAAGTGGACCAGCCTTCACTCAGACCTACCCTGACCGCGGCGCAAGATATGATCTCTGCAGCTCTTGCAAGAGATTGGGTTGAGTTGGGAGATGATCATCCCAACAGGACGTCCATCGAAAGTCTCCTGAGAGATCCACCCTCGTAAGTTCCGCCCGTTTGAGGTTTAGACTCTCCGCCATTCCAGAATCCGCCATGGCTGCTTCCGGTGGTGTGAGCTTTTTCCCTCTGACTTGCGACGCGCCATCTTCTCAAACACCCCCCATTCGTTTGACTAATCTCTTCGGGCCACAGAGCTTCAGCGCCCGTCCCACCCAAATTGGATCAATCAATCCCCGGAGATTTGGGCCTGCAGGCACTAACACTGCAGCCCGGCGGGCCCGGCCCAAACCCCTCCGCGCCGGCCCCCAAAGACGTTCCAGACCCTGTGGGCCCGGCACCGATCCCCGTCGCGGTTTATGCGGGGCCGAACGGGTTCTACGCGCGGGTGGGCGACTCGGGCGGTATCCTGCACGAGTTATCTGTGCACAACAACAACAACGGCGACAGGCACTCGTTTGTCGTCCTGCGGGATATCCGGACCTACGTCGTCGACGTTGGGGCGGCGGACCCTGCGGCGCGAGGATCACCAGCCACCCCAATCCCGGTCTCGACGCACGCCGGCCAAGACGGCCGTGCCTATGCAACGGCGTGGAGACCAGGGTTCAACGTGGTAGAGCTTGTGGTGCACACGGACGTGACGAATAACACCCATTACGTGGAATTTGATGGCAGGAGGACGAGTATATTGGACATGGCAGGCATGCCCCCGCGGCGGGCCTGAGTGCCGAGGCGTTGGGTTCGATGAGGTACGCAATGAGGGACTGAGTGAGATAAGGCGACAGGGGAGAAGCGCGAACATGTGAGATCCCAGGTATTCTCCGAGGGGCACGTACCTCGACCCGGTGGATGGGAACCTAGATTTCGCGTGAAGAACCCCAATCTCAATCAGGCCTTAATGATAGGTCGTCAGAACGTCAATTAGACTTCGTTGCAGCGGAGGGTTGCAATCACCGAGGAGACCGGGTCACGTATCTCTGACCTCAGTCTTGTACGGTATGATCGATCGGTCTTCGATTTGGCTGAATACCGGAATACTCGACGACTGTGTTCACATGCAAAATTTCGAATGAAGACATAGTCACTCAATGCAAATCACGAAGTCACACGGTCTCAGTGTTGAGCAACAATGTTGTTGAAATTCCAAATGTCAAATCGACAAAGTCTAGCCACCCGAAGTCCCCGCCTGGAGGTGCCCAGGTATGCGGAAGAGAAGGCCGGCTGCTTTCAAAAAGGAGCAACTTGGGCCAGTACATCATAAGATACAGAAAAAAAGCTATGTGAAGCGAAAGTGGTGAGGGTATCCCAAGAAACAAGAAGAAGCGAAGAAGAAAACAAGAACAGGTCCCAGGTTCATACACGCGATACCCTCCCGATACTCCAGATCCATGCGAGCTCGACAACAAATGAAATCACACGCTTCATTCACAACAAATCATCAATACATCAACAACTCCAATCCAGGTAGTACAACATTTTTGTGTGTCCCTGCTATGCACGTCTCCGACGCAGAGAAGAAGAAGAAAAAAATGCGAACCCCGCCCTTCCTTGAGGGCCTTGGCCTCCTGCGCGTCTTTGTCTATCGTCTTTTGAAAACCGCTGGTTGCGTCACCCCTTAGGAAGATGGAGACAGGAGCTTATTTCCGGTAGGGTGTCATCTTCAGGGTGTCCGTGCTCCGGGAGGAGGAGGTTGACGAGCTTGATGACGTGGAGGCCGCGGAGGAGCGGCGGGCGATGGGGGCCGGGGTGGGAGCCCGCTTGCGGATGGACTCGGACCTCTTCCGGGAGGCGGACCCAGGGTGCGCGTGGGCCGCGTTCTCGGGGTGGAAGCGGGTGGGGGTCTCGAAGTGGACAGGCATTTTGGATGGAGGTTGTGTTTTTCGTGGTGAGTTGTAGGTTGGTGATGAAAGGTACGCTGCTGTACTCACTCAGTACTGCGTTGTGTGTGCGTAGAGAGGTTGAGGTGTGATATGAGTGATGTGTTTGTGTTATGAGGCGGAAGACCAGCGTTGAACCCGGCAACGGTTTGAAAGAAGTAAAAGTACTGGCGAAGAAAATGCTCAGAAGGTGCTCGAGGCTTGAATGTTTTTGTTATTGTTGTGATGATGGACGGCAAGAGCATGTCTTAGGCTGGGAGAAGCTGAGCAGTTATATGCTCACTTCCGTCCGACGCGTGTCTTGGTGGAAGCAGCGACGATTGCAATTTCCATATCACATCCCTTCATCTACCACTGGCAGACCCCACAATTTCCCATCGGACGAAGGTTCAAAATAGAGCGTGGATGGGTGGCTGGGGGAACCTATCCCCAGAGGCCGATGTTTCGACGTTTCAGCGTCTCATGCATATAAGGCTGGTCAGGGATCTTCCCTCTGTCCGAACCCCTATTCCGAACTTCTGCGCCTGCGAATCCAGAGGCGACTGACTCTTGCATGCCCTGATTCGGGCGCCCACACTGCTAAATCGGGGCCGGCTCTGCCCAAAACCACCACTTCTGATGCACCCGAGCAGGTTTGTTCTCTCGCTCCCTCGTGGGCGCCTACCATCGTGACCTGTAAGGCTGAAGATCAGACGGTTACAGCCAAGTGCGCCTGTCATGCCTCCTAAATTCAGACCCTTCCAACTAAAATGTTGGCTGTGGCATTGCGGGCTTACTCGCCGACCCGAGGGCGGTGTTGGCGCCTATTCCCGTTCGTAGGGTTCCAGGAAATTGGGCGCACCAAGCCATGAACGACAAGCTTATTAGGCGCGTCGCTCGGGTGGTCGAGAAGGGACTCGCGCCGCGATGGAAGCCACATCTATATTTGACGTCAATATGGGTTCATCCCAGCGTTTCAAGGGGGCTGGTGCCGCTAGACGGCACTTGTGCTACTCCGGCCGGGCTGATTGGGCAATGCTGACGCATGGCAGCCGGGCTTGTCCCTGACTAGTGAGCATGATCCCCTGGGTAGAGGCGTCGATCGCATGCCATGCCGACGCTTGGGGAACCGGCGGAGAAGGGGAGGGGACCCAGGAAAGACACGTGCGGTCACAACTCAAACTGCGTGATGGTAACGCAGGCGATCGTGCTCAGAACATTCAGGGTCCAGTAAATATGATCGGCCTTTGTCACACATTGCACCCGCATCGAGGCGCTGTAGAGACAATCTACTCGAAGTTTCAATTGGCGAGTGATCACACGTCACTGGAAGGCTTCTCAAGGATCGCCGGCTGCAGAGTTTCAATAAGAGATCAAGGGATGAAGACGCAATCAGATCATCATCAGCTTTCAGAAGCCCGAGTGGCTGCGCATCGGATCATCGAAGGACCAGAACTTCCCCCGCACAGACAGTTAATTTAGGGGACGCATATGGCTATCTCGCGGCGTTGAACCATAAGTTCCGTTCTCTTATGAAGCGGGTGGGGCCATGTCGCAAATCGTGATGCTCGTCGACGCGTAGTCACGCCATTATTCAGTTCAAGCTGGCAGCAGCATGCTAGAGAGTTTAGATGATCCTCAAGTCAAAACATGGGGATTCGTGATTCCAAGCAAGATGTCAAAGGAAGGCTAATATCTGTGAACCTGTAGTATATGACCGATATAGATCATACAGGAGACAAAATTAGACGACGAGTTTTTCAGCTCGTCACAGCAGGCATTGGAACAAGGTGGTCGTGTATACCTCCAGAAATCTTAACCAGTAGCATGTTCGCTTCAGTCTCAGGTAGACTGAATGAACTGATACCAGGTAGACAGTTTTCACAAAGTTTGGCTCATTCTCTCGGCCGAACGAATAAAGAGGTGGGTTCTTACTGTATTGTGGGTAGTCAGAGATCCACATGATGCAGCCGTGTAGAAGGTGGCTGAGGCTGTAATGTCATCAAGGAATAGGCTCGAAAATGTGGGGACAAGATCACTCAATTGACGGATCCAAAGCAACGTTGTGCAGCAGACTATCTTTGCTGTCTGTTATTACCACAATGTTTCTCCGGGGGTTAAGCTGAGAGCCTTCTAAAGTTCTCCATTCTTGTGTAACACGGATAAGTCCGTCAAAACCCCGGCAGGACTCTCCCCACCAAATTTAGACCGTAAAGCTGAAGCCAAGTCAGGTACTCTGTTACAGCTTGTTCATTTTCCAAGGCTGAACGGCCTTGTATTGGCATTTAAGACCGGGGGTGTGTGCGGACAAGCCGGAGAGTGGTCATTGCGACCCCTAAACCTTTCCCCGCCCCCCACCAGCCTCCGACGACAGCGGACGATTTTGGCTGTAGATCACCTTACTCGGCCCTCTTGATGAAGGCATATTCAACACCACCCAATATCTCACCGGATCCGACTTCTTCAAATCCCATCGCACGATACAGTTGGGCGCCCGACGGGCTTGACAGGAAGTGCACGGCCTTCTTCTCGTGCGCAGCTCGCTCCATTCCCCAACGAGTCAGCATCTTGCCCACACCCTTGCGTTGATGCGCCGGGTCCACGGCGACCGAGTTCAGGCCTATGGATCCGCTTTCAGCTTTTGTTCAAAGATAGATCTTCCATGGACGGCCAGGGTATCGTTCGACCTACTCCAGGAGTTTTGAAATCCCTCCTCACCCAACGCTTCTCTCAACTTCTTCGACAACTCCTCAGCCTCCCGTCCGAGTTGTTGGGCTGCCTGCAAGTCGAAGCTCTCAGGTAACCGCCCGACACCTTCAGCTCTCTTCTTCTCACGCTCCTCCGGCGTCAACTCCTCGATGGGGTCCTCACCGCTTATCCACTCCGCCCAGCCCATGATGGTGTCCTGATCGTCCACAGCCACGATGTAGTGGCGGTTCTTGTAGTCGAAAGTCCGAACCATGTTCCTGACCGATAATTCTATCTCATCCGTGTCGCCGGGGTTCACGCGTAGGCGTTCCGGGAAGAGCGCGGCGTTCACCTGCCGCCCGCTGTCCCGGAACGCGCTGATTGAGAGCTGCGCCATGGCGGTGAGCTCGTCCTTGCGGGCGTGGCGTATGTTGGAGGGCCTCTGCATCTTGGGCAACTGTTAGACGTGAATGACCTCAATGCACCAGCTGTTCATGTCTTTGGCCGTTTTGAACCATGTTTGCAGAGTCATGTGTATAGTTTCAAAGCGGTGTGGGGTAGGCGATAAGCCTGCCCTTCGAGCGGATGGTATTTATCCGACCACCTCCTTAGCGCCTCCTTGACACCATACATACGCTCAGCCTGAAGGTGCTACCAACGTCTTTGGATACCAGTAGAACTATGCAGTCTGTCAACTAAACGCGAAGATTATGGAAGAATATATCACTATCATGTTAGATTTCTTTCAAACACACGTGAATGTTAGTGGAGATTATTCGAGAAGGCCTGCCGAAAGTTTATAAAATTTAAATATGACACACTTGTGACCGGGCCCTTGCTGACTCTAGCCGTTGTTTTCGTAAGTCGGATCCTCTTTCCACTTTGTCTCATATTCATGGTAGTCTCGTGACTGAGTGCCATTGCGGCCATACCTCGCTGCCAACTCCGAAGCAGAGATATGAAGCATGTCTGAAATCGTCTTGTGGACGTCGTACGTCTTGCAAGAAAAGGAAATTTCGACGCCGGCAGCAGGGATCGCCGCACCGTTTTCCAAGAGGAATTGACCATGTCCAAATGCTTCAAGTCCCTCCTCCATGTTTGCAAGCCGGTGCGTTGACGTCTGCGCCGCTGGAAACAAGGAGTTGAGCAACTTCTACGTCTTCTCGGTAGGCCGCGGCTTGTAATGCGCTGAGTCCATACTATCAATCGCCTGGGCTCAAGCATTCAACGGACACAGTACTTTGGACGTACGCAACAGGGGTGGCACGTTGGAAAGGACAAGTCTCTTGGTAGGCCAGTACTATATGTATGAAGAGCGTGGTATGTCCAAAGTCAAATGCTCCCTCTCATTGTTCCAAGAATTCACCCTGTACTCTGAACACATCTTTAGTTGATTTCCCCACAAGGTCCTTGTAAATCTTGGGATCTGTTGCGCCCTCCAGGGCAAATATCACGCACCGGCTGTTCTCGTTGAGACCAAGTCTCTCACGCAAGACCTCGTCACTACCAGCTTTTAGCAGAACGCCTATATTTGCAGCCGATGATTCCCCACAAACAACCGGAACATCGCCATGCTTACCCTCTGCCAACACCCGCATTCCATCAATCGCAACAGAATCAGGCACAGCAGCAAAGTCGCTAGCAAGCCAGTTGAGGATCTTCCAAGCAGCAGGCGACGGGCTCCGGCACGCAAGCCCAGCCATTAGAGTTTGGAGGTTGCCCTCGCCCAGTCGCATCTCTCCTGCCTTTGCGCTCTGAAACAAGCAGTCTGCCTCGGCTGGTTCAACGACCACGAAGCGCGGAAGCCTCACGGTGCGGCACGGTTTTTCAATCTCGCAAAACCGATTGTAGAAGCCCATGAAGATGGCTGCGGCAATACTGCCCACGCCCCCGCAGACAAAGACGTGGGTGATGGTCTCAAGATTTGGCAGCACCCGTTCACCCGCGCGTCCTCTTTGGCCCGGTCCACAGACGCCTTGTACTCTCCGTCGATTCGGATCACAATCGCGCCAAAATCCATCATCGCTTTGGCACGCTCGGGGCTGACATGGCTGTGGACATAGTCGACAGAGCGGCATCCAAAGACTTTCGCTCCATACGCGAGACCCCTGCCCTGATTGCCGTCTGTCGCGACGCAGACGGTCACCTGCTGGTGCTGTGATGATGGTAGTAGTTGTCAACAGTCATGTCTGATTGTCTTGGAGAGAAAGCAGATGCAGCGGGTCGGATTACCATCGTCGCAAGTCTGGGATGGCTTTCTCATGGTCATCAACTTCTTATAAAGTTGCCTCCACTAACTATACATAAACCATGAGATACCTATCAGATACCCGATTCCAATACAAGGACCTTTGCAATGGGGTTTCCCTGATGAGACGACTCAGCGAGCCAGTCGCCACTTCGGCAAATTTCCAGTACGCCGGATTGGTGGTTGACTCAAGCGTCACTAACTTCGGCGAAAGGTGCTAGCGCCCGTAGTTCACACCGAGGGAAGTGATGTCGCATTATCAGGCATTATTGTCCTGTCACCATACGAGACAGACCATCTAAACTTTTCTCAAGAGGCCATATTACCGAAACTCTCTCATTTCTGACAAAATTCAAGCTTCGGCATGAAGAGGCAAGATGCCGAGGAGCCCGGGATCAAACCGTCCAAGCGCTGCTGCTCGTAGCGCTCGGAGCATACTACCCCCAGGGAAAATTATTGCGTGAGTCTTTCGCGGCCCATGCCCTACAGTCCTGACCCAGTGTCATGTAACACGCTCAACTCTTATAGGTGCTATCGATGCCACGAAAGAAAAGTGAAGTGTAGCGGAGGCTGCCCATGTCAGAATTGTCAACAGTCCGAGAAGGTAATCGAATGCTCATACCCCCAAAGGAACAGAACTATCAAGGTTCCACAGAGGTAAGTGGACGTGTCAGCTCGGCACCCCAGCTCGTGACACGACCTTCTAACATTTCGAGATCCAAGTCTCCTGGACAATTTGTTCCAGGACATTGAGATACTGAAGCGACAAGTTGTTACCCAGCCACAGTCGGCCGAAAACCATGCCACCGAGAGCGATAATGCCCATGACACGGATCCATCCCACGATGCCACACAGCAATCACTTCAGTCCTCCAGAGGTGCTCAGCGGGACTTGTCCGTTGATACAGTCGAGGAGAAAACCGAAACGAGTCCAGCCGTGAGTACTGGCCCATGGTTTGACAGCATGAACATCTTCAAAAGCCCCGTCCTCATCGGTGAAGCCGCTGATGCCGCATTCGCAACTCGATTTCGCCAAGTCATCGCAGACCCTGCGGTTCCCGAGCCCACCCACCTCCTACGACTAAACCATGCTACGAACGAGTCTTTGATGTCCTTGGTCGATGTCAACGTCCCATGGCCTAGCTCCTCCCGCGCCAAGTTTCTGATCGAGGCCGCTATGAGACATATTGGCCGTTGCTACCGCATCGTCCAACGAGAAGCAGCTGAGGAAGCTTGGGAGCAGATAAGCCATAATTCAAGTCGCATTGGCACCATCCTGCGATGTAGGAGCTGGGCATTATTCGCTATTGGAGAGCTCTATATCACCAAATCCATCGGCGTTAATGGATTTCCCGGCATGGCGTACTTCGCTCAGGCAACCAAGGCGTTGCCATACCTCGACGAGCGGCCCGAAGTTGAGTGTGTTGAGCTTTATCTTCTCTTGGTCAGCCAGACCTTTCATTTGTCCTAACGATGACTAATAGCTATATAGTCTTTCTACTGCATGACTCTGAACCGACGATACAGTGCGTACCTCTTCAAGTTTGCGGGTACAGCCACGCGTACTGCTATTGTCATCGGCCTGCACCTGAATGTTCCAGAATCCCAGTTGCCAGATCCCAGGATACGGGAACACCGGAAACACCTCTTTTAGACGGCCTTTGTTCTCGATCGAATCTTTGCGTCGAAGCTAAACCATCCACCAGCAATTCAAGACGACGACATTGACCTTGACCTTCCTGCCGAAAGGCCTACGTCCACTCCGAGTGATAGCTTCGGAGATGCTGAATACCACGTTGCAAACATCTCGCTAGCTAGGCTGCTATGTTCCATCATCCGATCTGTCTACAGCGTCCGGAAACAAGCCGAGGGCTCTTGCGCAGACGTCTCGAGCCGCGCCCAGGCCTGCCTCTACGATCTCCAGTCCTGGTACGAAGCTCTATCTCGTCGGTTCCAAATTGACGACAAATCCCTGGATGACCATCATGAGCTTCAAAAATAGTCTCCCTTCACCTACGTTACTATCAGGTTGTACCCCTTCTCATATCCTATTCCCTTCCGAAAATTTCGCAGCTCGTACATCAGGCTGATCCTTCATCAGTACGTGATTCTGGCCACTAGGCCAGTTCTACTGCATGCTTTGCGGCTCCAGATTGCTGCTTCACGTGTCGACTCATCTGCTACATCGCCCAAGATTCCACCCAGCGCAACGGCACTTTCACTAGCATGCATACGGTGGGCTCGTAACTCGATAAGACTTCTCCCACGAGCTTGGATCGACGGCAACTTCGTAACCTTCGATTGCTTTTATACACAGTCTTTATTCTCGTCTTTGACCATACTCGCAGTGTCAAGCCTATTGGATGGGATAGGCAGTCGACAGGATCGGGAAGCCTACGAAGAGGCGTCCCTCTTGCTAGAGCAGTTGAAGACAGCAGGGAACCTGGTGGCTCAAGAATGCAGCCGCCACGTCGAAGCAATAGAGGGGACCATACTAGCTCATTTGAACGTTGAACCTAATCCGCAATCAGAGGACGCAGTGAAGCACAGTTCCCAGGGTGCCGATATGCAGGTTGAGCGCAGCGTTGCAGACGGGGTGGTGCCGGCATCGGGAATGCCTTGGCCAGAACAGCAGCAGCCGTCATTTCAAGAGCTGTTGTGCCAGCCGGTGATGGACTTTACCTGGTTGGAATTCGTCGTTCGGGAGGATTACTGACCAGATACGTACTGGCCGGACATGAGTGCGGATGCTGAGGACATCAGTGGCGCACCTACAGGTTCAACTTTGTAATAGCGATGAAATCATCCCCATAGAGATGCAGCAAGAACGACTCGTAGTCAGAAATCTTTGGACACGCATCATTTTGCCATCTTCTAACACTGAGTCTGCAAAGAGCATGATAGCAATACAAATCACTTTGAGTTGGTCCTGTGAGCAAATCCTGAGCAATTCTTGGATCAGAGAAATTTAACAATTATTCTGAGCGCATCGATGAGAGGAAGAGGTTACATACAAACCAGGGGATAGGCAAAAGTAGCGGACAAGGGGAATCGCTGGAGTGAGGGGCGCAGTGGACAATGTCTGGCCAAGCTCCAGCACACCGCAGAGATATTTGGACTCAATGGCAGCGCTATATCGGCAAAATACAAACCCGTCACTGTACCCAGAGCACATGACTTGGTGGGGTCCAAAAGTAGACAGTCCTTGTGCCGAACTGCGTTCCTCTAGCATCATCGAACATTCCAAATAGTCAGTGGAGAGGTGTGAGGCTGTGTCTACATGTGCAAGGCTCTCGGTATAAAGCTCGCAGGCCACAACGTAATGTAGCGATCCTTTAACTGTAGCGATATCACGTCAGACGGAATAGTCCATAAGATATCAGCTGCACGTTGATCCGCCCATAAGCGTCGCTCGAATGCGGAAATGGTTGCACACGAATCCCCCCAGCAGTCAGCATCTGCTCCACAAATCACGTCCCTAGGCCACACGTACAGATGACCTTGTGGATACCGACGGTGAGAGCACAGGCATGAATGGTGAGGCTCTTGGCAGATGTGGGTCAGTAATTCCAAATAAATTCATAAGTTACTAGGGCTGGAACTGGTCACCCTCATTCCGATCTATAATGGCAACGGCTCGACCCGGCTGATGTGCCTTTTCGTCTTCGCCTCGTGGGTCGCTGAACATCACAGAGTATGAGTAAGGAGATCTGCCTACACGGCTTCCTCCGAATGCAAGATCCGTCAGCTGCTTGATTTGGAATTGTGAAAGTTCGTCACCTTGCACCCATCGAACGGGTGCTAGTTTATCGTTTCTTCAATAGGGAGACCGATCTGCATACAATGAAATACTTGCGAGAAAAGCCCCGGTAAGGCTTGGACTTTTCACTACCATCACCGTCCGGTCTCAACAGTGGAATTACGGTGAGCAATTCATGATTTTCAAGGTACGATAAGGCTCGGGCATCACACACCTCGTTGTTTGGCAGAGGCAAGAAGGTGCGGGACCGTGATCTGAACGTGACATGTTCCCACCTGTTAGGTTTCTGTTTTCTCGATTTTCGGTGGCTGAGTTGATGGTGTGTGTCTGCATACTGTATCCAGGATCCTGATCCGTCTTTTCTGTATGTTATCGTTGATGGAAGGAATCCGTGTCCACATGCCCAAAGCCTCGTCCTTTGAGTTCAACTTGTCGAGGATGGGGGCGGGTGAGACGTGAAATATTTAATGCCCTGATACATCTGCGAGAAGTCTTCAAACCAAATTCCCACAATCCTCTTTCCAACAGACCTTTCGTGTTCAAGAGGATATACCTTGAGCTTTCAGAATAAGACACCACATTACCGCTGAGCATCGTCGATCCTCGTGGGCAAGTTTATATCGCTTTTAATCATTGCCTTCGCGTACAGGAGGACGAGCATTATTTTCCCGACTTGAATCGACTCAACCCCACCGGCCTCTGTTTCCAACAGAAAAACCTTTTTAGCCAAAATGATGACTATGGACAACCTGTCTTCTGCTCAAATTACAACGAGGTATGCGAAACTCCGATTCGCCCCGAACATTTCACCGAGTGCAGTCTTTCATAGTTTTACCCAGCTTTTGGACTCATAATAACCTTTTCTATAGGACCGAGGACGGCTTAACGTCTCGTGTTGCCTATTTTTGCCACACCCTATGGCTCTTCAACTTAAGCGATCTCAAAACAATTGTCATGCCGAACACTATCTTCGGCATTATCAACGCGTTAGCAGCGCATAAATTCGGCATCGCCGCAACGGGGAGCAACCCGATCCTAAGACTTCCTCTCGTGCTGCTGTGGGTATGGGCGAACCTGCTTCTTTTGTCCATCAACAATCAGAGGGCTCCCCTGTCCGTCTCGGAAGACGCCGTGAACAAGCCGTGGCGCCCACTGCCACAGGGTCGTATCTCGCCCAGCCAGTCAAAGAGGCTGATGTACTGGATCTATGCCATAACTCCCCTCATCAGCACCTTAGTCGCAGGCGGTCTGCGCCAAAACTTCGTTCTGATATTCCTCGGGACCTGGTACAACGAGTTCGGCGGCGGAGACTGCCATCCGCTCCTGCGCAACGCAATCGTCGCCGTTGGCTATTCCTGCTTCGCATCCGGGGCGATGGAAGTGGCGCTTGGATTTCAGCTCACGATGCCTTTGACGGGGGCCCCTGATTCCGATGTCTCGATGCCGCTCTTCCAATGGTTGGGAATCATTGTGGCAGCCATAGTCACGACCATGCATACCCAGGATATGTATGACCAAGAAGGGGACGCTTTGAGAGGGCGGAGGACGCTGCCGCTCGTTGTCGGTGATGGCTGTGCTAGATGGATCACAGTCTTCTGGATGTGCGCTTGGGGGATCATCTGCCCTCTATTCTGGGGCTTGCCGCTGCTTAGCGGTGTCTCTCTCTTGGTCTTTGGACTCGCGGCCGCAGTCGGTGTCAGAGGCTTGTTGTATCGCGACGTTCCAAGCGATAAGCTTACCTTCTGGATTTGGAATGTCTGGATCTCATGTATATTCACTCTGCCAATTTACTGCTAGGGTCTCCTGTCACGTTGGAAACCATCATAGCTTTTATTTCAGATCGACACGACGGGCTGCTTATTTAGAGCTTTTCGGAATCAAAAACACCATGACGACCAGCTCCGTCCCTAAATCTAGCAGCGCCACGAACACTCTCGGTGGTGATAACCTTAACTCCCTCGTCGAACTCATTTCTGAGCGCGTCTTCGAAAGATGACGCGTCATACGCACTGTAGTAGCAGTTCGCCCTGTCGACATTCATGCATTCCTGGGGGAACACAAGCAACTGCTTCGCAATCTTCGTTGCCTCCTCCAACGCCATGCCTTTCTTCACCACGCGGTTCGCCAGACCCATCTGCAGGGCTTCGGGGGCACCAACACCACGACCAGGGAGAATCATGTCCAAGGCACGTCCCAGCCCAACAATGGCCTGTAGGCGGACCGTACCACCATCGATCAGGGGCACACCCCAGCGACGGCAGAAGACGCCGAAGACGGCATCCTCCTCGGCCACACGGATGTCACCGAGAAGAGAGAGCTCAAGTCCCCCAGCGACAGCATAACCAGAAACGGCGCTTATGACAGGCTTCTTGATCTGCATACGAGAAGGGCCGATGGGGCCGATATTGCGCCCCTCGACCTTGTGGCTCGCATCGACGATGGGTCCCTTGTAGTCAGGCTGCCCGGGGCTGAACGCTGTTGAAGACTAGAGGTCTTGGCACGTTTCGGGTATAAGAACACGTATCGTATCCCCTCTCAGGGGCTCGCTTTTTAGACCGTACAACCAACTGAATACACTCTTTTGTACGCTTCCACAAACGCGGCAACCTCGTGAAGGTCGAAGCCGGCGCAGAAGGTCCCGTGGGCTCCATAGAAGACACACACCTTCTGGGAAGGGTCCGCCTCGAAGTCCAGAAATGCAGAGGTCAGCTCTTCACCGGTTGAGCCGTCGATCGCGTTTCGGCGATGCGGCCGGTTGATGGTGATCGTAGTGATACCATCATCGGTCTTGGAAACCAGCACTGCGTTGGGTTCGGCGTCGGTCATTGTGGGATCAGGTAGTTTGGATTGCTGGGCAACCGAGTGATCTGGACGGCGCTGAGAGCACAAAATACGAGGCCGGAATTCAAAAGCAGATCGCTCGAGCAATGTTCGAAGTAGCCTCTCGGCGGGGCGTCATCGGAATCGAGTCCAGACGATGGCGTACAGGTTATTCAGAACTAAAGCTGCTGCCGAGACAACTTGTATGGAATTTTCGGTCTACTCCGATACGCAATTGCTCACACCTCATCTAAACAAATTTCCTTCGTCATTGGCTCGGTCAAACGATATCACGCCGAAACAGGGCCAATGTGCTGCTTCTCCAAGTGATGGCCACCTCCCCTCGTCCGGTCAGTGGCCACGCTGCCGCCTGCCACGGTTAGACTCGGGTAGGAATTTCGCGCCCTATGTAGATTAAAGACTTTCACACTTCCGAACGCGGACGAGCAAACCCTTTTTTTCAGGAACATCTTGATCATCGAACATCTGCCTACCTCCGACAGCTTGCCGACTCGATATGGACTATGTCGGAGAGACGGCTCGGCAAAAGCGGGAGTTACAGCCCCATCTTCGGTGCAGTGATGTTGCGTTGGGCGATTTCCATCCTCAACTCGCTCGAGGCGTGCCTCAAGATCTGAGATCAACAGACAAAGGATGAGATACGTGTATGCCGGCGGGCCTTATAATGGTGTCATATGGCTGACCGAAACATCCTCAAACTTTGCAGCTGTCATTATGTCCGCATGGTCATTGCTAAAGGTTTTGACATCATAGTCATCGTTAACTCAATATTCTGCACACATTTTAGAGACGACTGCTTGAATTTGTTTTGGGTCCTCTTTACATAGATACTCTATCGGCCCCTCGCTGGTGTCGTGAATGCTCCTCACCCTAACACCTTTCTCCCACACCCCCGCCCCCGCCTTATTTGCAGATGGGATCGCTGTTGAGCGTCTTCCCACACCGCGGATGTGTCGCAGACCCAGGGTGCCAGTATTCAGGATCTAAATCAGTTTCCAAACATGGCAAAAAATGGCTGGAAAGCAGGATCGTGTGGTAGATAAGCTCTGAGCATCCAGAGCGAGTGAGATTCTGCGCTTTACGTGACATTGTGCGTAGACTTGCAAACCATGTACATCGTGAATATCATATTGGAAGTCGTCACACCGATCCAACTATTTACCATGTCCTGAATGCACAATTGTTCCTAGTTCCACATCAGAAATAGGGGTAGTGTCTCTCGAAATCAACATCGCCTCCATGTTATGTACCTTGGCCGTAGGGGTTGGTATGGCAATGCTGTCGCGGATCTGGTTGTACGCCAGCGCCCGCGGAGCCGTGCTCATGCCGAGAGACTGCCCATTACCCGACACAGACTTGGTTCGGTCCTCGGACGAGCCTACCACGCCGCGGATGCGGAGGACGAGAGGCCGCATCAGCGGGACGCAGGCCAGGATAACGGCGACGCTTGGCTCCAGTCCGCTCCATATGACTGTCTGCATGATTGCGTAGGGCGTATCTCGAAAGTCGCCGGAGCTGAGGCTGGAGAGCGTTCCTAGTCGGATAATACTGATTACACAGGTGCTAAGCATGCATGTGTTAGTATGGGCCCCTGGAATGTCTGCCACGATTGGATTGTCGAAGCCAGAACTTACAAGAGACCAAGGGCGAAAGTGGCCAGAAGGACTAGCCTGCGATATAGTGGCAGCTGCAGCCTGAGAACATTTCGGACAGGCAGCAGCAGCACAATGACATCCGAGACGATGTTGAGGGCCCCGGTTACACGGAAGACGAGCATCCGGTCCCCGCATTTCCCCTGGTAAAGGTTCTCGTAGTCCCAGTTATCATCCACATCCTCGCAGACCAGCACCGCCGCCAACGCCGTGCTGAGCGTGTAGCAGAAGATCACGGCCATGATGACCCGACCCCAGCGCTTCAGGGTCGGGAAGACCTCGATATAGAAGAGAAGTATCGACACTTTGTAGAGGCCCCCTGCTATGGCCCAGAGTATTTGCAAAACGAATGAGATCTGACAGATATATTAGTGGGTGGCCGAGAGATTCGAAATGGACCACCTCCCTGGAACGCGATTTCCACCTCTGCATGGCCATACATGTCTATTATTTCGCCGACGTGGAATCCCAATCCTCCGATGACAACGCCTTCGACCGACTCTGTCAGCAAGTGGTGAGGCAATAATGGACTCAGTGGCTCTAGCTTACCTGCCAATGCCGTGGCCCAATATGATATTACCGTTATCTTCAATGAGAGTCAGTCCCTCTCCTGTTTCTCCCGACTCTCATAATTCCAAAATACTTACACATGCTGCTATTATCAGATAATCACTCCAGTCAAGCGCCCGGCAGATAATCCTCCTCGACACCAGCCGCATCCCAACAGCCACAGCAGCGAGGATGCTGAACATAACACCGACGGCGATGATGGACTTCTGGTCCCGGCGCTCAATAGGAAACGAATTCGGCATCGTGGAGTGGTCACGGATCGTCAGCGGAAGTTGCCGCGGGTGTGGGACATCAAGCCCCGTGCTTGCGGCAGCGAGAGACATCGCCCAGTCTTATCTCAAGATGAACGCCTGCCTAGGGTGACATCCGACAGCAGCATGCGGCATCTAGCTGAATCTGGTAGCGTGCAGGTGCAGTGGTCTGCCGAGATGTTTGTTTGGTCTTGGAATTCCTGGGCACTATATACAGGCCCAACAAAGGGTGGCATCTGGCTGCGGCTGGTGTCCAGAGGGGATCTCATCATGGAAGCTTGAATCGGCGTCAAAGCACACCGAGATCGTCATATTAGATTCATCCCATACAGACAGATGTCGCTTATTCCTTTCTCGCTTACTTCTCCCTTTTCGAGAGTTGGGTTGTCGCTCTCGTGTAGCATGCCTGGGTGGGATTCCGGGAACCGGGATGGGATTCAGCTCAAGCTCAATGGGATGCAGCCGAATGGCTGGTGGTGTATGGAGACTACCAGACGTCACAGCACGGCGCCGAGCCGCGTCACTTGGTCATCCGGCTTCTCGCAGGACACACGCCAAGTTGTCATTGCTCAGGTATGCACAACAGAGTCCAGATATTCGTCTGCGCGTCTGTGGTCGCCCTCCACACAGATTTCCACAAACCTTAATCGGAGGAGCTCGGTTTGAATTGAAATCGAAGCTACCCCTTCTGTGCCTCGGCCAAGCGGTGGTCAGGGCGATTCCGCTTGAACCGCAGGCTTGTCGAGGACGGGAGTAAAACTTCCCGTCTGCAGGCGATTGACTCAGTGCAAACCGGGGAATGAAAAGGACGAGTGGTCATAGCGAGGACCAGGTGAGGGAAATCACGTTCAAATGTTGAGGCTCTAATATAGAGAAACGGTGCCCAAAGCACAGATAGCTGCTTCCGGTGGGCGGCTAGCGATATTTTTGAAGTGCTGTCTGGCGCGATGTAGCCAGGGTTTTGGGAGCGGCTAATATGACAAGGTTTGGGTCATCCCAGGCTGAGCCACGACAAGCATCTCAACGCCTGGGTTTCTGCCCTCTTGGCAATATGACATCGCAAGTTCCTTTACCCAATTGTTCATCAGTGCTTCCAGCTTTGACCTTCAACAGCAGCCAAGAACGTCCACCTTGATCACGCTCAACTCCACAATTGAGGAGAGAAAGCCTGCGAGTCTCCTCACCCGACGATGACTCGTCGCCAGCGAAATTTGGACGCCGAGATCTTTGGCTTGACTGGACGGTCAATCACCTATCCGTTGAGGGAAAAAGTAGCGAGCCGCGGAAACGGTTATGAAAACAGCCGCTTTTGTATGCCCTAAATTTGCATTGACATTGTGAGTGCGGAGTGTGAGTCGTTTTGCAACCTTGTGATACAGCAAGAGCAGGGACATTAATTATCAAGATCGATCAAGGGCTGGCAGCAGCACCGCGCAAAGTCATGACGAGACCGCGATCTCAACGGATGTCCACCGTGGATTCGAGCAATCTCGGCCTTTGTCAAAGCCCCGCCTGAACTCAATCTGTAATCTTTTCAACTGAGGTCTGTTTCGAAAGCTCCGTGCAAGGCTTTTGTAACATTGTCGTCCAAGATACAGACTCCCAAATGTGCTCAGGTCCCGTTTAGCCTCGGCACCGACAGGTAAGAGGTGTCGCCTGACATGGAGGCCAGAACTCAGGACGACAGGAACGAGTGGAGTACCCGAAGAGACTGTAACATTCATCTAAAGTTCATCGAGGCTTACAAACTATGTATTTGAAATCGTTGGTTCGCTTCTGATCCACACATGCCACAACGCGTGTAGTCCGATGTTGAAGTTCCATAAAGTGGGGATATTCAAACTTCCGGTTTACATGATGCCGCACGCAAACACCCACACCAAACCCACCAAAACCCCTGGGCGAACCTAGGCGGGAGAAGTTAGAATGTACCCTAATTGAAACCACAATTAAACCCCACCGAGGAAATGTCATCCTCGGTGCTCGCAATAAGCTTCAAATTCCCCCTCCACCTCCATCTAAAGCACAGACGCTGTGCCGCTGCGAAAGCCGTGAACGGCCCAGGGCTAGCAAAGCCAATTTGTCTTTCTCCAGCTCGGCCTTCCGGCCTTTTGGCGGGCCCTACAAGATCTTGGCTTGAATCTCTCCGAGGTCTCTCACCTGTTCTTGGAATGTAGGCTGCTGAATGCGAAAGAGAGGAAGAGAAATTCTTCCTCCAGGGAGACCTTACATGCCAGTTACCTGGCTCTCAGCTTGTATGCCCGAAAGTCGTGCTTGGTGGGCTTTCCGGCACGAAAGGGTGTGATGGCAGTAGTAGATATGTGAGATGACATGTCGACTGAAACGGTGACAGTCACATCACTTCTTACATGAGATCAAATGGTAGGAGCCTGAATTCTTTTGGTCGTTTGCTGTGCTGTTTGGTCTCTTGGCATATCATGATGTAAAGTGTCTAACCTTATTCCATACAATCACTGTTCTTTGACCAGAAGATGAAACTATCGTATCTGGTGCTGCTCCTGACAACCTCTTACCAAGCGTGGCATTCCATCAAAGAACTCGGGGATTGCTCGGGCCCGGGACTTTGCGCGGGGGGTAATGCTGAATAGCAAACTCGTCTTTACAGCTTTTCCCCGGAGCAGCCCGACTCCAGACCTCGGGAGACCTCAGGGGTCCAGAAATCGCCGGAGGTGCGCGAGTGGAGTTGCTTGCTCTGGGTGACATAAATTCACACATTGCCTGGAGCTATGCATTCCTGGGGGGAACGGAATGCCGAGAGGGTGATTTCTCAAAATGTCAAATAAGTAACCATACTTAAGAGCTTTCGCATCAAAAGTTCTCATTACTCCTTCCGTCGTTCACTACATTAAATCTCCGCGCAATCATCGTCTTGGCGGATCGTCGTTGAGTTCCCCCACACGCCGGACGCGGTGTTGATCATGGCCCCTCATCGTCTCTCAGATGCGAGTGCCTCCGCGCTCACAGGCTCAGCACTCTCAGCACCAGGCCAATTGACACCTCCCTCGGCCGCGCCACTAGCCCCCTTCTGCCCCTCCAGCTCCCCGGCGCGTCCTTCGAGGTCAGCCCCTATCGCCCGAGCCTTGCCCTCGACGGAGCCATCTCCCGTCTCGGCAGACTGGCCGTACTGGAGGTGGCCCTCGACGCCAGTGCGGCGCTCGGTCTTGTCGCTGTGGGCCTCGGCGCTCGACTCGCCTTGCGCGGGCTTGCCGAACTGTGTCGCGTTGTGGACGGAGCCGGACGTCGCGCCGGGGAGGCTGCCCAGGGCGTCTGTTTGTGTCGTCGCGACGTTGTTCTGTGCCTGCCCTGGCACCTCTGACTCCGGGTTCGGCTGGAAGGCGTCCTTGCTGGGAGCTGTTCCGGGCTCGTGCGCCTCCGTGCTGAACTCGGGGGCGGCGTCGTTGCCGACCTTGACTCCTGGCTTGTGCTGTTGAGGGAGAGGGTGAGGTTAGCCTTTCGATCCGTCGAGAAATTGCATGAGCCTCATGGGATGAGACTTACTCCCCCATGCGTGAGGGGCTCTGCGCCAGGCTTCTTGCTGTGGAACTCGCCCTGGCCAGCAAGCGAATCGATGTTTGGTGCCGACATGGTATTTGATGTGATGGACAGGGTGTTGGTTTTGCAAATGGAAATGGTTTGTGGTCGTTCGGACGCTATGAGATGGGTATCACTGAATGTCAAGACGATTGCTTATGGCCAAAACGAGTCCCAACAACAACTGTACGTGGGTGCTCGAGCTTCCTTCAAATATGAAAAGCTCAAGCACAGGCCAGGCCATAGCTACGTCAGCTGCACGACGCTGTTTGGGCTGGATGAGCCTGGCTGATGTCAGTTTGACCTGCGCTCCTGCTTTAGCTGCTGCATCATCTTGGTATTGATGGATCGTATTTCGCCAGATGCACCTGATCTTGCACAAATCAGTCACGACGCCGAGAGGTCGCCACTCTGAGAGGCGCGCCTGCCTGTGATGACCATATGATGCAAGACCGTCTGGCCTACTGCTGATGGCGAACAGTCGATTGGCACTCAGTCGCAAATGACTAAGCATCCCGGAGCACTTCCTCCGTACCTGGCCACCATTGTATCACAAGAAGCAGAGGCAAGCACTGGACGCATAGTTATACCACAATGTTAAATTTTATTTTGAACAAGAATTATTCTTGACTGGATCTAGAAATCCTCAGCAGTTGCACTGCCTGATTTTGTTAGAACATCTTCACTGCGCATGCTAATACCGGAGACAACACCAACCCTTCCGTTAAGAGAACAGATATTCGCACCTGCAAAAACGGATGGTACACCGATATATCACCAAACCCATACCCAATTCAAACACCCAGCACCCAGCACCCACACGCCCAGCACCCATATACTCAGCACTTATACACTTAATACCGTATTAAGTAAATAAGTATTAGGTATATAGGTATTAGGCATGGAAGTATATAAATAGGCTTAGGTGATGAGCTCTGATTAGGTGTAGCTATGGTGTAAGTGATGTACTGGTGTACCATCCCGTTTTACAGGTGCGAATATCCGTGCTCTCCGTTAATGCTTGGTCTGAGCTGGAATCTGGTCTGAGCTGGAATCTGGTCTGAGCTGGAATATACTTCTCCAGCGAGAAATCAGTGACCCAGGCGAGATCCATGGCTACTATTTCTGAGAGCCCGTAAGCTCAATTCCGACACTGATGGGCAGTCGAAGAGCCTCTGCTAAAAGATCGCATGACGGATATCACCCGTTCAAAGCCATCTGACCAGACGATGGTGAGGGAATGACCCGATCTTCTTTTTTCGCAGAGGATGGCATGACGCAGTAATTAGGAACATGGCGAAGTGAGGGCAAACATACTGCGTACGCATACGAAAGGAGTGCCTTGCCCTTTGGCCCCTTGTACAGTCAGGTTCATTACAAACATCACAACTTTACCAACCCAAGTCGATTCTTCCACATTCTTCATAACAGCTTTTATAGTTTTACGGAATGATTGTCACATTGTATGACAGAAAGCAAGCCTGCTTTCAAGAGATGATATTATGCTGAAAAACATAATTTACTTTGTCGGTTGTGGGCTATTGCAAGGATGTCTCCTCTAGAAATACATTCTGGCTCTCAGTGAATGAGGATGGTACACAATACTCCCAATCTCAACAAGCACATGGAATACTCTGATTCAATTTTCCACAGTGAATCTGCACACTACCCACCAGCCAGTCAATATTCAATTCCAAGGAGAACGAATCACCCAAGCCTGTGCACGCATTAGTTTGGCCGTTATTTCACCTTGAACTGGAATGCATATATTCACCAGTCTCCTACAAACCAGAGGCCTTAGGGAGCAAAATACAAAAGGAAAATCAGTGCCCACTGAAGGCCAAGTCGACCCTCACACCCGCACACAAAACATAAAGATTTCCACTGCAATACAACAACACAGGACTGTCACCGGATCCACACAACAACAACCCGTTGTTTGCAAGACCATCAAGATGAACCTTCTCAACGTGGTGATGCAACAACGACGAGCGCGCGAGCTCGGCATCCACGTACTTGTTGGAAAGCGCCGCCGTCCCCAGTCCAAAGACAGCCCAGGCGTAGCACAGTATGATTCTGTGTGGGCGTTCATGCCAAGAAGAGGGGGAACTCTGGAGTACGATGCTTTCAACGCCGTCGTGATGGACAAGATCAACACCCTGGCTCAGCAGGAGTCTGAGGATGGAGTCTTGACATTCTTTTCGCCCATTGGGAAGTACATGTCGTAAGTCTCCTCAGCTCGAGGGCCCGGTCCCCCCCAGGTGCCGGGCCCCTCCCCCCCATCCAGTATTTCCCTCTGACGGGCGTTGAGCCTCTCCCATGGTGCAGCAAACGAATCCCGCCTAACAGATCGACCCACAGATTCTACATGACACCCTTCCCGGTCGACTTGCCAGAGCGCATCTACGTCCCTCCCCCCACTTCCCTCATGACCAACCCGTCCACCAGGTCCGACGACAGACGGCCCCTCTGGGTTGAGTTCCAGATCCACGGCCCATCCTCCTCCCCCACAGACATCCCCCTCACCACCGAAGTCAACCAACAGCTCCGGCGCCTCGACTCGATGCTGAGCAGCGGCCCAGACGGCCACAACGCCCTCCACCTCGCCGAGGTCCCAGCCTCGACGCCAGACCTGACGGCCGCCCTCGCCATCGACAAGAGGGACTTCGTCTGCGTGGCAGAGCTCAGCCTCCTCGTCTCGACGCTCAACAGCCCGTCCGATCTGGTAGAGAACATGGTCACGCGCTTCGGTACCGTAGGCGGCGACGAGCAGGCTGTCCTCCGGGGGAACTACGCTGACCTACTGGGCTCCCTGTCGCGGGACTTGTTCTTCTCGTGGGTGCGCGAGGGGGACATGGAGACCGTGCTGAGGAAGAGCATGGGGGACGAGGAACCCGGTCTGGTGATGCGCCCTGGGTTCACGATGCTGATGCAGCGGTATGGGTTGGAGCTTGCTGCGGAGATGGCGAGACTGGGTGAGGTTCTACGAAACTAGGGGAAGTTTGGGCCTTTGAGTGGAGAGTGTTGGGATAGCATGGATGTGGATGTGGATGTGGTATCACAGCTTGGCCCTCTTTTGGTGCCTGGATCAACGCCTTGGGACCTAGGTATATCAGGCAGCCAAAGGGGACACCCAATAGTGCTGAGAAAGCACCAGGTATTAGGTCAGGTATTGCGCATGCCCCAGTGACTTGTGAAAATGAACAATCTCCGATCTTGTCACCCCGATCAATTATGAGATGCCTGTACCTTGTGGTGTGCAGGCAACACAGGACACTTCCAGACGTGAGGCTCTAGATGATGCGTGTATAAGCGGGACCAACAAGATTGACCCAACAGCGAAATGGGCGGAGAGCTTCCACCGTAGGCCAAGAGACTGCAGTATAGGGTAGTCAAGCTATCACTTTGTTTCCTAATCACAACTCAAAATGACTGAGGCATGCTATCTAGTACTGAGAGGCCTAGATGACACTCTCGTGTGCTGCACGCCTTCTGTGATACCATCACTGCCGTGGGCTCATGCAGAGCATCGCCGGCAGGTTCCAGAGCCCACGCGCCAGCCGACGATAGCTTCAGCCCACACCCTCGTTTGATCATCGGCTGAACTCTCAGCTCCCCCTCACACGGCCCACGGTGCTAGCCCAAGATGGTTCCACTGGAGGCACCCGGGCCCCAGGAATAGGCTCGGCGAGCACGGTCGATAAGTAGGGACGAAGTCAGATAAAACCGAGGAGCCCGTATTTCTGGACCCAAATTTGGATCATTGACCGCCAGGAAGACGGCATGACTGGCATATCGTGGCCACAGACCCTCTCGCTGGCATCCGGAAAACTAATGAACGGTGTGCACACGGACTTTGGCTGACCACCAAGCTTTATTGCGGCAAGACCTGACAGATGAAGACCAGAGTTGGCTGATGATTCACGGCGAAAACTTCTGCGGGCTATCTAACTACGATAAAGAAGCTACGAGCATCCGACCATGAAAAGTCAGATATCAGCAACCTCAGAGGCCCACCTGAAGCTTGCATGTGCGGCGGGGACAGAAGATGTCATACTTCAATGGGCGACTGCCCTTGACCCCGTGCACCAAAAAAGCTCATCCTCACAATCCTACGTGCACGAATCCGTTCCTCACCCGTGGCCCAGCCCGTGTGTTCTGTATCGACTCGACAGCCATGAGATCCAGACATCTGTGGCCGTGGGTTGGCCTGGTATTCTGGGCGCAGGTAGACAAAGGACGATCGCTGCCCCTGCGCCACAACAACGACGCAGGGCTGATTACGAAACGAGACCGACCACAGTTCGACACGGGCCAGCCGATCGACGGGGCAGGCAGAGGCGGCCCCATACTGGGCGGCACGAACCACCAGCTGGACCTCCAGAACCCGTCCAACCTGGGCCAGCAGCCCACCGACAGCGGCGTGGTGCCCAACCTAAAATGGAGCTTCTCGCAGTCCAAGACGCGCATCTCGGCCGGCGGCTGGACGCGCAAGCAGGCCATCACGGACCTGCCCGCGAGCCACGACATATCGGCGGCCCAGCAGCACCTCGCGCAGGGCGCCATCCGCGAGCCGCACTGGCACAGCACGGCGGAGTGGGGGTTCGTGTACAACGGCAGCGTGCTGGTGTCTGCGGTGGACCAGGACGGGAAGTACCAGGCCGAGACGCTGGGGTTCGGGGATATCTGGTACTTCCCGCGGGGCGTGGCGCACACGGTGCAGGGGATGGGCGAGCAGAACGAGTTCCTGCTGGTATTTGACGGGCCCGACACCGACGCGGCCGGGTCGACGTTCAACGTGGACGACTGGGTGGCTCACACGCCGCGGGACGTGCTAGCCAAGAACTTCGGCGTGGATGCGGCCGTCTTCGACGGGGTGCCGCGGCCGAGCCCGGGGGTCGTCAACGGGACGGCCGGGGGCAGCGATGCAGACCGTGGCGTCACGGCCGGCCCGGGCGAGCAGCCTGCGGGCGGGGCGGACTCGTTTGTGTTCCGCACGCTGCAGCAACCGCCGATCCAGGCGCCGGGGAGGTGGTTCGCTGTACAAGGTGGACTCGACGAATTTCCCGCGGAGTACGAGCATCGCGGCGGCGCTGGTGACGCTTGCGCCGGGGGCAATGAGGGAGATGCACTGGCATCCGGACGTAAGCCTTGCTCGTGCTTGTTTCTGCACCATCGGCAAAATTGGGAACACACCCATATGCACACAAACCGTTACATAGATGCAGGTTCTGAACATCATTTGACAAGCACACACAATAGGCAGAGGAGTGGCTCTACTTCCACCAAGGCACGGGGCGAGCAACCGTGTTCACGGGCGACGCCAACGCGCGCACATTCGACTTCGCGGCGGGCGACACGGCGGCATTCCCGGCCGGGTCGGGCCACTACGTGGAGAACACATCGGCGGACTCGGGGCTCACGTATCTGGAGGTGTTCCGGGCGGGCCGGATCGCAGACATCTCGCTGGCGCAGTGGCTGGCATTGACGCCGCCCGAAATGGCGGCGCAGGCACTCAACGTGGACGTGAATGTGATCAAGAGGCTGCGCAAGGACAAGCAGGTGCTGCTGCCGGCTGGGGGGCTGCCTCCTGTGGGCGGTTAGCTTGGAGAGCGAGACGAGACATGACGGCTGGAGGGGCGAGCTCGCTCAATCACGGCCCTCTCCCTCGCTACTGGATGTGATGCACTTTGATCCACTGCCGTACTGCCGTGGTGGAACCATTTGTGGGATGATGTCACTGTCCAACGGTGTTGGTTTCATGAGGTCTCCTCGATGGATTCCATGGCCAGCATCATTGAATTGGAGATTGAGATGAACCGCATAGCGTGGGATGTAACTCTAACCCCCAGGCTTACAAGGTATCTTCACCAGCAGCTTCAATTGTTGACGTTGATCTCGGTGTTGTCAGCGCTTCTGTGGCCTTCGAACTTGGCTGCTCATTAGACCACTGTATGTAAGCTGCAACGTTGTGTGGGCGACATGAGCACGGCACTGTACCTGGATCCCTGGCTGCATGATGCCCAGGTTGGCGCTAAACTCTTGTTTTTGTCTTTTTTCGGCAAGGCGAAGTCGTGTCCAGCTGGGTGTGGGCCGGCCACCCAGCTTCGCCAAGTCTAAAATAAGCCTGGCTGTTTGAGAGTTCAACAGCACAAACACAGCCAGCTGCTACCATTCTCTCGGCCACTGACCACTGCCAGCAGGCAGAGGAACCGTGGAAACAGGACTGATTTCTCGGGGAAATGGTTTGCATTGGGACTGTTCGGCCGATTTGCAAGATCGTCGACGGTACCTGACCTGCTCGCTCGTTGTGTGGAGGCAGCCAGCCAGCCAGTCCACGGCGCTCGTCCTGACTCAACCTTCGGACAGGCCTGGCGTTGCCTCCACCGGGATGCGACAAAGATAGAAGCAGCAGAATCAGGACTGCTGGTGCTGGTGGCGTGATTCCAGCCTCGAACTTTGGAAGGCTCGTGAAAGGTGTGCGTACGGTATAGAGTAATACAGTCTCTAGTTATCCGTAGGTCCGTTGAATACGAGGGATTGTCTTGAAGCGTGGGAGAAAGCGAGAGAGTGGCAATGGCGCAAGGAGATGAGTAAGCCCCGGTCGTCTCTGGCGAGGGTGCCTTCTTCAGTCAGCAATTGATGCCATCACGAACGGTTGATGCGTTGTTTACTTTCCAAATGCGCAATCGAAGGGGTAAGTCATGCCGTGCCGTGCAATCAAATAAACAACCAGTTAATCGGTCACCACCTGCATTGATCATGTCACATTTCACAGAGGAAGATCCTCCATGTTGGTCGCTTGGGAGACGACTGCAAGGCGCAGGACTGGCCCTCCAATCAGGAAGGGGAAGAAGAGGCCGGCCAGGAGGGTTGGAGGGTGGGAAGGTGGGAAGGTGGGCCGTGCCTGGGGGACCCTTCCCCAGGAGGCGCTCTTTGTTGCAGCGCTAGCCACCGTGAGGGGGCCGGTGGCAGGTGATCGCCCAAACCTTGGAAGGAATACCTGGGGAGGAGGGAGTCCAGAACCCACAATCCCAGCCATCCCATCCCATGCACACCCTTCCCAACCAGCCAATTCGCGGTTTTAGACCAGCCTGCCAGCCCGTGTTTCCTGTTTCCAAGAATACGAGCGAGCGAGAACGAACGAGGTCATCACTCGTCGGCATTGTTTGTCTGTCCGTCTGTTCTGCTTGCCAGTCACTCTGGCCGATTGTTTTCTTCCCTTTTTTTTTTTACCATTTCCTACCTGGCACTTGCACTTGCATACAGTACCTTCATTCGAGTCGATTGCATCACTTTGCTCGTGCTCAATTCCGTCAGCACGACTCCTCTCGGCCCACACTCTGACCCATCGTATTGCTTCTCGCCTAGCCATCCGCCCTCTCTTCGCCCGACCCACTCAATAAGCATAAGTATAGACAGGGCTGGCACGGGCTGTGCTGCACTCGATTTGCACCGGCAAGACGCTGTTGAGAGCGAAACCAAGGACGAACAGCGACAGGGACGAACCCAACACCACAGAAGAGCACAGCTGAGGAAAACAGCAAGAAAGCAGAGGAAACCGCCTGGAAATTGTCGCAAATTTATCGAGCAGCAATCGGTTGCATTGCGTTATTACCTTCCCTTACCATCGAACCGCCAAGCAAGGGCACTCATTCCCTCCCGCCTCTATCTATCCTCTCCCTCGGCCCAATTTACGGTGCTCCTGGCTCGTGGTTGCAGCGCTCTCTCAACCTCCGACACGCTGCTCCAGTTAATTCCTAGTCCTGATTCAAACTCCGCGCTCTGACTGGCAAACACTCCCGCCCGCCCCCGTCGCTGAGGCCGTTCGTCCGCTGACCGGCCAGGGAAGACCATTTCTTGCTCTGAGACACTTTACCTATTCCTGAAATTGTGATCCTCAATCTCCGACAGCATGCCTCGATACTCTTTCGAGTCTGAAGGCGACGAAAGGGAGGCCTTCAACGCCAGCTCTTCCACCGATCAACCTACACTGCATCAGCAGCAGACACAGCCCACAATGTCCCAATACCCTCCAGCCGCCGGCTCGAGGCGCTACGAGCAACCTCGCTACGAAGACTCGCCCAGTCGACAGGCCATGCCCGGCGCACACCCAGACTCCGCCTTTGCCCAGATGCGCGCAAACAGGAGGTCGAGCCGGGAGGGCATGCCACCACCAAACTCGAGTCGAACACCCTACATGGCCGCCGGCTCTGCCGCAGGCTTCGGAGCTGGAGCTGGTGCAGCATCAATGCAGCCAGTGTCGCCGCAAAGTTATACTCAATCACCTGTAACCCCACAAGCTCAAGGCCAATGGAGGCCTGACCCAGACTACTATGCTCCCCCACAGAGCAACATCACCCCAGGTGCGGACAACTTTAGTGAGGCGGCGGCCGGGGGAGTCGCGGGCATTGCTTACGGTGTAGCAGAACAAAACCCAAGAGAGAGTGGTCTCGACGCCATGAGAGGCCCCAACTACCCCCAACAAACCTACCAAGCACAAGACCCATACGGATACGGACGAGGAAACAACGATTACGGGATGCATGACCCCCAAGCTAGTCTGCGGCCAGGCGCAGCAGCATACACTGGCGACAATGCTGGTGACCGTGCCTCACATTCCAGCTTGCAAGGCCTCAACGCCGCCGCAGTGCCAATGGCTCAGTCTTCCCCCGGTTACAGGTCGAGAAGTCCAGGCTACGGCCCAGGACCCTACCGCGACGACCCGTACCAAGGCTACTCAGTACACAGCCACGCCAACTTGGGCACCGTCGACCCCAACGAGATCCTCGACGACGGCGACGACGGGCTCGATTATAACCAGAGGGGGGCTCGGCATAGCATGCTGAGCCTCGGTCATTCGAGCGGCAAAAGCGGTCACAACGGGACTGGAGCAGCAGCAGCAGGGGGTGCGGCTGCCGGCGCTGGCGTGATGGGCGCCATCGGCGGCCTCGTTGGCAAGAACGGAGCCAGTCGAGATGGCAACGGCCACTACGACGCCGTTCAGGGCAACACGGGATACCAGGGTGCCGGTGGCAGCGCGTATGACCTCGGCACACACGGCGCTGAAAAGTCTGCATGGCTTGAGAAACAGGGTTCAAGTTCCAAGAAATGGAAGTTGCTGATCATCGGTGGCGTTCTCTTGCTGGTCGCCGTTGCCGTCGCACTGGGCGTCTACTTCGGTGTCGTCAAGAACAAGGGCTCGGGTGGTGCTGCCGCTGGCAAGTCGGCTGCGGACGACACGGCTGACAATGGAGACCTCAACATCAACAGCTCCGAGATCAAGAAGCTCATGAACAACGCGAATCTGCACAAGGTCTTCCCTGGCATCGACTACACGCCGATCAACACGCAATACCCCGACTGCATCCACAACCCCCCTTCGCAGAACAACATCACCCGGGACCTGGCCGTGCTGTCTCAGCTGACTAACACCGTCCGACTGTACGGGACAGACTGCAACCAGACGCAGATGCTTATCCATGCCGTCAACCAACTCGAGCTCAAGGACACGGTCAAGATCTGGATGGGTGTATGGCAGGACGGCAACACCACCACCAATGAGCGGCAGCTCAGCCAAATGTGGGACATCCTTGACGAGTTCGGGGACAGCTACTTCAAGGGCCTTATCGTCGCCAACGAGATCCTCTTCCGCGAGCAGATGACGGCCTCGGAGCTGGGCTCGCTGCTCTCGGAGGTGCGCACCAATTTGACCAACAGGCAGCTGTCGTTGCCGGTGGCGACCTCCGACCTGGGCGACGACTGGACTTCGGAGCTGGCGCAGATGAGCGACTACATCATGTCCAACATCCACCCCTTCTTCGCGGGTGTCAACGCCAAGGACGCGGCATCATGGACGTACTCGTTCTGGTCAAACCAGAACGGCGGCTTCTGGAAGTCCGACATAAGCAAGAACATCATCGCCGAGACCGGCTGGCCGTCGCAGGGTGGCACCGACTGCGGCACCACCGAGGTCACTGACTGCCCCAACGCTTCGGTTGCCGGAATCGACGAGATGAACACGTTCATGGACAACTGGGTCTGCCAGGCCCTCACCAACGGCACCAACTATTTCTGGTTCGAGAGCTTCGACGAGCCCTGGAAGATTATGTACAACTCGGGCAGCCAGAACTGGGAGGACCACTGGGGCCTCATGGACGTCAACAGGAACCTGAAGGATGGAGTCAAGATCCCCGACTGCGGGGGGAAGACGGTTGATTGAGCTGAGACCAGGAAATATTTAATGATGTATATGAAGAGAAGATTTGACGGGTTCATATTTTTTCTGTTTTTTTTGGTTCCGAGATCTTCTGAGACATTTTGATATCTAGAAGCGATACGGGACTTGATCTAAGGCGGCTTCTGTGGCATGTGCTGGTCCTTGGGCCCGAGGCCCCAGGTGACCCTGCCAGCAGGGACCGCATAAAACATTTGACCATGCGTGTACGATTTGATTTGATAAACTTCCGGGGGGTTCGGTTTGCATTTACTTGGGCGGACAATTAAACAAAAACTGGCGAGGCACGCTTCTCATGGGCATCAGCTTCTTTCTTGTGGCCTGTGGTTATACACACCACAACAGACCGCGTCATTTACGCTTCCTTTCTGGGCTACAAAAGGTCTTCTGGACTGTCTTCTTTTGACGGCGACCTGTTAGACATGCTTCCTGGGCACGCTTTGATACATGTTGGAGTTTTGGGACTGGGTTGGGACACTCATGATCGTGTGCTTTGACATGAGAGCTGGATCGGGACACGGGGGTGGGCGGTTGGGCCATGGCTAATTATATATACACCAAGTTGGACGGTTAAAATCTATTATTACAGCATTCATCTGTTTATTTCTTAGAGTGAGATGTCACTGAGATAAGTCCCCGTAATAACCTACAGTGTAAAACAGTACAGCAGAAAGGGCGACCTCTGGCTTCCCTTTATCAGCGGGCTTTGATCGGCCAAGGCTGAGGCTGATCTGCACAATATGCCGTGGGTTCTAGGATAGTCCGTTCAAAAGATCCTCACAGACCATGAACGGTTCTGGGCGGTAGAGGACAACGAGGCTATCACAAACTCCCATTCCATCAACATACTCCATGGTTTAACGACACTATTTGCTGCTGCAAAAAGGGCAGAAACATTTTGGGAGACCGCTTAGAAATTCATAAGATCTATAAAATTCTGTGTCATAAGGAATCGCAGCAATCGAGCTTGTGTTCTGGACAAGCAATCATAGGGTGACGTGCATTGAACATGGGCGAGGGTGCATGATGCTCATCCAAAAGGCTTGAATCCTCCAACTCGGACTGTTTTTTGTGCAGTGTCATAACTGGAGTACCAGATCCCGAGGCACTGAGTAAGAAACCGCTTTCAACATGCTGATTGTTGCCTGGAGTTGACAATGCCCTGAATCAAAGTACAATAAAGCATCAGCCTTTGCCCTGAAGCACATGGAGGGCTCTTTGACAGAGGAACAAAACCGTCGTGTGGTAACAAAGGCATTGTTGCCTCCAATCTATTGTCTCTGGAACGAGCGTGGTTCCAAGTCCACTAAATATATATTCGCAGCCTCATCATCGATCCCAACAGCCATTTCTCTCCTCACTGAACACCTCACCATCCTGGCCTCAACTGAAAACCTGCATCTGCGCACGCCATCTTAAACACATCTTTATCAACTTTGATCACCGAAATTATGATGGAGCCCATTCCTACCCCCGAAGAGAGACAGGCTCGGGCTCAGCAGAAGAAACAGGCCAAGATGCAACGCGTGGCCATCATCATCCTCGCCTTCCTCGCGTCCGGCCTCCTGGCCTCTACCATCTCCCTAGCCGTTTTCTACGCCCGCCACGTCCAGCGGTGTCGCGCCTACATGCCCCCCGAGGTGTCCAACGCCCCGGCTGTGCCTCAGGCGCCCCCGGTGGGCCGCCGCTCGAGCGACAAGCTCGTCGTGGTCCCCGTGGTCTCCAGGACACCCCCCACGGCCCCCTCGTCGAAGGATACCCCCGACGCCGCCCCCTTGGTGGTCAGGGCCCCCACTATGTCCATCTACCCCATCACCAACAGCACGAACGGCTCCTCGCGCGACAATGACTCCAAGCAGTGCGACCCCGGCTCCGTCTGGGGCGGCCAGGCGCTCGACGAACTGGATCACGGTTATATGCCGCTGATGCAGAAGGCGCTGAGCGTTTCGCCGGTCGGGGTTGCGGGCGAGATCCGCGACTACTACCATACGGCGCTGCAGAGCGTCTTTCGTTGCGGTGAGTCGATGGAGTTTGGACAGCTTGAGCTTGTTGATGCTTGTAGGTCTGGGTATGTTGTTGAGGGGGAGAAGGTAGAGTGCGACGAGGGTGGGAGCATTGGTAACTCTACTTTGGCTTCGGTTTAAGTGCAGTGCTTTTATTGCGACTGCCGCTCTCTCTTTTCATTTTTTGTTCTCTGGATTTCCTTGGTTTCCAGGCTATTAGGACTAGGTTAGTAGGCGTTCTACTGAAAATGCATCATTTTCTCATCTCGACTGATTATTTGTTTTATCTTGTGACACTTCTGACATTTCCATACCCTTAACAAGTGACGTTGCTAACTGCACGTTTCTTGTCTAGAACGTCACATGTCTCTTCTCGATACCATGAATGCACTGGTTACGGTGAGGTTATCTACCTCAGTGGATGGACTCATAAGGCTCTGCCGGCCATACAACGATGCAAAATGTTCTTGCCCACCATCACAAATCTCTCTTGGATTTCGATGTCTGTTTTCGATCATTCGACGGAACTGATGCTGGCTCAAATCAAGTACCAAAATCTCAAAACACCTTACAACGGTTCGTGTTTTCATTATTGAGAACGACTAACAATTTGAGCTCATTGGTGGATGCAAGCATCAGTGCATATCGATGGTTTCTTTCGCGAGAGGCATGTTAGATAATGGCAGGGGTGCGGATTGATTTACCACGGGAAAGGGGAATCAGTCTAGCTGAAGCGTCTTTGTTTTCTTGGCGCACCATTTGTGGCTCTGCGGAGGCTCCTTCCTGGCTGGCTGGATGAAGTGTGTCAGATTAAGCATTCGCCTGTTCATCCGTCCATTAACACAGCTGGCCCAAGTGCCGCTGCGCCCGATCAACCAACAGACGAAGGAAGGCGGATGTGCTTTTAAGATTGACAAGGAGGGCTTATATAAGCCGCTTGAGATATTCGGAACGCAGCCCAGCAGACTCAGGGCGACGTTTTATGTAAATGCTATTGTTGAGAGGTGATCTGCCGAGTTAAAATGGTGGCCGTCCTGCAACTTCGGAACAATAAGTCTACTAGTATGTTCTTGTCCTTCCCCGGCATTTATTTTCCGCTGCCAATTACCAGGAAGCACGGGATAATGGTTTGGTACTAATCAATGGATGTTTCGAAACGAAGGGCGGGACGGATCATGCCCCTGCCATTTTAAGTGCAAAATAGGCACTCATGACATGAAGCCCGTGGTCGACTTAGCTTTGGCGTGGAGTCGATAGTTATTAGAGGATCAGTGTTTGCCCAGTATCCATAGGTTGGGATGATTCTCTTCCTTTTGCCTTCATCGTCTCTCGTTCTCCTGATATCGCCATTCTTCTTCGTCACTCGCTCAATATGTTGTACAGTCATGCCATTGTCAAATAATAGCGTTGGATGCTTAGTCTATTAGGCTAGCTAACGTCTATTCAACGGGAGGGAAGGCCCCTATTTATAGTTATTATCCTCCATACAATGGCAAACATATAGAGAAAAGGATATCCCGTATTAATAATAGCCTAGATATCTAGAATATTCCAACAGCCATTACCATTGCGCTCTGCGCAACTGTCGCACATGCGGACAAGATGGTATGGGCTTCGGTTATGCCCCGCCAGTAAAGCACATGGATTAACTTCGACGACAGCTCCGCTTCTCCTGTTCGCAGCTGGTGACCCAGCGTCTTGATCCGTGAGTGTGGCGCCAGAGAAAACTTGTTGCCTTCTGAAGTCTTACCTATTCCATCAGCGTAGTCCAACCTGGACAAAATCCATCTCAACACGTGCACCAGGTACGCACCCAAGTTCTCAATCAGTTCAAATGTAGAGGAATAAGTGATTGACGTTGCCTTCTCAGATTGTTGGAGGCGTAAGTAATCCCCAGCGTGCATGATTACTTGGCCGCGGACATGGAGCTAAGGATAATAGAATGCTTTCAACGTCACCATGGACCCAGCACACGACATACCAGCCGAAGCATCTTGCACAACATGCACTTTCACTGAGGACTTTTCCAACTACTGGACACCATCCATGTACTTTCAAGCTCGCAACGGGACCTTCAAGCGTGTCCCCCAGATAGCTAATCAGGGCTTCAACGGCGCCGTGAGTACACCTCGCTAGGAACACTCTGCGCGGATTTCCCAGACTCATCTGATGATTATCCAGGATGGCGGTATGACCGTTTACTACGTGACACCCGATGACGCAAGCGTCAACATCACGGCGTTCGCTCCAGGTTTTCGCATGGTTGTGGGAGACCCTACCAGCCGAGCACAGGGCGGCTTCGACGGCGCGATGAACTCTTATCGCTGCTACACCGGGAAGAACTTCGAGCCGAATCCGTTTGGAGTATCTGACAATGACACGTCTACATTTCCGACACGGTACTGCGCTGGCGGTGTGAGGGTTGCCATCTTCTTTCCAACGTGAGTGACTACTATACACGCGTACACATATACACAAACGCAAGCTTGTATTCACCCCAGAGATGCCGCGAACTGACAGAGGCTTGTTACAGATGCTGGGACGACGTCAACCTCGACAGTGCCAACCACAAGTCACACGTCACTTTCGGTGACAACGGATGCCCCTCCTCACACCCCGTCCGCCTTCCTCAAGTGTTCTTCGAGACTGTCTGGGACACAGGCGTGTTCCCCGAGTCAGAATGGCCAGAGGATGGCAGCCAGCCGTTTGTGTGGGCGCAGGGCGATGCGACAGGATACGGACACCACGCTGACTACCTGTTCGGCTGGAAGGGGGACTCGCTGCAGCGAGCCATGGACGCGAGGTGCGACTTTGCTGGGTGCACAGAACTTCAAACGCAGGGGTTTTCTGCAGGCAATACGTGCACCCAAGAGCCGATTGTCAAGGAGCCTGTTGATGGCTGTGAGTGCCCTGGCTTGGCGGACACGAAGACGAGCCTGAGGTGCCATTGCTAACGGTAATGATACAGGGTTGGAAGCTCTGCCTGGAAACTTGACAGTGAACTAGGCTCCTGCTGGTTCCCAAAGCATTGAGATACGACGGCGCAATGAAAATACTGAAGGAGTGAAAATGAAGAGCCGGATCCCATGGTCTGTATGGTACATGGGTCCAACAGCTAGACGTTGTCTAGCAAAAATCTAGGAAGGTTCAACATGTTCAATAAAAGCACCAATCTCGACGTTATCGTTAGTCTGGACAGAACGTAATTACGGAGGGAGAAGCAGACAGCTAATATGGTGTCCTTCGGAGTTGAAGCAACGGAACAAATGGTATGTCAAACAGTACACTACCTAGACCTGACCAGCTTGAGCTTGAACACTTAAAACCTAGTAAGTTTAAGCCTTGAAGCAAAGATATGAGATCTGCGGCTCGAATGGTAACAGGGTCTCCAGGTAAAATGCGACCAGCGGGTTTGTAACATTTATGACGGTAGAGGTGATAGATAATCAAATATTCCCAGCGATGCCACGTGCATACAACTTTGGTTCAGTAATATCCTCGTGGGCGTCTCTTTGTGTAGTTGAAAATTGCGCCTGACTCCTGTTCCACAACGGACAGGAACTCGACCCAACTGCGGGCTCACGGGGTTGGATCTCGAGGCCATTATTCGGACCTTGCCTGCTCAGTTCCATAGACTTCTCGGTTGCTTTCTTACGATGTAGACTGCCGAATCGGTAATAGCTTCTAAGTTGTCCGGACTGGCTCAGCTGGCAAAAAGATCTCAAGGACACGGCACAGCAGCTTTGTATGGGGACCTGGAAGGCCCCTATTCCGCTGGAGTCCAGCCTGGATGGGACGGGAAAACGAGGGAGATTCGAATTGACTAGACAAGATGAGATGAGCAACGGAAAGACACAGCACCGAATGCGGACAATGTCGAAACCTATCACGAATTCTACCATGAACTCTACTTCGAGCACAAAGAAAGTGCGCGCTTGAAGAGTAGCTCAACCAGGTAACGGTCCGATCAAACTTACCGTGCATGTTTGAGAGCTTTCTCACGGGACGTCGTTACCCGTGTGTAAGAAGTGGCCGGACAAAGGCAAGCCAGGCTTTGGCAGACTGGACCAATCAAGGGGGTAATTCCGAAGGTTGACTCACCTATTGCAATTGTATATAGCCCTTCTATTTGCCACCTGCGATAGGAAGACCTTACCAGGAATCCAAGTCAATATAAGAGAGCTGATTTAGAAAGCACCAATCGCAGATCCTCCCAACAAAATCATCATGGGCAGCTTCGGAGCGAACTATGAGGATCTTGTTCCAGAACAAGACCTGTATTATTTTGGTAATGCTACCGTCAAAGGAATACGAGATCAGCTCCGAGAGAACGGGCTTCCCACAGGCGGTCTCAAGTACCAGCTTTATCTTCGTCTGGTGGAGAACGGCCTGCGGCTATACAACGACAATCGATCTGATAGTATTGGGGATGATCAAGAAGAAGACAACGGTGAGCCAGATAATGGATCCGACATTCCTTTTGAGGTAGACGATAGCGAGCTAGACAATAGCGAGGAGAATTACGTAGAGGGAGATGAGAGTGAGTCAGAGAGTGGGGAGGAGATCAGCGAGGCAGGCGATACTAGTAGCGAATCAGGAGATGGAGGCAAGCAACCACCAAAATCGGACAAGAAAAGAGGTAGAGACGATGACGATGAGGAGGACGAGAATGATAACGGGGACCCCCAAGACCGAGGACCGCCAGCCCGCAGCAGGAGGAGACTCGGCATTGCCCTTCCACCAGAACTGCGAACTATAATCATCGAGAATCTCAATGCCCCTGGGGTATGGAACCTGATCGATTCGGCTCCAGAGGAGTACTTGAGCAGGGACTTCAACGCACTCATATTGGAAGCACGATATCAGTATCGCCTAGACTACCCTCCTGTTGCTCCTGTCGATACCCCTGGCAGCTTTAGGAAGACCGTCCCCTACCCCTGGCCGGGTCCCGGTCCCGAACGCCCCTTGTCTCTACTGGAATGGGTCGCGAGACGGGCCACACTCGACTCCAGGTTCGGGACGGCCAACCGTACACGCATCATGCGAGTCATTGACGCATACCTTCAGGTATACGGGACGGCTGACCCGGGGGCGCTCCCGATGCCGAACGAAAGAGAAGCAATACTGTATTACTTCCGCAACCGCGCCAACCTCCTCGTCATCAACCACACCCCCCTCACGCACGCCGCTCGGGCCCAAAACCCAGGCGCCGTGCAACTCCTCCTGCTGCGCGGCGCGGATGTGAACGAGGTGGTCAACGGCATGACCGCCCTCGAGCACGCGGGCTCGGCCGGGTTCATGCTGGGCCCCCTCCACCAAAACACCTTCCAGACGGCCTATGCTCTGATCGGGGCCGGTGCCGACGTCTCGGTGCTCGGCGACAGCTCGCGCTTACAATCATCAGTCGCACTTCAGATGCTGACGGGAGACCCGGTACCTGCGCCGGGCCTGGAGCTGCCAGGAGACTTTCCGAGGATCGACAATCTAGGCTTGAGCACCCGCCAATTGATTGCCGACGAACGATCCCAGCCTTACGAGAGGATGCTTTTAACCCTGTTTGTTATTTTTTACAGGACAATGGTCTATCCACGATACATTTGATGTCTGATTAGTTCCGCAATGTTGTACTTGGCTATGTTTTGTATCAAATGTTGGGCTTTGGAACTTCAAGTTCTCTTCGGAATGACGTTAATGCTGAGGCAACTGTACTGGACATGAGGTGTTACTTATTGAGGGTGAGATATGTTGATAGTACCTTGGTATCTGGTTTTGTTCCGTTTTCCTTTTTTTTTTCCTCTTTCCTTCTCTATCTAATGAAGTTCAGAGTAGTTTTTAAGTTGTACTAGACTGATTTTACTACATACCTAGACCTTGGGTGACAACGGCTTCACATGCCATCAAAACACAATGCAGTGAAATTCGCTACAGGTGCCAACAGCAAATATCGTTTGGTCCATTATGGTGCTTTCGTTTATAAATGTAATTGGACCCAGAGGATGATACAAATTTCTCCTACACAGGATCTAGCCTGCTTGACTTGTCTTATTGAAGCTCCGACCTCTACGCCCTTGACTGGATTTTATGCTCCATGGCTGTTATTAGTTGTTTGAGATATCTTGGAGGGCCCGGATATGCAAGCCTTAAGTGTCCTAACCTCTTACGGAAGGACAGTCAATTTCATCTGACCAGGTTCATTTGCCAATAGTTCTGCGGGATCTGAATCCTGTTCGTGGGTTATCTGGGGTATCCTGCACCGTTCGCTCATGTCAGACTTTCCCATAAACCATCCCACTCACCACCTGGGTGAAGCCAACGAGTCACTGCTTGCAACATGCCTCAGATGAGATTCGAGGCAGCCAACGGTGACTAATCACAGTCTTGCTTGTGTTCGCAGCTGGCTTATGCTTCACTTCGTCCTACAGGGTGATACAACTACAACCATTGTCCCGCACCCTGATCCGAGTTAGCGTACGCCCACCCAGCTTCTACAGTACGCCTACTTAGCTTCCAGCGTTGGCCTACCCAGTATAAAGAAAATTAGCTGCATCCGCACTAAAATGCAAGTATTGCGGGGTTTCTAATAAGCTAGAGTAGCTATTTTCTAATTTAAGCAATACTTTAAAAATACAAGCCTAAAAAGCCTAGAGCGCCCAGAGGGCCCCCGAGCCCCCAGAGCCCCCAGAGCCCCCAGAGCCCCCAGAGGGCCGCAGAGCGCCCAGAGGGCTGCAGAGCGCTTAGAGGGCGTAGAGGGCGCAGAGGGCGCAGAGGGCAGAAGAGGGCGCCGAGGGCGGCAGAGGGCGCAAAGGGCAAAAGGGCAGAAGTAACTTTTAAGTTGCAAATAAAGGGGTAGCTATAAAACCCTTTTGGAATAGCTATAATTATGCTTTATTAATAACCCCGCAGTATTAATATTTTATAACGCATGCAATTAATTTCCTTGTACTGGGTGGGCCAACGCTGGAAGCTGGGTGGGCGTACTGTGGAAGCTGGCTGGGCGTACGCTGACTCCCCTGATCCGCGCCTGCGTCGAGACATCGAGACATCCGCGTTTGGCGCGTTGGACTCGACCAACACTTGCACCTCTGAAATCAGTGTGGCCCGGGTTCCAGCCATCATATCCATATCGCCCACTGTACCATGGACTTCCCTGGCTGTCTTAATGATGAAGCACTCGAGCCGACCGTTGTCGGCTGCCGTGGCGATTTCGACTTTACCATCAAATTTGAGAAGATTTTCTTCTCATTGATACCATCCACGTTAGTAATATGTGCCTCTGTCTTATACCCTTCCCACCAGAAGCGGCTTCTGCTGACATCGACGTTGCAGATTGTTCATCGTTGCGTGCGCTCCACGTCTCGCCTTGCTCTGGCATCGGAAGGCCCTGGTGGGCGGCAAGCTACTCTGCTGCGTGAAACTGGTATGCTTCTGGGCAGATCTCGGAATCAACATCGTCGGGGATTGCTGGCTAACCTCGCGAGACTACAGGCCACACTTAGTTTGCTCTCCGCGCTGCAATTGACACTTCTGGTCTTGAGCATCGTCAACGCCGGGGCATACAAATCATACTTCGTCTCCGCATCAGCTCTAGCTCTAGTATCGGGCCTGGGTTTGATCATCCTATCGCTACTGGAGCATGCGAGATCGCCAAGGCCATCGATATTGATTAGCTTCTACCTCGCTCTGACACTACTCCTCGATGTTGCGCAGACTCGCACCTTGTGGTTGGCCTCGAGAAACCAGACAGAAGCCACGTTTTGCAGGGTGTACACATCCGCCTTGGCTCTCAAAGGAATCTCTCTGCTCCTGGAGTCACAGAACAAGACACGATGGATAGCTTGGGATACGAAAGAGCACAGCCCGGAAGAGACAAGTGGACTGTTTGGATTAGGCGCGTTCATCTGGCTGAATCGCCTCTTCTTGTCTGGGTATGCCAAGGTCTTGAAAGTTGGCGACCTCTACCCGCTGGATCCGGCTATGTGTGCCGGGACTTTGGATCAGAGACTGGCACGCCACTGGCAGAATTCCGAATCTGCGAGCCGGTCGAAGTATGGCCTTGCTCGTGCGTTGATGAAGGCCCTCGCGGTCCCGATCTTGTTGCCAGTCGTACCACGAGCAGCTATGGCTGCATTCCAATTCTGCCAGTCGTTCCTAATCAACGCTCTTCTCAACTACCTGGAAGAGCCAAAACCGTCCAAGAATGTTGGGTACGGCCTGATCGGAGCAACAATACTCATCTATCTAGGCATTGCTGTAACATTCGCGCTCTATTGGTACTACCAGGAGCGCGCAATATACATGGCCCGAGGAGCGCTGGTTGGTGCAATCTACAAGAAGACCACCGAGGTCGGTCTACCTGCAGCTGATAATTCTGCGCTCACACTGATGAGTGGTGACATCGAGCGCATAATCGCCGGATTTCTCAACATCCACGAGCTCTGGGCCAACACAGCACAGGTTGCCATTGCCTGCTGGCTCCTTTCGCAGCAGATCGGCCTGGCCTTCCTCGCCCCTTTGATCGTGGTTGGCGTCTTCGCCGTGTGCTCCACCATCCTAGCGAGATTGACCGGGCCACGTCAAAAAGTCTGGATGGAGGAGATCCAGAAGCGAGTCGGGCTCACTTCCACTGTGGTCGGGCAGATGAAGAACCTGAAGATGTCAGGCCTGGCTGCCCCGGTCGGCAAATTGATCCAGCAGATGCGTATTGACGAGCTGAGAGCCGGGGCACGATTCCGGATGATCTTGTCCTTCACCGCAACCCTCGGCGTCACACCGCTCTCCATCTCGCCGGTGATGGCGTTTGCATTCGCGTCCCGCACCCTTGGCGTTACGACTATTTTCACTTCGATGTCCTATATTGTCCTACTGGCAACACCTCTGTCTGTGCTCTTCCAGTCAATACCCACTCTGATGGCAGCGTTGACATGTCTCGACCGGATCCAGGTGTTCTTGGAGAGCGATGCGCGTCGAGACTTCAGGGTCGCGACATCTTCTCCGAAACGGGATGGGACAAGCACAGGGGAGAGTCCCACGGGAAATAGCAAGGGTAAATCTACTGCGCAACCCACGTACGCAATCGAGATATCAGGAGGATCTTTTGCCTGGAAGCCAGACCGGCAGGTGCTCAGTAGCATCGACCTCAAGATTCCTTCCGCAGCTCTGACTATCATCATTGGTCCGGTTGCTTCTGGCAAGTCAACGCTATGCAAGGCTCTCCTTGGTGAGACTTCCGTGGCCCATGGAACAACACGAACCGGTTTCTCTCCCGGTTTGACACGAGTCGGATATTGTGACCAGGCACCGTACCTGTCCACCGCTACCATCAGAGAGAACATTGTCGGATTCTCAGAGTTTGAGAAGGACAGATACGACGAGGCTGTCGAGGCCGCAATGCTGCGTCATGATTTGGATGTCCTGCTCCCTGAAGGAAATCACACCCAGATCGGCACTGACGGCATCACTTTGAGTGGCGGCCAGAAACAGAGGGTCTGCCTCGCGAGAGCACCGTACCATGACACTCATGTCGTGATCTGCGATGATGTTCTCAGGGGGCTCGATGCTGATATGGAGGACAACGTCTTCCGAAAGGTGTTCTCTACTAACGGGGTACTCCGCCGCCGGAAGGCAACGGTGATTTTGTCTACACACTCTGTGAGGTACTTGCCATTTGCAGATCACATAATCGCCTTGAATGAGAACGGGACAATCTCGGAGAAGGGGACGTTTCAAGAGCTGGTGGCAAACCGGGGCTATGTCTATGGCCTTAATGTCGAACACAGAACCGATCAGCATTCCGTGGACGGGGAAAGCCTCCCAACAGATGCGACGAAACCCGCGGAGAAGTTGAATACCGCCGCAGCGATCGCTCATAAAGACGCAAATATGTCAGAAGATGAGCATAGCCGTATGTTTGGCGACGTGCAGGTCTACAAGCATTATTTCGCGCGAATCGGCATCTCGTCCCAACTGGCCTTTCTTGTCTCTGCCGTAGCTTGGGGGTTCTTCTACAGTTTCCCAACTGTCTGGCTCACTTTGTGGTCTGACGACATTACGTCTGCCCATCCTGACCACTCAAATTCCTTCTTCCTCGGCCTCTACGCCCTGTTCCAAATCTGCACGCCAATATCACTGTTATTCATGAGCCTGATCTGCTTCAGAACAATGGTACACCAGTCTGGCTCTAGAATTCACCAGGATGCATTGAATACAGTCATCTCAGCACCTCTGCGGTTCTTCTCGAGGACGGACACGGGCACCATTACGAACTTTTTCTCCTAGGATATGACGCTGGTTGACGGGAGGCTCCCGATGGCCCTGACGAACCTGTCCCTCTACGTCTTCTCGTCCTTGGGCCAGGCCGCTGTGATCGCCACGTCTTCCCCGTACCTTGCCGTCACTTATCCATTCCTCTTGGCGCTTCTGTACTTCATACAGAAGTTCTACCTCCGCACGTCGCGGCAGATGCGACTTTTGGGCCTCGAAACAAAGAGCCCACTCTAGTAAGTTCAGAACCTTCAATGCAGAGGCCTGCGCTAACAATTCGCAGCTCCCATTTCATCGACACCATGAAGGGAATAGCCACCATACGCGCATTTGGGTGGGTTTCGGAGAACGTCCACGTGAACAAGACCTACCTAGATACATCGCAGAGGCCCGCCTACCTCCTCGCCATCATCCAGCGCTGGCTGGGCTTCGTACTCCGGATCGTTGTTGCGCTCCTGGCTATAGCAATCGTCACGCTGGCCACGCAGCTCGGCTCTAACTTCTGGATCCGCTTCCCAGCTGTGCTGACAGCATAACCATCGACGATACACCTCTCAACCTCATCGATCGTACTGCTCTCCGCGAACGAGTCCTGACCATCCCCCAGGAAGTGGTATTTCTCCCCGACGGTACCTCATTCCAGATGAACTTGGACCCATTTGGTGTTTCCTCTGAAGATTGCTGGGCTGTCCTGGATTCTGTCGGACTGAGGAACTTGGTTGAGGACCACGGGGGTCTTGCAGCTGGGATGGCCGTCGATATGCTATCCCAAGGGCAAAAGCAGCTGTTCAGTTTCGCCCGCGCCCTACTACGGCACAGAACAAGGGCCAGGAGTCTTAGCAATAGCTATGGTGAGACAGGCGCGGCGCAGCGGGGAATCCTGCTCCTCGACGAGTTCAGCTCTGGTGTTGACTACGACACCGACAGGGCCATGCAAAAGATTATCCGAGAGGAAGTTGAGGCCTACACGGTCGTCATGGTTAGTCACCGGCTGGAGATGGTCATGGACTTGGACAGGGTCATCATGATGGATGCCGGCAGTGTTGTGGAGACGGGGCGGCCTTCGACATTAATCGAAAAGGAGGGATCCAAGTTCAGGGATCTGTGGATGGTTGGCCGCGAGAAAACATGAATATGATGGGCCAGGATTTCGGTCCACTTTGTGAGAACTACACCTGCTCACTGGGGAGAACACACAATTCCATATTGGTACTGACTCTTTTAGGGGCTGTTATAAAGGAAGTGATCTTGCTGCAATGATATATCTGTCTAGATTTTATCCTTCCACATTGTATGCCACCGTAAACTGAACGGTACACAGATATGGCTGTTTCAAAGCAGATTCAACGAGATTCAAACCTCGCAAGCATGGTAAATGATTGGACACAAGATTAAATTTTGCATTTGGAAATTAAGGCGGTTTGGCCGAGTGGTCTAAGGCGATAGACTCGAATGTCAATTTGATGTTGATGTGATCTATTCTCTTCGGAGGCATCGGTTCAAATCCGATAGCCGTCGCTCAGTTTGTTTTTGCGCCCGTTTGTTGAACGGTTTGTCAATTTTTATTCTTTGGGGGAAGATGGATTTTTGTAAATGTCGTGGGCGTGAGAGTGTAGAGGCGCGGGGACTGCTAAGCTTTGCTTGCGGAGCGACGTTGAGCTTGAGGTCCAAGCTGTCGACGTTAACAAAAACCTCTCCAGCGCTGTTAGCTGGCGCCCTTCAGACTCGAGAAGAGGCGTCTCGAATGCTCCATTTCGTAATTGTAATATGGCAGGACATCGATTCGCTTCATTATTTTCATTAATTCATACATCCCTAATAGACCATATAGAAAGTTACATGAGTGACAGTAGTAGATACAAGTCGTGAGTCATACAAAGGAAATGGGAATACGACACAGTAGAATCTTTTCACGTCCAAACCTGTGCGGAGCAAGGAGTGTGTATGGCCGAGCCAACCCAGGGCCCGGCCAGCAAATGAATGGCAGCCAGCCAACATCATTTGGCTCTTCACCTCATCTCTTAGGCGTCGAAGGCTCGCGCATGCCGCCTGGCAGTGCCGCCGCCGCCGCCATTCTTCCCAGTTCCTTGGTTCCCACTTTCTTCGTCCGTGCCTTCGTCTTCTCCCGTCCCGGTAGTCCCTCCAGTCCCTGTGCCAGTGCCGGCACCAGTGCCGGCACCAGCACCGGTGCCAGCACCGGTGGCAGCTGGCGTAGCACCGGTAGCGGGCGGCGTAGCGGGCGGCGTCCCATTAACCGCACCATTGGCCATCTGGAAGGCAATGATACCACCAAACGGCCCCGCGGCATTGTTATTAGCAATCTTCATAAGGCAGACCCCCGACTGGCCGTTGACCTGCCCCGTGCAGGTCGTGCCGGCGGGGACGGTGAAGGCGACGTTGAAGTCCTGGTTGACGTTCGTGGCGCGCTTCTGGATGACGCCCGTGTTCTCGAGCAGGGACCGGACGTACGACTTCTTGGTGATGCTGCGCGGGCAGTTGCCCCGGGTTCCCGGGACGTCGGCCGTCGTCTGGGCCAGGGTGCCGTCGGCGAACTGGCCCGTCGCGCTCGGGTCGATGACGGCCTTGACGGCGCCGCAGCCGTCTGAGGTCACGACGTGGAAGACGCCTGTGACCTGGGAGTTGACCTGGGGGAGGGCGCCGCCGCCGGAGAGTTCCTGGGGGACTTGTCAGCTAGTCGTAATGACATGTGTCTGTCTGGGGGCGTACCTGGGCTTGCGCGACCATGTCGACCGTGTTCTTGCCACCGCCCGTGGTCCTTCCCAGACCATTTGTCTGGATGTTGGTCCTACCGAACACAGTGGTGTCGACTTCGGTCTGGACCAGTAATCGTCAGTAGTTAATCCTTTTGCACAATAAAGCGTCGTGGGTAGAATCCAGGGATCTGTCTGCCACTTACAACTTTGTTCTTTCCAGGGCCGGGAACCACACCACCTTGGATGGCCAACCCGGTGGTGTTTCCGGTGACATCACCCTGCATCTGGGCCACCTTGCCGTGTGCGGCGGCGAGGGGAACAAGAGATAGAATGAAAGCCTTGGATAACATGGTGGAGACTTGGAGCGGCAATGTCAATTATTGGAGTTGGGTATTCTGGTATTAGATCGGTAAATTCCTGTAGAGAGGGCAATTAAGGCACTGCCTCGAACCTTAGTTGACAAAGGTGATAAGGGAAATGGCTGCCAAGGAAAAGAAGACTGGCTGAGGCCAGACTTTTGTGGTGGGCGCAAAATGCTCGGGAGTAGTCTCGCTTCTTTTATACTTCAGCCTCGTCGAGTATCAATTGACGATCAACAGAATCCACAGCAGACGGAGAACAAAATGATCGCCGCGGTAGATCCCAGACTCAGAGCATCATTCTGCCCTTGATGCATGAAACCCGGTAAGCTTTCCCTACTGCCTGGCACTGAAGTATGATCATGTTTTCGTGATAGCTTCACCGACAGACCACTCGCCCACAGAGCGCGTGTAAACCACCAGTTGCCACCACACCGTCCATTCTGCCAAGGCGTATGGGCCGGGATGCAATCGCACACAACCCCACAATATCATTGGACGTGGTAGTTCGTGCCGAAGTCAAATCCATCTAAGCATAATGACAGGCTCGGAATTCCTTGGTGCAAGCTATGACATCTGTCGCCCAGTCTCAGGCATCATGGGTCGCCCGCGTGGCCAGGTGCCTGAGCAAAAGACTATGAAGATGCCTGCCCATCCTAGACTTGCATCCTCATTAGTCCGCGACGGACAGAAACCAGGCGAAACTGATATTGGAGGCAAGAAACCTAGATTTCACAAACGGCACAGCTGTCTGAGAGAAGAAAGTATGTCACGACTCACTCCATGTGCGATAGCTCAACATAGCCAGTGGGCAGCACGAGGGAGACCGGGCGAAACCGAGCAAGCTGAACAATTCGAGTCTTTGGCGACACATGCAAACTTTGTAACTAAGCCGCAAGGTAGCAACGGGCCTCGCTTAGGCCTTCGTCTGGTCCCGGCCCAATGCAGTGAAACCAGGGCTCGGCGACAGACGAAACAATTAAGCCCGGACGCCCTACACCACTACAGACAAAAACATTGAAGGTTAATAGAGTATAGGAAACGCATCAAGTGGGATATGGCTCCCTCGTGGCTAGGATGCATGGGCCTTGTTATCCTTGCTTTGATCCTGCGAATGCTCCGATCATGGGGATCACTGATCACCGTCGAGGCTTGACTCCCGCGTGTCAAGTCCATGGTATCCTCGGCACCTCGCGTCGACCTACCGTGCCCACAGGGAGTCAGGAATGCTGAGAGCGTGGTTCGTTCCGTACATCAGTTGACAGTCGGATGTCAGGTCTTGACTGGCCGTCAGCTACATATGAGACGGTTCCGGCTTCACTGCCCCTGACTACAGATGGTCGATATACCATAGACTGGCAACATCACAGGAACAGTCAGTGTAAGAAGGCTTCATTCAATGATTCAGCAAATAGAAGATGGCTTTCGAAGTCCTGGACTGTCAAGTCAGTATACTTCGTGCAATGTTCCTGTAGCAAGGCACCCCGCTTCGAGAAGCGCCGGCGGGCTGGACTGGGCACGTTTCACCTCTCACAGATGACTGGTGGATCTGCCCGCACGCTCGTGCTCAGCATAATGGAAGTCTAAATGGACGTCACAATTTTCGGAAAAGTCAGCCGTAGAGGAGGTCAAGTAAGTCGAGCCTCCAATAAGCAGGACCTGTTGCGATAGGCACGCACGTGTGTGCTTCTGAAATGTTGCCCAACCGCCAGGTAGATGAATCAAGTTATAAATTAAGTTTTGAATTCATGGAGCAGCAACACTTTCCATAATACCACCCCCGGGTTTCATTCCATGTTCGAGCCCTCCTCTCATTCGCCGCGACACAATCCTTAATCGCCGAGCGGCGACTGCCCACCACCTGCGTCGTTGACGCTGCCGTACCCGCCCACGAAGTAGCCCGCCGGCACCTCGCCCGACCCCGAGCCGCTACGACTTGCCGGGGCTGCGGGCCACTCGTCCAGTGTTTTCGCCTCGCCCGTCAGGGTGAAGTTGAGGGCCGCGAGGCCTGGCTCGACGTCGAGCAGCAGGCTGTAGGAGCCCGGGTGGAGGACCCTGTTGCCGTTGTCGTCGACGCGGGACAGGCTGCCGAGGGTGAGGTTGAGCGTCAGCTGCGCGGAGTCGGACGCGGAGATGTTGTGCGCCCTCTCGTACGAGACGAGGGTCTTCAGGGGGTGCGGCGCTGGTCCGAAGTCGCCCTTGAGGAACAGCAGGGCGCTGTAGTCGGATGTGACGTTGCCTGTGTTTGTGACACTTGTGGACACCGAGGCGAACGGGCACAGGTCGAGGTATTCTTCAGTGCAGCTCGAGGCAAGGCTGCCGATGTCGAAGCTGCTCCCCGACCCGGACAGACTGATCTCGGCGTCGAAAGTGGTATAATGCAAGCCGTACCCAAACCCAAACACGGCCTCGCCCTCGTACCACCGGTACGTCCGGCCGGGGAAGCCCGCCCCCGCGTCAGGCCGCAGGGCCATGTCGGTCATGGGCACGGCGGCGGCGTAGCTCGCCGGGTACTGCGTCACAGGTAGTCTCCCCGCGGGCGCCGCCTTGCCCGTGACGACGTCCAGGATCGCGACGCCGCCGTCCTGGCCCGGGTACCCGCCCCACAGCAGGGCGCCGACGCCCGGGTTGGCCGCGACGGGGGAGCTGTCGAGCTGCCCGCCGCCCAGCTCGACGACGACCATCGGCTTCCCCAGCAGGGCCAGCTCGCCGATCACGTCGAGCTGCGAGCCCGCCCATGCGATGCTCACCCTGTCCATCCCTTCTGCCTCGGTGTCCTCGTCGATGCCCCCGAAGTACAGGATGACGTCCGCGGCGTCCGCTGCCTCCCAGATGGAGTCCCAGCTGTTGGTGGTTGGGTCCTGGTACCCCGGGCCGGCTGAGTAGAAGACCGAGTCGTTGCCCAGGAGCTGCTGTGCGGCGTACAACGGTGAGCGCAGGTGGGGCGCCACGCCGTGGTAATTTCCTTGAAGTTGTGCCGTCGCGGCGGCCCAGTCTCCGACGACGGCGACCTTCTTTCCCTCCAGGCTGAGGGGCAGTGTGTTGTTGTTCTTGAGCAACACCGTCCCCTCGACTGCTGCCGTGTAGGCGAGTTGTTGGGCCTCGGGGGTGCCGACGTCCTCCCAGCCCAGCGAGCGGTAGGGCTGCGAATCGGCGGGGTCGAAATACCCAAGCTTGACCAGGCTGCCGTAGAGACGAGTCACTGCGGTGTCCAGGTCTGTGTCGTTGATGAGACCTTGATCATATGCACCCTGGAGGTGGTGGCTGTAATACGTCCCGCAGTTCAGGTCCGTCCCGGCCTTGAGAGAGTCTGCCGCGGCCGCCTCGCGGGTGGTCGACCAGCGGTGCGGGAGGAAGACGTTCTGGATGGCGTCGCAGTCCGACGTGACCCAGAAGCCGTCGTCGTTCCCGCCGGTCCAGTTCCAGTGGTCGCGGAGCACGTCGTTGAGCAGCCAGTCGTCCGCACACGTCGGCACCCCGTTGACGGCGTTGTAGCTGCACATGAAGGCGCCGACCTTTGCGTCGCGGGCACACGCCTGGAAGGGCGGCAGGTAGTACTCGACCATGTCCTGCGTCGAGATGGACGCGTCGAACTGGTACCTGTAGTTGCCGTTCCAGCTCTCGACGTCGTACCCTGCAAAGTGCTTGCACGTCGACACCACCTTCTTGTACTTGCCGTCCTTGTTGCTCGCAGGGTCTCCGGTGCCCTCCAACCCGGCGATGAGGGCCTTCACGTAGCTGCTCAGGTGGTAAGGGTCCTCGCCGGGCGTCTCCTGCCCCCTGCCCCATCTCGGGTCGCGAAACGGGTTGATGTTGGGCGTCCAAAAGTCGAGACCCGCGCGTCCGGCGTTGCTGAACGCCCTGGCCTCGGTGGAGACGACGGTCGCGACCGCGTGCACGAGGGCATCATCGAAGGCTGCCCCGAGGGTTATGGGCTGCGGAAACGAGGTGGCGTACCCAAAGTCGCCTCCGTTCTCCGTGTTGAAGCTTACGCCGGGGGAGTTGGCGACACCGTGCAGCGCTTCGGACCACCATTCGTATGGGGGGAGGCCAAGCCGAGGTACACCCGGGGATGCACTGATGGTGGCGTTGATCTTCTCTGCGGTGCTAAGGATCGCAACGAGTGCCCTGGCACGGCTCACGACGTCTTGAATCGGCATGTCAGCTCGGGCCATATATCGAAAGGGGTCGTCCGAGGATCAAGCAGCTCACCTAAGGACGTGTCACACACGGAGTTGTTCCCCAATGGACCCGAGCTGCTGCAGTCTGGGAAGTTTGACTGTGCGAGCGTCGTGCCGCTGAGGGCAGCGAGACCGCCGAGGAGGAGGGTTGACTTCGCCATTGTGAGAGTGGGAGTCGCGGAACGAGCCTCTACCGGGGCCGACAACATCAACGGGTGGTGACGGCGTTACTCGACTCTCATATACTGCTCATAAATGACCTGTAAGGCATAGTCATTATCCGCGGGTATCTACCGGACCATGGCTCTTCACCAATATCATACGCGAATACCCCAGATTCCCCGCGGGTATAGTGGAGGCGTTATTTGGGGAAGAGTCGTCGTCGTCGTCGTGTGGGGAAAGCTCGAGCAATTTCCCCTCGCCGTCTGGGCGTGGCATCGCACCCGACGTTGCCTTTCCCATCGGAAGCGACCCTCATGGGTTCACGCGATCGTTAAAGTCTCAGCCGGATCGATTCCAAGCAGGGGCCTTATTCCAGATCCAGCCTCACCGACCCGACATTAACCCGAGCGCCCTGGAGACAGCGAGTCAAGGCCGTAGGCGACGATGGGGCAGATCGCCGTTTAACCGCTGCCGCCGTTTTACCCGCTGCAGGAGGGCACGGCCCTAGGCGGGTCGACCCATGATGACATACTGCAGTTATACAGTAGTCTACCGCTTAACAAGGTTCCTTACATTCGCGTCCAGCCCCAGTGCCGACGACAGACAGAAGGTGGAGAGGCGCATGCGACATATTTCAGGGCCTCGGTGACGGTAAGTGAATACAGCGCGAGAATTTCAACTTGGAGAACACTAGTACAGTTATACACAGTTTCTATGGCTTTTGAATGATCCGCTTGAAATGGACGAGGCATATCCTTCATTACGGCGGTCATTCGTTCCAACGATGCTTGTATGAATTGCCAGACCTAGACAGTTGACCACGGCCTCGCAGTCTCAATTCCTCGGTTGATGAGGTTGAGTTTATAGATTGCCGTTTATTTTGAAATTGATTTGAATTTGGAGGTTCCTATTTCTTGCATTCATATCTGAATCAGCTGGACATTTGGCGGTGGAATTGGCGTAAGTACCGATTTGAACAGCGACACGGGTTCACACAAATAGATCGTATCCCATGGTATCAGGAAGTGGAATTTTGGCGTCGTATATAGTTGTAGATGCATTACTACTCCCCATTGACAGGTCGTTGTTGCGCCGGTCGATTTCGTTGCGCAAAAGGATCATTATCCGGTCTTTGAGGAAGCTGGCCATATCAATCGAACACCCTTCCAAGGCATACAGCAGATAACTTCGGGGAAAACAGTGTTCAGGAAACCCTAAGTTTCAAAGGAACCAGAGATTCGCACCTGCAAAAAGGGAGGATACACCGGTACGTCGCCAGCACTCAACCACGTCAGAATTCACATGTCCAACACCCTCACCAACACCCATAACACAGTTCACCCATCTAAGTGTGTAGGTGTTAGGTGTATGGGTGCTAGGTGTTCGGGTGTTAGGTGTGTGGGTATTGGTTGTGTGGGTTTATTGGGTGTGGGTGTGTGTGAATTATGCCTGAGTTATAGCGTGAGTGATGTATCGGTGCACCCTCCGTTTTTGCAGGTGCGAATCTCCGTGTTCCTTTCACATGCCCAATTGACCTGCCAGCTGACCGCGTGATGCTGCTATTGTGCACTAGAGAGCCCTAATGAGCGATGATTGTTAGTTTCTACGCACGCGTTCTGGAATACGTGGAATTAGTTGCGTTGCTAAAGATACTCGGCATCAAAAGGTCATAGTCTAATTCAACCCTAAAAGCGCCGATATGTGTTTGGCCCCAACAAAATATTCCCGCCAGTTCGTAGTGCAGCCACTAAGGTTTGTTATGAATATTAAAATCGATCTGGTTGTTAAAGTCCTATGAGCACTCTCCATATCTTTATAAATCTTCTCCGCCGACCGAAACCACTGATCATTAATACGTGGCATCTATAGTCACAACCAAACTATCCATTGCGCCTCTACGGCCTGCATTTAATAACCATGCCCGATAAACATTAAGCCCTTTTTCAACGTCTCCCATGGCTTCACACGATCCACGCGCACCACTGGAGGCACTACCTACCGAGATTCTTCAGATGATTCTGTCTCAGATGACCTGCACTGAAGACCTCTTCGCGGCCATTAATGCCAGTCCAACGATTTTCCAGTACTTCTTGGGCTGGCGTGAGGAGATCCTGATCAGAGTCATCCAAAACAGCCTTGACCCAGGAATCTTCATGGAAGTTCTTGGTTTGTTGGACGTTCCGAATTTCGGCAACCTCCATCACGTGCCTGGGCCTGATATAGCTCGTCTTTTAGGCTCAGATATTGAAAGCCCCGTCTTCTGGTCCTTGATTCAAGCTTGTGAGAGACACAGACTCATCGAAGAGTTTCAGGAAGGACACTTCAAGCGCCTCAGAGAGGGACTCGAGTGGGGCGCACCTCATCCGTTTCCAATCCCGAGAACTAGGCGAGCAGTGAACGCCGTCTTCGGAATCTCCTGCAGGCTCAAGAGGCATATGGAACAGTTATCCACCTCGTCATATTTTCCCCCTGGCGATGTATCGGTCCCTGGCACTCAGGTCGTGCATTCGTCAGAGACTGCACTGCAGCTCGCGCTGTACTCGCGCCATTCCCAACACAGGCCAGGCTGTGTTCCCGGTTGCCGTTGCGCATCGATGGATGATTCCAGTCGGCAATCAGTGTGTCTTGCGGCGCAGATGAGTCCCTTGGCCGGCCAACGAAATTTCCTGCGGACCCTCCTCTGGGACAAACTGATGGGGCATGAGCAATGAGCTGGCGTGTTTACGTATACCTACCCATTCTCCCGTTTTGGCCGTCTCTGGTGAGGGTATACTCTCGCGCCGTGTCTTGGGCGCAATGGCCGGCAAGGAGGATATTGCGAAATTCTGACCTACGAAACTCGTCGCAGTTTTGGTCTTCACAAGGAGAGGGGGGTGGTGGCCGATCAACACATCAAGTCAATCTCATGGAACTAGTCAGCGCCGAAGGACCACTGCCGCCGTTCTGAGCATGCATCGATCCGGCCATCGGAGGGAAAATGAAGACACGATCCTCGGCTTCACGGAAAATCATGTTAGCCAGCACAGGTCTTCTTCTGGATCTCAATGGACCGCAGGCTCATTGACGCCATCAGCTTGTAAGCAAGACAAATTCTTCTCTGCGGCATTCGTGGCCGTCTGTTGGCTGCTACACACATAGCATCGAGGGTTGGCCGCTCCGCCCGAGGTCAAAGAAGTGCCTCTTTATTCAGCGGGGATGGAATATCGCCTGCGTGTTTGGGAGAGGACCATGTGTGTTTGCAGACACTTGGCTCTGCCAGAGGTTGAGCACAAAAAGAACATGAGAGTAATTTGGGTTGGACGGCTGCTACAAGCCGCCAACCACGACAGTCCTTTACAGCGGTACATCGCCACCTCTAAACCACGAAAGAGTTCGCACATCCAACACCCACACCCAACTGACCCGTACTCAACACATACACCTATGATATTGAACTGCCGTGAGAGTACATTGCAAATTATTCCCTATTGGCGACTCACCTACAGGTAGAACACACATACAGACTGGGAAACGTTAGGGCCCAAGCATCTAATGACAGAGATAGACACGATCTTGGATTGTATTTTCAGGCACTGCCCTAAATCTCACGTCGTAGATACCACGCTAGACTCACAGCCCGTGCATTGCGTTGACAAGTGTGCTGTAAATGAGCGCCATGCCTCCAAAGTTCAAGTCCCGGGGTCATCCATGGCCGATAGACATGCCCCTGAGCGCTCGCCTTGACCTCGGCAACCCCCCTTACCGACCTCACCACAGGGATCGCCTTTAACTGCTGCAATCTTTCCGAAGTCTCAAAGATGGTTCATCGTATGGATTTCAAAGTCGACGGCGGCTGCCGCGGAAACGGCCGGCCCGAGGCGATCGGGGCCGCGGCCTGCTGTCTCGAAGTCGACTGTGGAAAGCGATGCAGGTCTCAAGACCTGCCGGCTGGACGACGGCTACACAGCCCCGACCATCCAGCGGGGCCGAGATCACCGCCACCACCCTGGCCCTGGAGTGGGCCCTCGGGCGACACGACCAGCTGGAGGGATACCCCAGGCTTGAGGTCAACATCAGGTCGGACTCGCGGTACGCCGTCGGCTGCATGACGAACTGGATCTACACGTGGGTCCGGAACGGGTGGAAGCGTCGTGAACCGGGATCTTATCGAGAGGGCTTCCGAGCTTGATGCCCGTCTTAGTGAGCTAGGCTCGGTCGATGCGCTTTGTCACGAGGAATTGGACGAGCAGGAGGAAAGTTCGCGATCTTTTTCAGTATGGTGATGGAAACTTGCGTGAGTTCCGCCCATGATGTGAGCTTTGCTTGTCGAGGGATAGTGTGATCTTTATGGATGATCAGGATAACTATAGTGCAATAGGGATGGTCAGGCTGACTATTGTGCAATACGAAAGCAAGCCAGAGTGCTGAATTTGAAGATATAGTCTTAGTGAAAACCTGAGATTTTTATTACAAGACAATTGACAGTTGCACGGTAGTAATCGGTACAGTGCGCTTGAAGTTGATCAGTAGTACGTGATATAATTATTTCTTTCTCATTGCTGGTATCTTGCAAGATGCTATGAATATTAAGTTGAATTAGGACCTCCGCTGCGTTGACGGCCGGCCTATGGCCTCAACCTCACTCCTTCTCCTAGCTTATCCTCCTCCTGGTCTCCTGCTTGACACCGACAAGGAGGTACGACCTGGCGGTCAAAACATCTGCCATCCAAGGAGATGGTCTTCCCGCCTCGGTCTGGGAACTTAAGCACAGATGGTAGCGTCCAGGTTGACAGGCTGTGGGCAGCCGTACACTTTCTTCATGGCGGGCGTGCTGTAGCAGCCGGCCTGGCCGGCGGCGCAGTTGAAGAGCTCGCAGCCGTCGCCGGGGGTCAGGATGTTGCGCTGGTCGGCGAAGGGGTTGCCCCACTCTGTGCTCAGCTCGTCTGGACAGGAATGTTAGCTTGGGTAGCGACAGAACAGGGAGGTTATGATGACATACAGTAGGCGTAGTCTGGGTTGGTCGAGAACGAGTAGCCGAAGAACAGGGGGCTGGTCAGGGTCTTGGTCTTGGCGACCTTGACGGTCTACACATTCTGGATTAGCTTTTTGCTTTTCGCAACATCATGGGATTTGAGGGAAAGGGACTAACCGAGCCGGACTTGCGGAAGTCCTCCGAGAAGGACTGGCCGGGTTGGACGGTGGTGAGAGGGCCGGTCGCGCTGCCGTCGTAGGGGAACGACTGGACGTAGATGGGAGCGGCACAGTTGTTCTTGACAACAGCTTGCTGAGCAGAGACGCTGGTGGCGACGAGGGCAGCGCCCATGATGGTAGCGAAGAACTTCATTTTTGCGGTGCGGTTTTGGTCGGGGCTTGTCGGGTGTCTGGATACTTGGAGAGGAAGTTGAGCGAGCGTGTGTGTGGTCCAAACAAACATGGTCACGGAGAACATGAACTGGCTGCTCGGCTTATATAGTTGACATATGACCTCTATTAAGCGGAGCGGAACAGCCGATTCCTGGAATGGACGTCATCTTGGCGGGAGGAGTCAAGAATGCGCCTCATCGTCACTTGCGCGTGTCTTCTGGGGCGATCTTCGTATAGAATCCAACGTAAGGTTCCAAATGTCGTGTCCCGAGGTCACGCCCACGGTCGCCGGCCATGCCCGTTCGAGGTGTGGGGACGGTAGTGATGCAACATGATTGTTTGCTACCGTACCCCAAATACGAGGGCGTGCTTCCTTTTACCCTCCTGGCCTTCCTCGTATCACTTCTGATGTAAGGGCGGGGTGCTGGGGTGCTTGTCTTGGACCCAATCAAGGCCGCATTAGCTTCCAGAAGACATGTAAATCCCCGCAAAAGGATGCCACCGGTGGCGCAGGAACGGCACGGAGTTCTCGGGAGTCGGGACGCACAACTGCTAACTTCAACGTTTCTTAAGTGGTACGGTGGGCCCTGCCAAGCCTTAACCTTACAGGCTAACTCCTAAAGAGTAAGCGCTGATGGTGCTTGGTTCCTTTTAGAGTTGAGTTGTTCTGGAACTTACGGAAATGTTAGCTCTATTTTTAAGAGAACTGAATGGGAACGGTGAAGGACTTTGCTCACTTTCCCTCTTGTGTTGGAAAGAAGAGCTTAGTTACTCGGCTTTCATGATGCTCATGGGTGGCGCAAAGGGCCCAGCTGCATGAACGCTTGGAGAAATGCAAGACAAACACATTGCTTGTTGTCCCCTTCCAGGTCCCCCCTGCAGCTGCAGGCAGGCAACGATTGGAGCATGATGATGGTAATCTGCCAAAGTACCTGAAAAAAGTAAAACAGGAGGGAACTTTGGACAGAAGCATCATTTTGATTGTCTCTGCCCGAGGCAAGGACGTGGAAACGTGCGCCGGAGTTTACACGGTATAACCAAAAGACTATGCAGTGGACTTGGTGAATTGAAAATGCAAGTGTCTAATGACAGCGCGATCCGATATACCCGATCAGGACTATGGCTGACATCGATGATGGTGGATACATCACAATGCCTCGAGGTTGAACGGACCATGCTGATCCACCGCCTCCCACACACCGCTCAGCGAACTAGCCTCGCGCTTGATGAACTGTCCGTATCCCTTGTTCCCCAATATGCCACCGTGGTCCCGGTCCCAGACAACTTCACCGCGCAGGATCGTGTATCTCGGCCAGTTGGCAACTACTCTCCCCTCATATGGGGAGTAGTCCACATCGTGGTGTAACATTTCGTTCTTCAGCGTGATGTTGGGTCGCTTTGCATCCGGATACCATATCACCAGATCCGCATCCGACACACCAGGGATGATCGAGCCCTTCTGCGGGTACAGCCCGTACATCTTGGCCGCATTGGTAGACGTGACCTCCACGAACTTTGTCAACTCAATCCTGTTGGCAGAAAACGCCAGCGGCATTCTCGTCTCGATCCCAGGAAGGCCGTTGGGGATGTACTTGAACCTCCCCACGGGGTGCTCATCCGTCACGCACGTCTTCTTCCCCGTCTGCGCGTCATCATACCGGAAGGGACAGTGGTCAGAGCTGAGGATGGAGAAGGTGCCGTTGCGCAGGCCCGTCCAGATCGCGTTCTGGTCCTCGGCACTGCGCGGGGGAGGCGAGCAGACGCACTTTGCGCCTTCGAAGCCGGGCTTGGCCAGGTCGTCGCGCGTGAGAAAGAGGTACTGCGGGCACGTCTCCGCGAAGACGGGCTGGCCGTGGGTCTGAGCCTCGCGGATCCGGAGCGCTGCCGCTGGGTCGCTGACGTGAACGAGCAGGATCGGGGTCTGGGCGATGAGGCCCGCCAGCGCGATGGCGCGGTTGGTGGCTTCCGACTCTAGGATCGGCGGGCGAGAGTTGGAGTGGTACCTCGGTGCGAACAGCTTCGCGGCCTCCAGTTTGTCCGTGAGCCAGTCTAGGACGTCCCCATTTTCCGCGTGGATCATGGTGAGGATCTTGTTTTCCCTCGCTGCCAGTAGCACGGACAAGATCTCCCCATCTCGGAGCTGAAGAGCCTGGTATGTCATATAGATCTTGACCGAGGTGACTCCATGTTGTCGCAACAGCTTCATCTCCTCTAGAGCCTTGGGGCCTGCATTTCCCATCAAAAGGTGGAAGCCGTAGTCGCAGTAGCAATTTCCTGTGGCCAGGCCGTGCGTGGCGTTTATAGCCTCCAACGGCGACTCAGCTTCCTTCTGTAGAGGAGCGAACGAAACGAGGGTGGTGCACCCTCCGGCAATGGCTGACCGCGATCCAGACTCGTAGGAGTCCGCTGAGCTGCCCTTCCCGAACATGCTCGGCTCTTGGAGATGGACGTGGCAGTCGACGCTCCCGGGCTATGAGATATAGTCAGCTAGGTTTCTCTATGACCTGGAGAGAGACGAGAGAGAGTGCAGGCCAGCTGACCATGACATATCCACCCTCGGCATCGATGAGCTTCGACGCATTGGCTTTAGCGAGCGAGCCTGAAGGGGCAAGGAGGACAGTCTTTCCGCCTTTGATTCCAATATCCAATGGCGCTACATCGGCGGCAGTGACGCATACACCGTTCGTAATAACGAGGTCAAATTCTTGAGGAAGAGACATGGTGTCGGACAGGGCTTTTGCCAGGGTGCACGGCGGCCACCACTGGCAGAGTCCAAGGCTGGGGTCGCCTGCTCAACTAACACAGCCCAGTGAGCCAATAGCAGCTACTAGAGGAAAACGCACAAACCTCAAATCCGCGGCCTAGCTAGCAAAGCTTCGATGTAGACGCACAGAGGGGTTGAAGCCAGCATGAATCAGCGCCCGGGAAGTAACCATCGTCATCGACGTCGTTCCCGCAGCTACTAGTGCCGCAGCCAATCACATCGAAGAGGCAAGCTTATCTGCTCGAGAAGGAAGAGAGGGCGATAGCCGTGGGATTCTCCCGTGCAGATACGACCACTGGTTTGAGACAGTCTAGGTTGAGGTTTACCATAACGTGAACAAATTTCGATAGCCGGAAAAATCCCTGCGGAGCCCTGAGAACTCACTCAGCTAACCCCACCCTCTTGAATGGTCTTCTTCTCACAAGCCGCATTTTACAGGCCGTACATTGAATGTGTTTCAATAGTGGTGTGTTCAAAGCCGTGGAAAAATACTGTCAGTTCTGAGAAATTCTCGAGGTATAATGATAGCCTTTTGGCCTTCGTGTCAGTCCTTTCCCAGTGTCCTGTTCCTTCCTTCAAAGTTGACCCGACGGATCCGTGGGTGCTCAACATGGTCGACGATCCATTTGCAACTAAACGCCTAATAACGTTGAGCTCCTCGGTGTCCCCCCCCCCCCTCAAGACTCTATGATGAAAATTGTTTATGAATGGCCTCAGATTCAGTGGCAGAGACACCGGGCGGGGGCGAGGTGCTTTGTGTAGCCAGGCTATACCAAAGTACAGGTCAAGATAAGTGTGCACGCAGCCCGGCAGCTGTCTTACTTCCAGTTGAGAAGAACAGCTACAGTAATGAAGGCAACCAGAAAAAAAAATATGGCAGGTTAAGCGAAAGTTGTTGACTCCAGTGAAGGATGTTGGCTTAAATGAGGGCTGTTGGTCGTTAATTCGTCATTTTTCGTGGTTATCATTGGGCAATAAGCTGCAAATGAGTCTATAGATTGGGGCGGAAGGATTTGCTGATTTACTTCACGCCATGCTTAAAGCAGCTTACCGCTGACTGCTTGTCACGGAGTATAACTATGATCCCATTGAAGCTTTTCAACGTCAATCGAAATGGGCAACGCGGAAAAGCTGCTACAGAACTCAATTTGATATATTTCGCGGCAGGAGACTGGCTCTCCCAATTTTGATCAAGTCCAAGACACTTGTATCTCCTCGTCATGATGAATTTCTCTGCTTTCGCCCCCCTCTCATTCCTTCTGGGCCAGTTCTCCGCCGTCACCCCCGCCGGACAGATGCCCATCTTGAACACCGATGGCTTCTCGAGCTGGATCATCGGAAACTCCACTGGGGGCGATTCAACTTGCGTCTCTGGTAACATCTTGGTGCCCATCAACGCGACCGGTACCAACATCCTCTACACGGCGCCTCAGAACCAGGCGCGCGTGACAGAGTCATTCGTCGAGTTGAACCAGGTTGACTCGACCTTCGCCATGGACGCAGTTTCTGGCGGCCCCAGTGTCATATCAGGCTCCTACAGCATCTTCTGCAAGCTCTGCCTGCCTAGCGATCCCGCAAAGGCGGGCAGGGTGAAGACGGTTCAGCTGTTGACGCACGGCGCGACTCTGGACCACACCTACTGGGACATTGCGCCGGGCTATAGCTACGTCGACGTCGCGGCGGCAGCAGGTTACGCGACGCTTTCCTACGACCAGCTGGGCGTGGGGAACTCGGACCATCCGGACCCCATCCAGGTCGTGCAGGCAGCATCGCAGGTGGCCGTGACGCATAGGCTGGTCGAGCTGCTTCGTGGCGCGAAACTGGGCGGGTTCGACTTCGACAGGGTCGTTGGTGTCGGACACAGTGCAGGGAGCACACTGACCCAGGCCATCACCACGAGATACCCCCAGGATTTCGATGCCGTGATCCTCTCCGGGACCAGCACCAGCGCGGCATCCGTTGCACTCTCCATGGCGGCCTTCAATTTCATCAACGCAAACACGGATCCGTCCCCCAAACTCAGGAACCTGCCCGCCGGATACCTGACGCAGCAGTCGGCAGTCGGCATACAGTTCGCCTTCTACCGGTACCCCAACTTTGACCAGAACGCGTTTGAGAGGCAGGTCGCGGACAAGCAGACGAACACGCTGGGCATCCTGCTCACGCTGGGCGGCACCATCGCCCCGTCGGCGCAGTTCGCCGGGCCGGTCGACGTTGTCAATGGGGAGAACGATCTTGTCTTCTGTGGTGGAAACTGTCTCTACCCCACGGATCAAAACGCGGCCGTTCTGGCCGTTTTCTACCCGGCGGCGTCAAGTGGATGCCGGACGTACATTGCCGCGGGTGCCGGGCATTCTATCGCGGCCCACAAGAGCGGACCGGACAGCTTTGCGCACATGGTTGGCTTCTTGCAAGCAAATGGTCTGTGATCGGCAAGAATGGTGATGATTTGCTGGAAGGCGGTGATTACTATTTCGTGGCCTTGTTTGCCACGACGTGAGAAGGCTGCTTAGAGTCTTGTGCTCGCTCCACGATGCTTGGCAGGAAACCTCATAATAGCTCGCTGCGTAGAATATTCTTTTGCTTCCTACCCCATGGACTACTCTGCGCTGCCACATCCATGGCCACGGCTGAAGATTCGTTCGACTCTCACGTCTAGCAAAATCTTGTCGAACATGGTACAGGCGGAAAGCCTGAGTCCAGCAGGCCGGCGAGCCCCAGACCATGCTTCTTGAATGCTCAAGTCTTTCCCAGCGCCACTTGCCAACTCCACTGAGTGAATTCTGGTATGATTTCGAGGCTAAAAAAGGGAAGACCACGTCTCACATGCAGGTTCTCTTGACCTCTTGACTGCCTAGGACACTCAGGACCTCCTTGACGCTTTCGCGGCTCAAGCGAGCATTTTGCCACCTGCTCGTGGTCGAATATAGGGACTCGTCATATGCCTACAGCCTATCACAAGCTGAGAGAGTAATTGATGAAGGTATTATTACTCACTGTTTGAGGCGTACAAACAGATTGTACAATTTCGGATAGAAGGCTAATTCAACCAAATGCCGTTGCCTAATAGAGCATCCTGCCTGACATAGTAACCTCCTCCACTTGAAGGATTTATTTCCAGTAGATATCCTTAATAGGATCACCAGATCGTCTTAGATATTGAGATCAGTCTAGACAAAAGCATAATTGCAGATATTGTGTCCCTTGATTTCCCATGCCCGCTAGTGGAGGATGCCGTTGCGGAAAGCTCGCTGGAGTATTTTCACTCTGCACTTAGACCTAGCCATTTTCCAGCCTATGGTAACCTGCTAATAGACCTTTGAAATTGGACTAATGAACGCATTGGGGCACAGTGGCCGGATTCGCACCAGGTAGCAATCACGCGACGGCGTAGTTTTCGGAGCGTAGCGAAGGGAATTCTTGTTGACGCGATCAATCGACATGGGACAGGGGTGGGAGGATGTTGGCATGTGATATAATCGCGAATCACCGTTCACTTGTGGTCTTGGTCAAGAAGCCGGCGGGGGCCAAGGACCACTCGAGATTCAGCCACGAGTCGGCAGATCACCCTCCCAAGAGGCACTGGGGACGCCTCTCACGGGCTGTACCGAATCCCCGAGAGTGGCCCTGACCTCTCACAGCCAAGCTTGTCGTTCACAAACGGCTGGAGAAAAAGGCCCGAATTTGTGGACCTGCCACCGGGAGCAGGCCGTGGGGTTGCCTCAAGGAAGGGAAGATTCGTTTGTCGAAAGTCTTTTCTCGAAGGAAAAGAAAGGCCGCGAACCGACGATGCATCATATAAACCTACGATTATAGGATCTATAGCAGGGGAGTTGATCACCGAGCGGTGTCAACTGTATGAACGAGACGCGCTCACATTCCTCCATAGCAAAAGTTTGGCCGCCGCAGACAAGTCGCCGGGGTCTTCCGCGCTGTCCGGATTGCAGTGCCTGACCGAAGGCCCGCCCTGTCGCCCTGGCCTAATGGCCTCTTGCCCACACCATGCTGTTCTGTATTGCAACCGTGACATTGTTGCACAGTCAGTAGCCAAGCCACGTGGGCAACAGCCGAGCGGCTCTTTTGGCCCAACCCACAGCAACATTCAGGGGTATTTGCTGAAAACCACCGGCTGCCATGAACGGCAATCTCCCTGGTTAATGGCGAGCATGATTCTGTAGATGAAAGGCTGTGCAATGGCTGAGCGACTCGGCCGAGAAAGGCAGATACTGTACACTAGATCCAGGAGGCTCAGAAATGCCGTGGTCTTGCTGCCTGCCAAGCGAATCTCCTGACCAGCATAAGGCAGGTCCGAGCTCTGGGCACGCCACGAGAGGTCACCCCTGCATGGCTGGACGAAGGCCCAGGCAAAGATGTGCGCCCGCCTCGTAGTCGAGGGCTGCTACGCAGTAGATTGGCGCGGGAACACTTGGCACCTTCGCCCGACGCCCTCAGCACCGCCAGCGCATACATGGTGGAACTCGCCAGGAAGAACAATTTGGCGGCAGACTCCTTGCTGGGTAGCCTAGTCTACCCGCCCGCAGGCGGCTGCATGTGCCGAATACGATCATACTTGACAAGCTCGCTCCCTCTGCCGGCACCAAGGTCAAATGGGGTCGCCAGGACGCTGTTCACCCGATCGCAGGAAGGGGCGATCCGACGACACCGAGTGCCGCACCCCGTGCTAGACTACAGGGGTCGCCCCTATGCCGGCCTGATCCTTGACGCGTCGGCGCTGAAACGTGCTGGCGCCCGACGGCTCTGGGGGCGAGAGAGTTCAACTTGCTCACTTTATCTGCGGTGTGAATGACGACAATACCCCTAGCCTCTCGAGCGCAAGGGATTCCATGGCCCTCCTCCCAATTGTCGGCTTTTTTTCCAGGCTGTTCCTCGGCGTTCTTGCTATCGCTTTGGCCTGGAACGTTCGGGAGTACCGGCGGCCGATCAGAGGCAACTCGGTGGCAGCTCTCGGAGCCGAGGTCAGAACGTGGGATTCTCAGTTGCTACCCAAGGGGGTGGTGGTTCCATGCCTTGTGCCTTCGTTGGCATTTCGAACTCCGGATCATGTCAGCCTCGTCCAACTGGAGACCCCTTGCAAGGCACGGCACGGGTAACAGTGGGCACCGGGGTGTTGTGGAATTGTGGAGACAGTTCTCGTTGACACGTTCCACTTGTACTGACATCGCGCGAATGTTGCCAGGTACTGACAACGGTGCGATCTCTACAGCTTTTGAAGCGCGCTATTAGTGGGTTTGATTCAGGATAGTGAAACCTTGGATTGATACGATCTAGTAGCAGAATGAGCATTTATGAATTGCTGTCGTCTCAGCTGTGCCACTTGCATAGATTCAATCATCATGACATTCTTCCTGGCTGACTGATTGGCCCCGCAAACAAACTGCCCTTCTTCAATGACAGATGATCTCAATCCCGGATGACGCCGCGGAAATACAAGGCTGGCTGGCAAGCGCTTCGTCCAGTGTACCTAAATCCGTGTCTGCGGAAGGGGCCGCTGATCACCGGAGAGATTTTGGGTCCGTCCCTGGACACTCCCGATCTTCACGAAACCTGAACGATTGGACCAGAACGTCTTTCTATACGAACTTGAGCATACAGTTCGCCTAGGCTCGATTATGTGCGTGCTGGAGGCTGGGGAATGCCGTCCGCGGGTAATCCTCGATTGTGCCACGGGTAATCTCCAACCTTCTTTGTTGATGATGGTGGTGTGTGTGTGTGTGTGTGCGCGTGTGTGTGTGTGTTGTCTCGCTCAGGCCCGCGCAGGTCGGAGTTTGACTTTTTGGCTTCCTCAACCATCACACATTACGTGCATGGGACCCAAGAAAGATTAGGACGAACGCTGGGAGCCACCGAGTTAAGATTTGCCATGGCCCCCCACCGTTCCGGGCTCCGCCCACAAGCGCACCGTGGTTCGTACTGGGTGTGGTCTGCCCACCTACCTGCCTGGGCATAGTGATTGGAACGAGCGGTGCAGATTTGTTTGGAACCTTGTTGCTGGCGTGAGGCCTCTTGCGTAAAGGCCAATGCAAAATTGTTACATGAGGGCAAGCCACTCGGTCGAACGGCCGGTGTCCAGTCAGATCTTGAACCAAGGGCGTTGTTCGGTCTCGCTTTCCGCTGTGGTCAAAAGAAGTGGTGATTTCTCAGTGAACCTTACGTTGTAGACTGAATGACAATCATTCTGGGCCGCCTTGTCGTGTAGATGAACAACATGCGGGAGCCCCGGGGGCTCCGAAGTCATCAGGCTTCAACGCGTCCAGTCATTGGCCAGCATGCGAATATCTAGTCTAGACCGTTGCATATTTGTCTTGGTATCGTCGGTAGGCGCGGAGTAAAGCCCAGGAGAGCCAGCAGCGGCTTCAAGTCCTCGGCCGAAGGTTAGTGAAACGCCGACGGTGACCACCATCGCGTGCGCTAATCTGTCATGAGAGCAAGCTTGGCTTGGCACAGAAAGGGAGGCGATCTGCGCTGGAAAATCAGATAACGCCCACCGGATAAATTCTCCGAATTCGATTGGCCCACTGAAAGACGGGTGTCACAGTGCCCGTTGGGAACAGACGCCCGTGACGAGCGTGTGGATCCAGCATCATCCCGGTTATTCCGGATGGCCGGCCGTATTGATGTAATGCTTCCTACGCTGGGCCACAAACATTCACTCGTACACATTACACTGATGGCTCTGGTTTTGTTGCTCTTCCTCTGTCATGGAACATCCGTGGCATGGTAGTAGCCATGCAGGTGCTGGTAGTTGTTCACGGCAAAAGAAGCATTCAAAGGAGTGCACACAGACAGAACTGTCCATTGCTAGATGCAGGTCATAAAGTTTCTTCATCTACCGTCGGTACAGGATGCAAGGGGTGGGCTTGTAGGTTCTTGGCTCTCACCTCGTATGTTTCATTGCCTCGGAGCAGGGGCTCTGGCAACAAACTTTACCACGCAATGTCCCTGAAGTAGCGGGAGGATGGCACGGATTAATGGTAAACCTTAATGAAGACGGTCAAAATGAGCCCGCTGCCCACCCGTCCCGTTCATGAGTGGGGTCTCATGAGGATGGCTTCTCCCTCATCTCACCTGGCCGACTCGCATTCAATTCAACGCTGAATGTCCCAAGATAGTCGACATGGCGGCGCAAGCCACTGGGGTCTTTGACCCAAACGAGTACTATCGACTGACGAACCTCGCGCTGGGCGGCGAGTTTTCTCTCGATGTCGACGCTTCCAAGGAGATTCCCGATGGCAAGCTGGTCATGGCACCGTCAGGACTGTACACGGGACAGATCTATCAGATTCTGGAGAACTCAGATGATCCGGGGCACTACTGGTTCGCGAGCTCCTGGCTGGGGGCGAAAAAGAAGATGGACGCTGTCATCAACGACAGAGGGGACTACGCACCATTCCTGAGGAATTTCACAACGGATTACAACCAGACGTGGGGTCTCACACAACACGTTGATGTGGCAAACAACCGCACGACATGGACGATTATGCCGAACTGGTTCGGCGGCGTGGGATCAAGCATGGCCATGAGTGTTTACAACGACACCAAGCAGCCCTACCTGGCCACACCCGGACCGAACCCGGATCTTGGGAATGGCGACGTCAACCAGGCATGGTTCATCACGAGAGAAGAGTTGACTATTGATGACCCTACGTTTTCGGCAACAAACCTGCCAGCTCTGGCTACCGCTGTACGTGTCTCTGATCCCACACGGACTGGTTCACTTACTGACAGGAAATCCTGGATAGGCACCAATAACACCTGAAGGGGTGACTGCGACTGCTGAGGCAACACCAACGTCTACGGGAGGCTCAAAAGAAGAGTCAAGTGAAACTGATCACCTCGCTGGCCCGCTGATCGCCGCTGCCGTGGTCCCAACTGTAACCGTCTTTCTTGCAGTCATCGCCTTCATCGCTTTCATCTGCCTGCGCCGCCGCAGGGCAAGGAGGATGGCGCGGAACATGCCGTACGGAAGTGGGACAGCCGCAGCATCCAAGGATGGCCTCGCGTCCGAGATCCTCGACACGTTCAGCGTGGAGACACTGGGCCACTGGCGTCGGAGACACTCCCTACGAGAGAAGGGCCACCCGTTCTCTCAGAGCGTGGCAAGCAGTCACCTGAGCGAGCCCCGACTCCCGCGTCTGCCCGAGGACAGCGCCATGTCTATCAATCCGCGTGCGAATCCGTTGAGGCCTCCCCCATTGCGAACGGCATCATCCGGCCGGGGTAATCCTCAGCTTCATGGCAGACCAGCATTCTTTGGGTCTTCAGCTCTAGAACTGTCCGGCACTGATACGACCCTGACCAGCCAAGACTTGTACCATATGCAGATTGAGGAATTGAGCGGACTATCGCCCACTAGAAAGCCACCGTGGATGGAGGAACGCAGTCCAAGTGTCATGGAAGGAAAGGGGATGGAAGTTTTGGACACGACGTCTGGCGACGTGCACAATCATGACCAGAGACACGGACGGAATAACAGGCCACCAAGTCTTTTCGAGTTGGAAAATACCCGGCCGACGAGCAGATATGAGCTGGAATGAATCAGGTATCTGCTATGTGCACAACATGTACATAAAAGTTGTTTCAGCGTTCCATTTTATTTTGTTTATCATCAGCAAATCACCAATACTATGGGGGCGACACGGCACCAGTCCATACAAGAATAGCTTTAAAAATTAAGTGATAATCCCACGATATGGTGTTCTCCTCCAATTATCGGCATGCTGCAGCATCACTTCGATTGCCTGCCAACCTGGCCAGCTTTTAAGGTTATTCTGCGGACATAGATGCGCTGCCCGACTGTGCTTTTGGCAATGCTTTGAGAAAATCAAATTAATGGCTTCGTACGTGTCAACAAGACAGATCAGCTGATCTGCTGCGCTCAGAAGGCCCCAACAGGTAGAAGCGACCGAGGATCTTCCGAATTTCTGGCGAAAACTCAAAAAAGGTGAGTCCAGACCTGGGCCGTCGCAGCAAACTTTGCCAAGTCGACTGTGCAGGATTTTGGCTCAGTGCTCCTGCCCAAGGGACCATGGGACGGGTCTGGGAGTCGGCACGCAGCCGCATCGTTTCAAATCTGCTACTTGTGCGAGTCCGAGGGAAATGACCAGGCGGTCGGGGGGGGGGGATGTCGTGCAGGGCCAGGTATCACGACGGGAGTGACTGGATCTACGCTTCGGCGAAGGTTGCTGTCATGCAGGGGCAAATCTACCAGACGTTCATGACGAAGCAGAGATTTATTCTCCGGAAGTCATTTACTCTCGAAGTTATTGCTAGCAGCGCGCGCGGTTGACAAGCATCCTGCGAGTATCTATCAGCTAGTCTATCTGGCATCACCATACCGCTGGTCGTGGGAAAGACAATGAATTTAGCAAATAACGGCTGCTTACACATCTATGCATATTGGAAACACATTGACTCTCAAACCCTCATGGAACGAGGCATACTACCTATTGCATAACACTTTGCGAGGCATATCATTGGCTCTGCTCCTCCGTCCATCTGATCGGCAACGAAGCCTCCCCGTGGCCAACTCCAGGAGGTTCCCCAGAGTCGCGTGAACCAGCATGCGTGAGTATAGCCTAACGACAAGCATAAACATGATGGTCCGGGTCTTCTTCGGGTGCGGACCCCATGCGGCTAGGGTTGCCCGATGTCCTCTCGCGGGTCGCCCTCCTTCGAGAAGGCTGGTTCTAGACGCCGCGAGACCACTGGCAGGCGCATTTAAGGCATTATTACAGGCGATGCTTCCGGCGACGAAATTGTACCCCAAAGAGATCAATTTTCTGAAGAGAGTGTCATGTATCATTAATAGCCACTGAAACAGAGCCACGTTCTGGAGCAGCATGGGAAATATAGAATCAGGAGTTGGACTTTGGGTCGGACGTGGTTTGGGTTTCCGCGCTGAACTGAGCCTTGCCTCAGCTTCGGTGCACGCGTAAAAGTAAGTTGAATTTACATGGTATGGGGGCTTATATGTCAGATATGCGGTACCCCAGACGATGAAACCGACAAGTTTAGGCGACTTTCAACCGACAGTCTTGTCAAAATGAGTGACCTGGATGAGCTACGAAAATGCCTGAGAGCAGTGAGACACATGAATGCACCTTCAACATTCTTTATTTCGGGCTACGTCGCTGAACCAGGGAAAACAACAACGAATTTATATATTGGTCAGTAAAGTCTAATGAAGACCGAAGTTGTGAACGGAAGAGTCAGCTATGCAGTACGGTGTCGTGAACTTGCATGACCTTGCAAAGAATCCTCTGGACTGCACCCGTAGGAAGACCACAGGAGAAATGTTGTTCCAGCCTGTACGGTCTCAAGGGGAACCTGTTAATTGACACTGAAGCACTCAATTCTCACAGTCATGCAGTATCATAATTACTCGGCTAGTAGCCCTGCTCCTCACACACAACGCATAGTTAGTCACTCATCGTCCAAAACTCCGAGTCGCTCTCTTCCACGTTGGATACGGTCACAAGTGCTTTTACTTCGGCTCGGAATAGGAGGCCACATATCTGAGTCTTTGGAGAATTTTCGGCTTTTTTTCAAGAGATGTCATGCCTTTTGGTGCTCGTATTTGTCTCTAGTGGTGGGTGCTCTATCGGCACTGAATTCATTCTATATAAAGTGTATCATGAGTTTGTTGATATAAGCAACAAGCCAGTTACTAGCATTTGTATTAAATTGTTCAATTATAAACCTAGATTATGGACTGGCATATTGGCTAGTAACAAATAGCCTGGGTGACGAAGATCTGCCGTTTATTATTACTTTGCTGTCTTGACTGACATTGAATAATTACTTGAGTTATTAAGCTCTTCAGATGCCTGAATACACGATCCAATCAAGTCCAGCCCCAACAGTAGTGTATCAATTTCGTCAGTACGTCCCTGTGCTCCCAAGGTCAAGAGCGTTGCCGGCCCGTTTTATGGACATCCATACTTTCAATGGTACTTTTGGTAAGAGGTCCCCAATTGGTCCAGATACACGAAGCTGGGTTGGTCCATGAGTTGTTTACATGACAGGGATGAAATTGATCCTGTAGTTCCATTTGTCAAAAATTAGATAGGGAGAGGAATTGGTCAAATTTCTCGAAAATCGGCATTCTCGTGCCCAAACACAGAATGGTCGCCAAGTTTGAAGCAACCCCGTTGCCGAAGCACGCCATTTGCTGGTCCAATTGGACGCGCAACGCCAGGAACGCTCATCTAAAACGACCATGTCTAGATCGACATGCCATTGCAAGCATCGATTGCGCAAGCTGTCACATCAAATACATTGACATGTCCCGTGAGCTCTTTCCCTTTCTCTTATCCCAAGTACCGTGTCTCCGGTTCACCCACGTGGCATTGACGCATTGTGCAGCCCCTCCCACTCGTCGATCTGCCTGACATTACTGGTCACGTGGCCTACGATTCTTGGTGTTGCTTGTACCGCGAAGATCATGTCAACTTCAGATAAGCAGGCCGCACAAGATGCGGCGCCGGCTGAGGGCACAGGGCTTCGAGGTAGGCAGTCCTAAGCACATCTATCCTCTTCACCTGCTGACTGGCCAGCCAAATGGTATCGCACCCCCTTCTACAATGCTACAATCCTTGGATTCTGCAGTCTGGCCGCCCCCGGCTTGTGGGGGGCTATGAACAGTCTGGGAGCTGGTGGCGGGCAAGCGCCGTACCTGGTCAACACCGCCAACGCGCTTACATTCTGTCTCATGATCGTTTCCTGCTGGCTCACCAGCTCACTCGTCAAATATGTCGGGATCAAAGGAGCACTTGTGGTCGGAACCGTTGGGTACGCACCCTACAGCGCCGGCTTATACCTCAACAACCGATATGGCGTGGAGTGGCTCGTCATCCTCGGCGCTGCCTCTTGCGGTATATCAGCAGGGATATTCTGGGCCTCAGAGGCCGCGATAGCGATTGCGTACCCTGAGCCGAGAAACCGCGGGCGCATGATCGCATACTGGATCACCTGGACCTGTGTCGGGCGCATCCTGGGCGGGGCTATCAACCTGGGCCTGAACGCGGACCGGAACACGGCGGGCCAGGTGTCGTACACGGTCTATCTGATTTTCGTCGCGCTCCAGGCCTCGGGGCCGTTCGTGGCCTTGCTTCTCAACCGGCCATCCAGAGTCCAGCGCTCGGACGGCAAACCGGTGGAGCTGTCTATTTACGACAACCCATGGCAGGAAATCAGGGCGACGACGCGGGCGTTCCTGAACAAGAAGTTTTTACTCCTGATCCTCTGGATCGGCCAGGGTGTATACTCGGAGGCTGTGTACTACACATACATTGCCCTCTGGTTCAGTGTACGAGCTCGTTCGTTGGGATCATTCCTCTCTGGGGTCGTCGCGATCATCTCCACCAATCTGCTGGGGTCCTGGTTGGATCAGAACCAAATCGCCATCAAGAAGAGAGCTCGGTGGGCATTTGCTGTCATCATGGTCACCCAAGGAGCCTGGTGGATCTGGCTTACCATCAACGTCACCGAGTACCGACGCACTGGACCGCTTTTCGACTGGGCTGATGCGGGCTTCGGAAGGGCTTTCGGTCCGTTCATATTCCTTGTCGCCGGATTCCAGCTCAACTACAACTTCGCCTTCTATCTCATTGGTCAAATCTCCGAAAGTCCACAGGAGACTATCCGTCTGGCTGCCCTCTTGCGTGGAACAGAGTCGGCGTGGCAAGCGCTAAGCTATGGCCTCAATGCGCTTCCGATCTTTGCGACGGTTGGAGGTACATACTTCAATTTTGGTATCTGGGCTCTTGCCTTATTGCCTGCGTGGCTGGTGGTAAGCAAGATTGGAGTTGAAGAACCGGGGAGCGAGAGTGGGGCTGTACAGGAGGAGCAAAGCCAGGACTGGATAGATGGGAAGACTAAAGTCTAAGATGCCATCTGAGCTCGCGTGAGGAGCCTGCTAATGACATGTGGCTTGGTTGGGTGTAAGATGTATTTTATACACAGACGACATTAGAGAATAGTCGTAGAAGAGAAAGATCTCGACCAATCATTGTCTCCAGGGTCATTGGCCATATGCATTTTCACTGACCAATAACCTAATGAACCTCATTCTGATTGCCAGGGAATCGGGACATTACTACTTCCGTGGTCTTCATACAAGACAGCCAAGACTTGACGAAGCACAGTTCTACAAGACCACTTCGGATATTGGAGAAGCTATCAATTTGACCACTACCTAGGTACGTATCGGTACAATCTGTTGTGCCTTCCGCATGCTACGCATGGTCCGGTCCTACTGAGTCACCCCACACAAAGAAACTTTTTTGATGTGAAAGGAAACAATGTGCCCAATCCGAGGTTGTGTTCCACACACAAGGGAAAGCAAACCGTGAAATGTGACATGTGAAGGAGGGACAACAGGTCAGTTTCCCGGCAGGTGATCTGCCGACTCAAGTTGCTCGCACATGCCCCCGGTCATGCCATCGCACACAACATAACAAACATGCAGCGCACCAGTCACGAGAAAAAAAAAGGACCACTCTTCAGAGTCTGAGGCCCCCCCCCCTGCTTACCACGCGTCAAATAGTCACTTGGCGCAGCCCATGTACTGGAAGCACTCCTTGAAGGAGCGGGTCTCGAGGGCGAACAGGCCGCCCTGGTCGAGCAGCTCGGCGGGCTGCCACAGCTCCGGGTCCATGCGGGTGAGCAGGCCCGGGTAGCTGGTCAGGCCCGCGGGCTCGGTGACGCCGAAGGGGTTGCGCAGCACGATGTACTGCCTGTCGCCGACGACGGCGTAGCCGCAGATGGAGTAGGCGTGGTTGGCGACGAGGTTGCTGCCGCGGTACATGTGGCCGGTGGCGTGGGTCCAGGCGCACATGGGGTTGATGGTCTGTTCATTCATGTGATCAGTATGGAAGAACGTCAGAGGGTGGGACAAAGCGGTGTGAGGTCTTACCTTGTTGTTCACGCAGTTCTGGCGGACGACGCCGAGCAGCTCGTTGGGGTTGTGGTTCTCGCAGCGGAAGTACTGCGGGTCGCGGCCGTTCATCTGCGCCATGGCCTTGATGGGGTCTCCGGAGTGGGTGCAGGTGATGTCCGGGTGGTGCTCGTTCCTGTTGCTGCTGCCCAGGATCCACTTGGCGAAGGCCTTCTCGTACAGCGAGGGCCAGATGTCGGTGCCGTCCGAGGCGCGCGCAAACACGGGCTCGTTGTTGGAGTTGGTGATGGGGATCTCGTAGTTGACCTCGACCGTCTCGGTCTTGTTGTTGTTGTTGCCGCCCTTGTCGTGGAAGCGGACGCGGAGGGTGTGGCGGCGCCGGTTGCCCTCGTTGTCGTCCTCCAGGCGCTCGTTGTGCGGGTGCACACGCGTGGCGCGGTTGATGGAGGCTGGGCTGGCCCAGAAGACGGAGAACATGGCGGCGATGAGCCAGCTGTTGGTGGACGCGCCCTGGGTCGGGTCGTCAAAGAAGTGCATGGGACGGCGCCTTCCGTCGCCGATGGAGAAGTTGGTCACATCGTTGACGAGGCGGCGATTGACGCTCTGGAAGAAGTAGTCGTACATGTCGCGCCACGATGCGTTGGGGGGAGACCACTCGTTCTCGTCACGGCCGGGCATGTTCTCGTCGTCCTTGCTGCGGATCCGGAATGGCGTCATGAACTCGTTCATGGTCCGCGTGAGCTCCCGGTTGGACACTTGACGGGCGACGCGGTTGCCATTGGCATTGGCCTGGATCACCAGGCGGATCTTTCCGTTCTGGATCCGAGCATGCTTGACTTGCACCTGGTTCAGATCCTTGAGACCAATCTGCTCCAGGTCCTGAAGACGCTGGACCCGAGACAAGTCGGGCGTCATGAGATCACGCTCGTTGAGAAGGTGGATGTCCTTCTCGGTGAGCTGTGAAGCAATGCGCTCCTTCTCGTTGAGCTGTAGGCCGGCGTAGAGCACAGACTTGTTCTTCAGGTCAAACAGCTCGTCGTAGTCGGTTTGTAGGACCTGAGATATCAGGGTCGACGCGTTGACCGAATTGCGGTCAATACGTCGGCCGAGCATTGCCTCGACAAGGGCATAGGGGTTGCAGCATCCGATCCTGACATTCTTTGGTTGCTGGTCAGGGCGAGGGCCACGGTCATCAAAGGTTGAGAGCATCATGTCGCTGCGGAGGTCTGGAAGGTCGTCGTAGTCAAGTGTCTCGGTGCGGTCAGAGTCGCTCCGCGCCTTCTCAGCCGTGCGGCCAAGGATGGCTTGAACAAGAGCATACGCGTCTACTGCGACGACGTTGCTGTCCTTCGGAGGCTCAGAGACGATGGAGCGCGCGTCACCCATGTTGCAAATATTATTGCTAGTTTTGGTACTGTGTGGGGGTTTCAAGAGTCTGAATAATGGAATGAGTGCAGACTTGTATTTCTGAGCCTGGCTAATGCAAGTCAAAAGTCAACACAGCAGAGTTTAAAGAGGGATGTGTGCTGTCTTTATATAGTAATCGAAACTGGCCTCCACAGGCCACGGTCTCATTCTACGCTCCGCTCATCAACAGTCCGACGTATGATTCACCACTCGATCAGAATGTACATGAGGAGGTAATGGGCCGATTCATGGGACCCAGGCCGTCTCCAGCAAGGTGCCCAAGCCCGGTGGACTAGATCCAAGACTTCGACCTTTTGCATGTGGACTCTCGATATCGGGCACGTATTCGTCTTCCCCTCTCTGCCACGTAAAACTCCCAACAAAGTCAATTCACGAGATCCAAAAAATCGATTCGTCCACGACACGATCTTGGCAACGTTGAGCTGCGCCTCGCTGTTTTGTCCCGCGCAGCACTTCCTCATCGGGGGCATTGTGGTATCCTGAAAAAGCATGGTGATACTTCGCGGCATTGGTTTCAATATGCACGGTTTAGCTCGACACTATATCGTAGAAGGCACTCGATGACGAGGCCGGCATTACAGACAACGCGCCTCGTTGCACAACTGGCCAGCAGCCCCTCTCTGGGCAACATCTCAGTGGTTGTACTGGAGCGTTCGTCCGAATCCTCAACTGCATGTATCACTGGTCGTTCGTATTCCGATGCTACAGACACATGGTGACTTGGACGTGGTGAACAGACACTAGGACTTGATATTGCAGAAAGCTTTGTTAGCTATGTAAGACGATGTCGACGGCCGGGTGAAGAAGGTCTTGGACCCTGAAGGTTCACATGAGAGGGGTCCCTTGTCACGGTCTTCCACATTTCACAATTAGGTTCTCGGCCATGCGATTTCCCCACAAAATCCTCTTCGGCTCGATGCGGGAAACATGGGTCAAGGGTGCGGCTCAAGCTTGAGCTCGAAAGGATGGTGGTAACGAAGAGCTGCCAAAGTACGGGAGCTAGGGGTATGATCGACAAGGCGGCGTTAGGGAAGGGCTTCACTGCTACGCCAATCAATCGAGATCTCCATGCAGTAGCTATCACCTATTGCTGCATGCTCTAAGCAGTGCCGTCCATCCCGTCTATGGACAGGACTGAACGAGTCAAGAATATGCCTACGCCGCTCAAGGAATCTAAACCTTGTTGCTGTTTAGTGGATGACTGAGGAGCAAATAACATCCACGAGAAGCAGGAGGCGGGAATGAAAGGACATGTCCAGCTCCACAGCTCTGCCCTCGAGGAACCTCCCCTAGCTCGGCAGGCCATGTTCTAGATCGACTGGAGTTGGGGACCATAGCTGTGTTAGACTTCGTTCCCCTCACACTTTCATGCGCCATGATTTGAAGGTTTGAGGCCGCCATTACTCAATTGGTTGCCATCGGATGTGTCTGAGCCCATATATCCGAAGCTCGTGCATCACCAACCATCGGAAACCAGAAAAGTGTCGACTGCGGTCAATGTTGACATGGCGATACGGCAAGTTCAGCGGGACAGCTGTCTGGTTGGATTCCGTGGGGAAGACCGGTCAGTTGGAGAACAGTAGCAATTCGTGCGCTGCAATGTGCTCAATCTCGCAGATGGCTAAATGGACATGCGTGAGCCTGCCACAACCGGCTTTCATTGAGTTCTCTGGTTGCTTCTTCGAGTAGGTGGCAGGCATGTACGATGTCAGGTCGTGGAATGAACGTAGCCATTCACAAACCAGTCTGGGCACCGACCGGTATCCGACCGGTGTTGCAGATGCAGATGCGTTGACTTTGCTGCCCGCCCCAAAGCTAAGACGGCGTCGACGATGTGATACGCCATGCATCGTTCGTACATGCGAGAACAACAGCGAATGCATGTCCATCAAGCTCCAGGACAGCTCTCCGCACGGGTTGTAGTCCGATCCAGAGGTGACGACTACGCAGCTCTTGTCACCATTGATATAGCTCGAGACTACTTTAGGCCATCCAAGACTCGAGCTGGAACCTTGATGGTGCAGCACGTGAAGCTTCGAGTGGGCTTGCTGGTTCCTTGACTAGTGCACGCCTTAGATCCTGAAATGCCAGATCCGAGCCAAACCGGACGCGAGGACGGATCTGATTAGGGGTACAGTACATCCCCCGGCCATACTCGGAGATGACCAAAAGGGATATGGGCTTCTGATCGAGTAAGGCGTTGTTGACGCTGTTCGAAATATCAAGCAATGAGGCACTTGCAATCCATCACGGGCAACGATTCTCCACATCACATGCCAGAGCTTACCACTGTCTGGCCATAATTCAGAACTCAACGGACGGCAATGCCTGGCAAGGACAAGGATCTCCACCGGTTCCGAAATCCAATTTCGATGCGCTGCCGTCCTGGGACAACACAAGATTGGTAACATTTTAAGGTCGTACCTGCTGTTGTTTCACAGCATGCACGCCGAGCTGCTTACACTCCTGGTTAATAATGTCGACTCCTCACTTCCCCTCGCTGACGTTACCATGCAGCTTCTGCAGCCGCAAACTCAATTTGTCTTTTCTTTCCGTGAACTTCACTTCGTGTCAGGCCACATTCAGGTGTTTCTCTTCGTTTTCACATGGATCGGGGATGGAATTGGGTTTAGACGTTGCAAGTCTGGGCGTCGGGCTAGATCGTCCTCTCACAATTCCGGGTCGATCGGATTTCTGTTTTGGGATTGGCACTGAACCAAGCTGTGCTGGACTACTGGGTACCTAGGTACTCTTGATACTCTTGAAGCCTTCGGGCATTGCTCTCGCCGAGTCTCTGAGACCCACAGCATGTATGTGCAGGCAGCCACTCGTATCCCGCTTCAGTCAACAGGTTCACGCGTTTTACCCTCAAGAGAACATGATTATCGTAACGTGATAGCTAGTGCGTCGATCCTTTCTTCCTGTTGGGGGTGACATGTTCGTCAGCTTCTATTGCACCGCAGCAGTACAGGCGAATTGGAAATTGGAATCGGATCATGCATCGCCCACCAATGATTGCACCACGGCACATCGCCGGTCGAGACATCTTCGCTGTAATATTCGTATATCATTCCGATCTCGCAAGGGTGCTATGGGGTATGAGGCAAGGCATAAAGCCACTTATACACCCGGGATTGCCGCTGAATCTTCGAAGTGGAAAAGGTCTGCGGTGTACTCGACGGCTTGGTTCTCGATGGTGACGTGATCGCAAACTCCTTCCCTGTTAAGCCTCTACTGAGTTTGTCTATAGAATTTAGCTATTTAATTACTCATCATTGTTCTCAGGATAGCTACTGCCGTTTTGGCAAGTCGCCCAAAGTGCACAGAGCGAAGTATGTGTTCCTTGGTAAGAGACTGTTTATGAGAAAAGCGGTTGCAGCCGTCTTGGCTCTTCCAAGCAACCAGGAGAAGGGAGATTCCCCAGTAGTATTCCATCAGCTACCACTTCAGGAAGATGTGATTTTAAAGGGTCAATACATTCTAACAAGGTAGTCCTAAATGCATAGACGTCAGCAAAACCAAGATGTAGAATCACCTCATGCACGGCATGAGGCATCTCTATAATCATATAGAAACTGAGAAGACCATGACCACTCTAAGGTGTGGTGGGATAGAGGAAATCTATGCCTCAATAGTTGATAAGAAGACCGACAAGAACTTGTCATGGGTCACTTCCCTGCACAGAGCATCCAAGATTCACTCCCAACATCAACCGTAGAATAACTATTACTCACGGGACTCAACTGGCGAGAATCAAGAGAGCTGTTATTGAAGGGCCACCGTCAGCGTTATGATGAAAATACCATGCCGCGATCCGGGCACCATCGTCTCGTAGCTCTTCGAAAACAATTGAAGCTATGGATCAGCATCTGCCATGTCCTGCTTGTACCTCTGGATACACCGGTCCTTGCTTTCCTTGAAATCGACATGCGGTGCAGGATAACCGAGTTTCTCAAACTCCTCCTTGCTCAGCCGGCTATGCGGGTCAAACACAGCCTTGCCCTTGACATCTTTCAGCTCCGGCACCCACCTCCTGATGTACTCCCCGTCAGGATCACACTTCTCCGCCTGCACGACGGGGTTGAACACCGTATAACTGGGCTCCCACCCCTGCGTGTTGTTGCTCAGGTCCCAGTCCACCAGCGTCTCGGCGAAGAACCTCTCGCCCCTCCTGTAGTCGATCAGCAGGTTGGTGCGTAGGTAGCTGCTCGTGTTCATCCGCAGCCGGTTGTGCATGTAGGCCTCCTCCCGCAGCTGCCTCATGCCCGCGTCGACAAACGGCATGCCGGTTTTGCCCTCGCACCACTTCTTCCACCCTTCCTCGTCGTCCTCCCACTGGACAAAGTCGAACTTGAGGTTGTGCGGGAGGTTCATCGCGTCGTGGGGCGTGATGGAGAGCATGTGCCTGTAGAACTCGCGGAATACGATCTCGCGTACCCAGCTTGATATCCCCACGTCTCCTGAGTCGAAGTCGTCCCCGTCGTTTGCTTCCGTTGCCGCCTTCAGTGCCTCGCGGACTGAGATGACGCCAGACGCGAAATAAGGGGAGAGCCGGCTGGAGTTGTCGGTGGCTGGCGTAGATCTGTTCGTCTTGTAGGTTTTGACCTTCTTTCCGAGAAAGTGTTGCAGACGCTTGATTCCGGCCTCATGGCCTGCTGGCCACAGCTTCCGGATACGATCCCTGTCGTTTGTTGACGCAAACTGCTTTGACTCCGGCAATGTAGGGATCTCAGAATTGAAGAGATCCTTCAAGTCTGTCTTGGCCTTTTTGTCATTCGCAGTCGGTGTATCAACTATGCTGGTGAGCTCTGAGTCGTTGGCCACCTCAGCCAGCCAGGCCTTGTGATAGGGCGTGAAGACCTTAATGGGACCGCCTGAGCCGGTCTTCAAGGTCTTCGGCTCTACCACTGTCTGATCGTGCCTCACATGGAGCGATGCTCCCAGTTCCCCGTCCGCCAGTTGATCGACAAAGTCAATGTCTCTTCTGAGCTCATCGACCTCGTATTCAATGTTTGCGAACACGTGGCTGACCTTCTGTTCCCGGAGGAATTCCAGGACCTTCTGGCCTTTTTCTCCCCTCTTCTCAGCGGTCAAAATCACCAATGGGATGTTCATACCATGCAGCTGTTCCTGAAGTATCCTTAGCGACTCCAACACGAAATCCGTTCTTGCCGGGCTGGTTCCGTGCCACTCGAGATCTTTTGGCGACCACAAGAAGCAGGTGAGAAGGTGTCCGGAGCCTTCCTTCGCCTTTCTGGACGCCTCAGATAGCGCCCGGTTGTCTTCAGCCCGGATGTCCTTGCTTCTGAACCAGTGCAAGACATTTGCGGCCTTTTGCTCGCTCTTCTGTTTGTTCACCTTCTCTACAAGCTCCTCCAATGGCGGGTGTGCGTCAATCTCCTTGGCGCGTTTGGTTGAAGGGTGCTTGAGCCCGTCTTCATGGGACATGGAGCGCTCGTGTCGTTTCGACATTGTTGATTTCGAACGACTGGTTGCCTGATTGATGCAGCTGAATGTTGTCTGGGACGAAGATGGGAGACTTTTCCGAAAACTTGAAGGCGTGGACCGTTGATATGATCTGAGTATGAGGTGCGTGACACGGTTTGTTTGGAGTTTTAATAATCGAACCTGAGGTTGAGACATGGGAAATTGAGTTTTGCTGCCAACAAATGAGAGTCACGTTCATTGTCAAGAAATGACATCTCTTCCGAGGGAGGAAGTCGACTTGAGGTACAAAGTCTATGACGCAACGGACGTGGAACCCGTTAACTACCCACCGCGGCTCTTGCATCCCGGCACATTCAAAGAATCGGACGCAGCTAGTGAGCGCCACGCAGTCTGTGCCAAGGGTGCGGCTCAACCTCAAATTTGACGATGCTATCATACCAATAGTTTGTATCGAAGGTCAAGGTAGCCCAGGAAGGTCTTAGTGAAAGTCGACTGTGTGTATCGAGGCAAGAGCCTGCGATAGAACATTCGGTGAAAAGTGACAGTCTTGATTTACTTCGATTTCAAGCCGATGTTTGGGAGGTGGCTTGAAAGCGTTGCTAAGGAAAGGCGTGATTTTACAGAATCATCCAGACGAGGAAACGCTGTAAACTGGCTTACAGCCAGAAAACCTGCAGAGACCGACCAAGCCTGTTTGACAAGGGCAGCAGCAGTGGACTTTGCTCACTGGAAACCTGGGAGCCCCGGGCGCATCTCCAGATTCACTGTCAGCTAAATTGAATTGCTCTCACTGGGATCTCACTGGACATTTGGAAGCACCTCCCTGCTCATCCATATACCCTCCCACACACTCCTCCTACATAATTTTGTCTTGGCAGCTTCTGTTAAGGCAATTACCTAGCATATACTAAATTTATTAATATTTATTTAATAATAGCTATTTGTAAATAGCATTATAATAATGGCTTTATTATTATTACCAAGGCTTTATATCCTTAGGATCTTAATAAATATAAAAGCTATATTTCTTGCTAACTTTAATAATTTTTAAATTATTTAATATAGTAAGCAGCATTATATTAAGTTTGCGTTTAGCTTATCGCTATTTAAAAAAGCTATGCTAATTAAAAAAAACCTTTTTATACTTATAATAACTTTAATGCTTATTTTTATTAAGCTTTTTATAAAATTTAAGGCTAATATAAAAGCTAAGAATAATATATTTTTATTCTTTATATAAACATTAAATAATGCTTTTTAATAATTTATTTTTAATATTTAATTAAAAGTTATTTATAAATTTTATATTAAGTTTAGCATATATTTTTAAAATATAATTATTAAAGGATTAGCTTTAATCTTTAATGCTTACTTTAAATATATTGCCCCTTTAATATTTACTTTACTTTTATTAATAAAAAGCCTTATTATTATATTTTATATAAGGGCAATAATAATTCCTTTGCTTATAAAAGCCTTAATATCTTAACTAAAGATATAAAAAGTAAAGCTTATTTCTTTATATTATAAGAATATAAAGCTTAAGGAAAATTTATAAATTTTTCTTTATTTTAATAAATAATTACTTACTTAACGCTATAATTTTTATATATTGCATAATCTTATTTATAAGTATATAAACTTATTGCTTATAAATTTATTAAATATTAATTAAGTTAATATAAAATAAATTATAAAGCCTTAAAATACACTTACTTATTAAGCACTTTTTATATATAAAAGTAAGCTTATTTAACTCTTAAAATATATTAAGTTAAAGATTAATATTACTTAGTATATTAATATTTTAGTTAATATTTTAATAAGGATTTAGGATTATAATAATAAGAAAATAAATATAGCTAAAGTAATATAAAAGGAAATTCTTACTTAAATTAATGCTTAATTAATCTTTTATTATTTATCTTATTATTTTAATAAAAATTTTAATATTAATTTTTAAATTATTTTATTTGCTAAGCCCTTTAATAAATGCTTTTATCTTTTTAACTAAAGCTTACTTTTATAGCCTTTAAAAAAAAAGTTTTAACTTTCTTAATATATTAATTATTAAGAATTTTATAAAACTTATAATTATAAATATTATATTTATTATAATAATTATAATATAAATGGTTATTATTATAATAATTATAACTTTTTATTTTAATATATTAATTATTGCAGCTCTTATTATATTAACTTTAAGAAATACCTTGTTTAATTAAAGCTAATTAATAAAAAAATTATTTACTTAATTAAGTTTTAATAAAATAAAATTTATATAAAAGAAAAAAAGATTTATTATATAATAAATTTTAAAATAATTATTATTAAAGGAGTTAATAATATAAGTAAATATTAACCCTTTTTTTCCTTAACTTTAAGGATAATTTATTTCTTAATATATAAATAAGCTATATACTTAAGTAATAATTTAGTAAACTTAGTTATAAATATTAATATATAAGCATAAGGCTTGCTTATTTTTATTTATGCCTTATTTTATAATTAAAAAATCTCTTCTTAAATGTTAATAATTATAGCTTAATTGCTTAATATAAAATATTATATTTTAACTTAATATTAATAAAGGCATAAGGAAAAATGCTATATATAATATAACTTTATAACTTATATAAATTAATAAATTTAATATTATAATTATTTAAAAATCCTAATTTTATATTTTCCTTAATAAGAAATGTATAATAAAAACTTATATTAAATATAATTTCTTTTTCTTAACTTTCTGCTAAATTAATACTTTAAATAAGCTATATATTGTAATATATATTTATAAAAGATAAGGCTTTATTTTTAATTAAATTTCCTTAGTAAAGATATAAAATATTTATTAAGTTAAAGTAAATAAATTAACTTTTATTAATGCTTATAATTAACCTTACTTAATAAGCAAATAATTTAAAGTTAAAAAAATACTTGCTAAGTAAACTCCCTTAATAAATTGCTTTATTAAAGGGGATTTTAATTTTATTTATTAATATTAGCAATCCTTTAAACTTATTATAAATATTAATGCTTTCTTAATAAAATAAATAAATAAATATAATCTTAAATTCTTAAATAAATATAATACCTTAATAAATAAGTTTAATAATACTTTAAATTTAACTTTTATAAATATTTACTTTAGCTTTTGCAATATTAAAAAATATCTTAATATTAGCTTAAATTACTTTATGTTTATTTTTAAGCTTTTTATATTATAAGTAGGGTTAAAGTAAATTAAGCGCATTCTTTATATTAATAATAAATTTAATAAGTTAATAAATATTATTTTAATGGGAATCTTAGCGCTTTTAGTAATTAATAAAACTATTTAGGAATTAAAAACTTATATTATAACTTTTTTAAAGCTTATTTATAACTTAGTAAAAGTTATTAGCTATTAAAGTAAAAATATAAAGTATACCTTACCTTAATAAATTAATAATTTTATTAAGTTATATAATAAGCTTATTTATAAATAAAAAGTTAATTATAATTAGTTTAATCTTAATCTTTATTTAGCAAGAATAAGGTTTTATATAGCAATATAATAAGCAAAAGGAATTAAAATAAAGAAATGATTGCTAATTATATATTTTATAAAAATATATATAAGGTAGCTAATTAGCACTGCTTATAAATAGTAATAACCCCCTTATCCTTAGCAGTGAAAAATAAGGTTTTTATTTTTTAAGAAGATAAGGCTTAGGCATTTAGCAAAGCAATGCTTTAGCAATATATTATTAAAAATAATATTATTAACTCTTAAATTCCCTTTATTATGCATTAATATATTTTATAAAACCTTATAATATTTATAAATAAAGTTATTAATGTTATGCTTTAAATTAATAATATTACCCTTAGTAAGGATATAATAATTATTAAGGTTTTTTAAGCAATTTAAAATATAGTTAGCAAAGCTATTTATATTTTTTTTAAATAAAGCCTTTAACTTAGCTATTATTTGTTAATCTTTTGCATTATAATAATAGCTATAATTTTAAAAACTAGTAAAAAAAACCTTATAAGTATTTATGTATAGTAACTTATTACTCTTATTTTTACTTTTAATAAAGGCTTTAAAAGGTTAATTGCTAAATACCTTTTATACTTAGCGTTAAATTACGGAGTTTTCTATTTTAATTAAATAAATGCATTATTAAAGTGCTTAGTAATAAACTTAGCTTACGCTCTTATTTATAATATTTATTATGCCTTCTTTATTAATTAAGTAATTATATTTATTATAGCTAATATTTAAAATGCTTTTAACGTAGTTTTTTGCAACTACCTTGCCTTATATATGTATAAGCAAGGTTAATTTAATAACTTAATTTAATATATTATTTCTTTCCTTATAAATAAAGTAATATGCATTTATTTATAATAAATTATAATGAATATTATTACACTTTTATATAACTTCCCTTAAGGCTTCCCTTTTTTACTTATTTTCTTTTTGCTTTATATAAAATTAATTTATAAGCTTAGTAAGCTGCATTATTACTTTAAGTATGTAAATAATATAGCCTTTATTTTAATTAAGTTTTTCTTAAAGAAAACTATTAATATTATAATTAAAAAGCTTAATAAGCTTTTTGCTTAGGGTAAGAAGAATGCTATTTAATTTAATTAAGCTAAAATAAAAGTTATATATATTTCCTATATTAAGAATAACTTATTAAATCCCTTAATATATTATAATAGCTCTTTGCATATTATAAAAGAATCTTTATGTTAGCTTAGTATTTATTTTAATCATTGCCTTACCTTTATTTAATATATTAATATATAAATTGCTAAGGCTAAAGTAATGGCAAACTACTTTAAGGGCCTTTATAATATAATTTGTAAATTATTTATTTACTTAATTTATTAAGCTATATAAGCATATATTAAGTTTATAGCTCTTTATAAGGCTAAGGTTTAGTTTTATAAATATAATTGCTTTAGCGCTAAACCTTTATTTAATATTATTTATGCAGATAATGAAAAAATAATTAATAAAA